TGGGGGTGACAGCAACGGGGGGACAGCAGCAACAACAGGTGCAAACCATGATGGGGCAGCCCCAGCAGCAGAGGTCCGGCCAGCGAGCCATCGCAGACTTCTCCACCCCGGCTGGAGGTGCAGTGCAGCAAGAGGGACCCACCCTAAACGCCCCAGCGGAGGACGGGCCAACGCAGGAAGCAGGGGCGGGAGGGGGCGAGGCGGTGGCAGCAGCAACAGCGGGCGCAGCAGGAGCCTCGCCACTGGCCAGCGCATGCGCCCGGTCGGTGGCAGACTTCTGGGCGCGTCTGCGCTCGTTCGCAATGCTGGAGACCCCCAGGCACGGCTGGGACAGAGTCGGGCCGCAGCACCCCATCCTGGCGGTCGTGGAGGAACGGATGCGCTGTGCAACACCGGTGGAAATCACGGCTTAAACAGCCGTATTAGAGTCGGGTCAGGGGATCTTTTGAAGGGGAGCAGGGAGAGTGAGAGAGGAGGGGGTGAGAGAGCCAGGACTAGGGATAGGTGGGAAGGGTGAAAGAGTGAGGAGAGCAGGGAGGCCCTGGGCAGATGGAGGGCTGGGCAAGAGGGCAGTATCCTGGCCTAGGGTCGCGTGGTCTAGCAAGGGGAGTTGTGGAGCAGGGCTGTGTGTGTTCGTGTGCTCGTGTGTTTGCCCTCTTCCCGGGAATTGGGGCCCGTCAAAGAGAGGGGAATGGGTTCTGTGCTGTCTGGCATCAGAGTAGAGAAGATGTAGGTGGCTTGTGAGAGTGGAGAGGAGGTGGGAAAGCGGTGGAGGAGAATGGTGTGGAGGTCGAGAGCAGGTGATGCTGGTCCCGGCCGGCCAGGGTCAGGAGGGAAGGGATCTCGGTGTGGTAAGCGGGAGCAGGCAGAGTCTGTGAGCCGTGTGAGCCATTCTCGGGCTTTTTAAGGGGGCGCCGCGCTGGCTTGTCATCCCCCCCGCGGCAATAGGTGTTCTTACTTCGTCTTACGCTGGGCTGCGCCCGGAAGCCCGCAACCCCCAGGAGGACTCTGCCGTATGGACCAGTCTTTTTTGCCTCGGTTGTGAGTGGACCGGTGAGGTAGTGGTGGCCGTCCTCGGTAGGTGTCCGTTGCTAGTGGTAGGTGAACAGCTGGCCTTAAAGGTCCAGTGTGCGAGTGCCCGCGTTGTGTTTGTCTTCTTGGTGCAACCGTGTCTCGGCTTTTGTGGTGTGGCGTCTCAGGCCCGTGGTCCTCCGTGTATCTCTTGCCTTGCTGGCTGCGTGGGGTCCTTGACTAGGAGAGTCTGCTGAGGGGCGTAGGTCTTCCCTTGCCTCGGTTTTTGAGTGTGGAGCCCCCTGAGTAGAGCCCCTGCCCCCGGTGTTGTTTTCTCATTGTTCTTGTTTGGGGGGTCAAGAGGGACGAGAGCGCGCGAATAGGCTGGCCAGGCGAAGTGGAGGCAGATAGCTTGTTTAGGTTTCCCAGAGGTGGTGTGGCGCCTCTCGTGCGGCTCTCGCTTAGTTCGGTTCGCAGTCTTCTGCGCCGCTGTGTTGCCTAGCCAGAGGCTGGGAGAGCGTACCGGTTGGCGTGAGTGAGTGAGGCGCGTGTGGAGGAGCAGACGGACGTAGAGCTGCGCGCCCGCCGTTGCGCTGTGTTTCGGCCTGGTCAGGGCCCCCAGTGCTCGTCCTTTCTCGGGGCGAGCCGCCCACAGTGTAACACCCCATCAGCAGTGACAATTGTTGCACTGTTTGTGGAGCTTGGACGACCCAACTTGCAGGCATGACACGGGCAATCCTATTGACAAAGTGGGCTGGTCCGCTACATCCTGCACCAATTGTAACACCAGGCAAAGAGTACGCAGAGAGATGCCACTGGCCCAGAAGTGGTGACACCGAGGGGATATGCTCCCCCAGTGGACCAACTGGTTAACCTCCACAACCGCAAGCCGCTGGCTGTGACACCCTACCACGGGAACTTCCCAGCATAACACCCCATTAACCGTGAGGCGTCACCAAACCTCTTTTTGTTCGTTTCCCATCATAGACGAGACCACAACCGAGGTGGGAGCTCTGAATGTTCTTGTGATGAATCCGTGTACGGAAGTTCGTACATTGATCCCGGAACCTCCTCCTTTGCCCCGGCGTGCCCTGTCCTATAGGGCCCTCCCCTCTTTGCCGCTGCACGTAGACACATCGCCGGCGTATGCTACATCTCCAGCCCTTACACCGCGCGGGGCTCAGTTCCTTGTAACACACATACAGACATACACACACATGGGCCCGCCGTGTCTCAGTCATTGTCCTGTTGTGGCACGGATTGCGTTTTCGATGGAATGTCGCTCGCCCTACCCTACATTTATATTATATGTGTGTGCGTGTCCTCGGAAGGTTTGCTGCAAAGTAGAAAGGGCTTCACCTGGCACCTCAGCTGATCCCGTCACCCCCTTAATGAACAGGGTATGGGCGACCTGATGAGCCGCCAAAAGCTGTAAAGTGTTGCTAACTTGACAGACAAATTAGTAAGGTGGGGGCCCTTCACCCCATCGCCAACCTAACCCCTACACCAGGGTTTGGATAGCAGACTTGGTGGACAGCACCATGGCTGCTCTAGAGTCTGCACTGAAAGGCAACACGAGACTAGCTGCCTGTTGCCAATGAGCCGGGACATCACCTAGGAGAGCAACAACGGCAGTAGGACACTCATTCAATTTTTGAAAGATGCAAAGGGAATGAGCAATTGGGGTCCGTGACGGGAGGCATTGCTCTACTGTTTGATGCCATGCCTTGTGCATTGCCAGACCTGTCTGCCAGTCAAATATCCCGTAATACGTGGCATCCTATGAAATGCAGCATCCCACGGTAACATTCAGCTCATGATTATCATTACGCTGTTACCTAAATGATGTGAGATACCAAACCATATGGCGTGCTGAACGATGTGGTGAGCCGTTCAAGCCATCACCCGCCAGTAACCATCTGCAAAACCCGCTGCAGATCAGCTCAGAGCGTCCATCATCTTAAACCTGCCGCGACAGGAACACAATAGCAGTTGCTACTCGAGGCCTTACATCCTTTTGCTAGTGTGTCACTGCTTGGCATGGCCGCAGTGCAGACAGCATTCCGTGGGTGCCCACAAACCGGGTTCAGCACCCCACCACCTCCTTAACTCCACTTTTATTAGCCAACGTAGCTGTGCAGCCTTCTGCCAACCTTCAAGATGTTATGGGCACACTTGCATACCGGCCAGGGCCAGACTGACTGGAGTGGGAACTGACTGGAGCCGAGGGGAACTGCTACACCCTCAACTGGATGGGGACCCCACGAACCTTCACAACTGCAGCCTGTGAAAGTGCGTGGTGAAGGGTCCGGCCAGGGCTGTGCATGTGCACCACTGGTGGGCACAGGTTCCACACACAAAGCAGCGCCCCCACCTTGTTTGCTATTTGATGTATCTCCACTCCTGGTACACATGGCTAGCAACATGCCTAATAGTCATCTAGCTGTCATCCAAGCTGTTGGTGGTGGGTAAAGTTATTCCTGCTGTTGTATCAGCATAGTGGAACGAAATCAGGTGTCCCTTGCACGGGATCGGCCCTGTGCATACAATGCATTCAAGGAGGTGTTCCCTATCCCAGTGGGAGAGCAGCATTCGCCTTGCAGGGATCCATGCTCAGTAGCAGCAGGAGCGGTGTGATAGATAATCGCAGCATTGCAATCGCCCCTTTCCAAGACCTGCACACTTTTGTAGCACACGACTATTCCTAGGTTCCCCAACCTCCCCTTCTGCTTCCTCAGCCCTTCGCATGGTGTGTAAGTAGCACCCAATCACCCTACAATAAAAACAGGTTATCCTGCAACCTTACACACCCTTTACACACGCTTTCCGTCTCACGGCTCGGACCATTGATACATACATACTGTGGTGCCCGGTCCACGCTTGTTATGTTGAGAAGCTTGCAGGTCTGACACTGCAAGAGGAGGGCCACAACCAGGCCGAAACAGCACGCAAAGCCCGCACTGCACACAGCCCAAGGGTGAAGCAGCCCCAAATCCACCAGGCACCTCTACTAGGGAGGCTGGAGCTCTCCGGCCTCTCCCTCAACCCATGCAATCTGAGAAAATGATCCTATCTAGGACCCCCCAAACTCTTTTTTGGCACTGCATTGGCCGCCGGTCTAACGCCATGTTGTCCACGTTGTCTACGACATATGCCCATAGGGAAACACAAGAGGGGAAAACAAAAATCGTCGCATGCTGACGGACATCGTCAACACGGCTGACCTGTGTTCTTGGGATGTTACACACCCACCCTCGCCTGGCACTATAAACCGCAACGCTATAGCCTTGTTGGTACCGACCCACACGACGCCGGCCCTGCATGGCCCCGGATGGATGTGGTTGCCTCCTTTGGGTCCATTCCGCAATCGCCCGGCTCCCCTTGCCCAAGTCAGCAGCGGGAAGGCAAGCAATCAGCCCGCAACGGATCGCTTCAGTCCCAGAGCCAGGCCAACTTCTTAAGGAAGACTGGACAACATTCTCCACTCTTGCTGAGCGTGTTGAATATGTCCAGGAGACCAGAACCACACTCGCCTGGTCAAAGTTCGAAAGCGGCCCTTTAGGAGAAGATCACGGATGAGCCCATCCCTGATGCATCGGATGTCCTCCACCCTCCTCCATCAACAGTGGTGCGCATCCCGGCAACGGGAGGCGAGTGATCCTCCCCACCACCAGCCCCTCGCCCACAGCCTGAGTGCCTATTGTACTGCCCAGTTGAGCGCGAAGGGCCACGGTAAGGCGCCTGTGGAGTCCAAAATGCGCCTGCCTTTTTGGCACTCTTCCCACGCCCACTTCTTAAAGAACCCAATCACGCCATGCCGTCTGCCACCGTGGCGCATCACATAGGCCGCGGCCGGCCCCCTATCTTCTGCAGGACTCTGTAAAAGTCAGTGTGTCAGCTATCCCCTCCCTTCTTTTCCCCCTTCAACGCCTTGCCTACCCGCCCTCCAATCCAGTTTCGCGGTATTCCCCTTCCCCAGCCCGCCCCTCTTAGTGCTTGGCCACCGACTCGAACACCTTGAAGTACGTGGGGAAGGTCTTACGGGTACACCCAGGGTCGCGGATAATCACCGGTACGCCGGCAGCAGCCACCAGGGAAAAGGCCATGGCCATGCGGTGGTCGTCGTACGTGTCAATGGCGACGTTGGGCTTGACGCCGGCCACGCCACCTGGCGGGGGTGTGACGATGCAATAATCGCGGCCCTCCTCCACGGTAGCCCCCAGCTTGCGCAGCTCCGTGACGATGGCCACCATGCGCTCCGTCTCCTTCACGCGCCAGTTGTACACGTTGCGAATGGCTGTGGGCCTGTCAGGCGCAGAGGATTCGACCCGGGAATTTCGCATGAGGGGATGGCGTGAGCATAGACAGAAGTTTGCTGGGTACAATATAACATAGATCAAACCATAATAATAAATGATATTCTGCAGCCCAAGGAGTGTGTTGAAGGTGTTGAAGACAGTGCCCCAGATGTGTGAGCAAATGGTGGGGATAGGTTAGAAAAGCAACTGGTTAATAGAAATAGGGTTATGCGCCGTTCAGCGGAGAATGGATTGCGCGAGAATGCTAGGTTAGGGCAGGGTGCACACCTGTCGGCAAACAGGGCTGCCACTGCAAGCGTCATGGCCGCATCCGGAATGTCATTGCAGTCATGGTCGATACCCGTGATGGGCTGTCCGGAGGCGCTGGGACCCGTGATGGTGATTGAGTAGGGTGACCACTCCACTTTGGCGCCCAGCAGCCCCATTACCTGAGCAGGCGGAGGGGACAGGCATTCGAGGGGTAAGCGGGCAAGGAATGCGGGCGAGTCAGCAAACAAAAGCCCCAGGCGGGCGTAGAACAATAGGGGCCCCGTAAGCACATGTCAAGGGCTGCATGGTGAGATGCAGCAACCAGCACGCACATGGCAAATGGTCACGGCAAGAATAATGCAGCAGAAGCCCTGTATCGGCAAATATCCAGACAGCCAGCCAGAGACATCGCCCACCGCCTGCCCGCTCATGTGGCCGGCGACAGCACCACAAAACGCGCACCTCCGCAAAGCGCACGTCCCCTTGCAGGCTGTCCGACCCGCATCCCTCCACTGTAATGGTGCCCCCCGTGATGGTGGCCCCAGCCAGGAAGTACGAGGCGGAGGAGGCGTCGCCCTCCACGTAGGCCTCGCCTGGGGACACGTACCGCTGACCGGCCGGAATCTGCGGGGTCGGGTTTCGGAGCCCGTGTATAAGACAAAGTTGGCGTTGGCGGGTGGCTGTTGTGATGCGGAACACGTTGGAAATGTCGTACATGCCCGGGGAAGCGAGAGAGTAGCGACGCTTCTACATCAACGACGGCGTCTGCTGTGCGGGAGTTAATACTAGCATACACGCAATGAAATGTCCGGCACAGTCGTCAGGACATAGTTTCGGCCCACACCTAGGTAGCCCCAAAACCAATCCGCTCTATAATACTAACCTGACCCCGCCCCCAGCCCCCACCCTCCTCGCCCACAGGACGGCACCGGCACAGCCTGCGCCCCTCAGCCTTGCTCGCTCCTTGTAAGATGCGCACATGAGGCGCACATGACACAGGCCACCCCGCCCCCAACTCCCTAGACGCTGGAATGGAAGCCGCACTCACCCAATCACCCACCGACCCACGCACCCACCCTCAGGTGTTGCAGCCCATCCAGTCTCTCCACCCGCACTCCGAACCGCTCCATGAGCTTAACCGTCATGTCCACGTACGGCTGGCTGACCAGCTCGTCCTTGATGATAATTTCAATGGCATCGCCGCCCGGGCCGCCAGGCACCGCCAGCGGGGCGGCCATGAGCAGCGCGGTGAGATACTGGCTGGACACCTTGCCTGACAGGTAGACCTGGATTTTGGAAAGGGGAAAGGGGGATAAAAGGGAGGAAGAGGTCGGGGGCAGACGCCGTCCCACGTAGGCGCACACATCTATGTAGACATCTACCGGGGTGTTGAGATGGCAATGCTAGGCGTCAGCTAGCTTAAATGGTGCAAATGGCTGGGCGGCAGCGGTCGCGAGACTCGTAATACAACAACTTGCGAGCTGACCAGGAACTAAGCTGAGGCGCCGTTGATCCGCTAGATTTGGTTGGATGCTGGTGGTGAGTTGCCGAACCCAAAGAGTACACTCTGAAGTCGGATGGGGTGAATGGATTAGGGTGCCCCTCTCGCAGGGGAGAGCAGGGAACTGCCTCGGGAAGGAGGCCACTGGGGAAGCTGTACCACCCTTTAACAACAACAACAACAGTGGCTCCCACGTCTCGCTTTCAGGACCCGCATTACCTGCCAGCCAATAGCCAACCCACCCGCAGACACGTAACCTGCGCTACATATGCCGATATGCGCTTACACAAATGACATTCCCTCCGCTGCTATAACGTCCCTCTCTCTCTCAGGGCGACCGCGGGTAAGCCTGTGCCGCTGTCCCGGATTTCCATTAAAAAAATCCCCGTGCCAGGTCCGTGTTTCTGTCCGCAGCCCTCATTATGCAACCATGCCCAGCGGCAACCAGGTTGGGCCCGTCTCCACAAAGACACACCTTGCCCGTGGGCAGCCCGTTGGAGTTGACTTCCACGGGCGGGCAGCCCGTCCCTAGCGTGCACTTGGCGTCCACACCCAGCTGCACCAATCCGTCCACAAGATCCTGAATGGGCCGTTCCCGCATGCGGGCAACGCCATCCAGCACAAACCTGAGACGGGGGAAACGGGCGAGCAGGGGGGGACAGCGTGTGTGTATGTGTGGTCGACAACTCACCATGGCCGTACTGCTGAAGGTTGCGCCAAGGAAACCGGCATTGGCAGAACGAATGCCTTTCCGCTTTCCTGAAAGTGGCATTATACCTGCAAGTGCTACTGCAACGTTGGCTACTGCAGGTAATGTTTTTCCTGGTTTAAACAAGCGTTTGCACTTACTTGCCGCGGCCAGCAGCAACGACGGCAGCGGTAAGCGGCCGCATTGCAGTGCCGGCATTCCCAAGGAAAAGTTCCGCACCAGAGGAGTTGAAACGGCCACCACAGCCATGGACCACCATCTCCCCAGTCTCCCAGTTCTCCTCCAACTGCACGTTGAGCGCCTTAAGCGCACCCACCATGTAGCGGATGTCATCGCTGTCCTGCAGGGCCAAGCAGCGGCAGGTGAAGGGTTACCAGCACCAGATGGATGCATGAATGCATATGTTTGGTTGAGAACGGGGGCACGTCTTTGGTTGAGAACGGGAAATGCATCCTTTGAGCTGTTCCGTGCATTGCATGTGAAATATGTGGGACGTGACAGGGGGTTGGCAAGGTGCACTGCGTCAGGCGCACCGCTAAACTCTGTGAACTCAGGCATAAATGGCAATCTGTACCGGTCCCTTGGTAGAGGTATGATGTGTCTAATGTAATTGTGTTCCAAACTGCTGGTGTACTTGTTGTACGCATCTTGGGCTTACCAGCAAATTCTTCACCGAAGTTGTGCCCTCGGCAAGGGCAGCCAGCAGCAAGATCCGATTCGAGAGAGACTTTGAGCCTGGAAGCTTAACATGGCCCTCAATCTTTTTGACCGGTTGCAGGGTGAGCTCCTCAACTGCGGCGGCCATTTCAAACATTACCTGACCGGTGCGGGTCATAAGCAATTTGGCGACACACCTTTCTCTTTGGTAGCAGAAGCAAAAGCGACTACCGCACGACGGCCGGATCGCTTAGGTGCAGTCGCGCAAGCCGAAGCCGGCGAATTATGCTGACTGGCAGTCGCCGCAACGGCCGGCTTAATAATATCCACCAAAGACTTTTGGGTTGGGGCTCCGCGCCCAAGGCGCAGGGAACAGCGCTGGCCCAGCAACATTTGGCGTCGTGCAAGTCACTGAAGGATTGAGGGAACGAGTTCCAGATGTAATCCCGGATATTCCAACTCAAAGCGTACCTACTACTACCCACGCTAATTGACGGGCACGGCAGAATTCAACAAGAGTTCTAACGAGCTCCGTACGCGCCGTATAACGACGTGATTTTCCCTATGGCTTGCACAATGCAGCTAAACATTAATTCTCTTGTTTTGCATTGAACATCTGATTGAAGATAATTATTCCTCAGACAGGCCAGGCCATAATGGCTCGAGTACGCTTGCGATTGGGCAATTGGAATCGATTAAATCGAAAATGGGAACATCGCGTTAGTATGATGAAGTAAGTTTCATTTAGTCAGCAAGCGATCAGGCCAGGCAGGATGGAAATGTCGTGGCTGCGTTTTACGGTACGCTTTGCAGGACTATGGTTACGCAGCTATTGGAGAAGGAGCGGATTCGTACAACCTTGGCCAAAGCGAAAACGCTGCAACGCTATGCAGACAAGGTCATCACGCTTGGCAAGAAGGTTCGTCCATGTCGCTTACAGCTGGCCTGACCTGCCTCCTTAATGTCGGTCTGGGGAGACCATTCATGCAAACGTGGCCGTGGCGAAGCACGTCCGAGTTGTTCAGAAGCTGTCCAAGTTGTCATGGTTGCAGTCGTACAGGGTTTACCGCCTCGAGGGCTAGAACCCCGCAGCGCCCAGCACTAGATGCCAGGGTGCACAATATCATGAATATGGGTTACGTTTCCCTACCAGGGTGCTAGGTAAAGGAGAACCTGTCACCGGCTTCAGAGTGCTGAAGACACGCATGACCCAGGTGGCACGCAACCTTCGTTCCAGCCCGCTTACCTGCTTACCTTCCTACTCTACCTTCCAACCTGTCTTACTATGGCTCACTTATGAACAGCACCGTTTGGCTTCTCCAGCAAACACACCCATCAGCTCCGCACCCGCACACATATGCTCCCCGCCACCGTACAGGGGACACGCGATGCCTGGATCCAGGCACGGGGCATCATTCGAACCGACCGGGAGCTTCATAAGCTCTTCACGCAAATAGCTCTCCGCTACAGGGAACGCCCCGGCGGCTTCACACGTCTTGTGCGGGCGGGGTGGCGTGAACGAGATGCTGCACCCGTGGCCTTCATCGAGTGAGTGTCCCTGGCCAGTGGCGGGCTCCGTAGGCCGTGTGCCGCCCTAGGACGTGCTCTATGGATGGCAAGGAGGCATGGCACATAGCTCCTGACCCCACCACAATACATAGCGTCATGAGGCGTTCGTTGCGGCTGGCGTAATTTGTTGTGTGAGCCAGACTGGCCGCCCTAACTTTTATTGGCAAAGTGGCCTTGCAACAACTGCTGCGTCGCGTCCACGATGCCCTGCCTGGTATCCACCAGTTACATTGTAAACCTGGACCCAGGGCTGAGCTGTGCGCCGAAGTGACGTCCATGCTGTGGTCGTGGTGGTGCTGCGCTTTACATTCACTCCTGGTGTGGTCTGCACTACCTGCCGGGTGCTGTACTGTGGTTTCCGCTGGATTCGCAGTCATGTTTGGCAGCCTGCCTGCCAGCTGTCATCCGTTGCGAGGCCCTAAGCTCTTAACAAGCCCCTTCGGCCCTGCCGCCTGTCGCTGTCCCAGGCTTGTTGATCGACCCGGGGAGTTGCGGCCGGCCAGGCCCCCTCTACCGCATATAGAGCCCCTATCCGTGCGGGCATGGATGCAAGCGCAGCTAGGGCAAACCCCGCGGCAGCCATCGCCACTGCTGCCGCCCGTTGTGCAGCAGTACCTCCGTGATGAGAACCGGTTAAGGGGCCCCGATGCGGTTGCCAGCTTAGGCGATGGGCGATGAGGTCGTGACACGACCGTGGCCACCTTGCACGGGCCTGCAGCTCTGCCAATCATGTGCATTTGTACATAGCAGCTTAGTGTGTTCCTGGGTGTGTAGTACTGAGTCCTGATGGGGCGGTGTGTGAGTGCGGCGGTGGGGCGTTTGCGTGGGATATGGTATGAAACGGCCGAAGGATGCCGCCTCTGTGCAGCAAACATGGGCGCCTTTAGGAGCTGCAAGGGGAGAAAGGGAGCGGCACCTACGGGCTTAGTATCTTCACTAGGTAGTGTTCTTAGACCAAATGTGTTGCACCGTCCTGACTGATGGCATAATGGTAAGGTTTATAGGAAGCAGGGTGTGCAGCTGGAAAGTGTATGGGCACAGAAAAACGCTTGGGTTGCAGCCATCCTCGTTTCATCAGGCGCTGCCTGATGCTTGCACTGTGTTAGCTTCGCCTTGTGCTGTGCTGCGGATGATAAGGAGGGACCTACACCAGGGTGTCTATGGGCATTTCCTTAGCTTCCCGAATGACGTGTTCAGCTTCGACTTCGGTTGTCTGGCCGATCCCGAGGGCAAACCCGCCCTCTGTGTGCATTTGGTGTGGCGGACGGTTTGCAGGCATATGCGCTACATGCCTGTGAGGTTTTGCGTTCCGCGCATGACACGTCCTTTCCAAGGCGGTTGGGCTGGAGGCTTCCACTGCAAGTGAAGTAGTAGTACGGTGTGAACGTAATTGCAAAGGAAAGCAGCTTCGCTTTTACAGCTTTAGCGCTTGCCTGGTTTCTTGACATCGACCTACCGCGAGGTAAAACGATAAGCAATCATCATGACTGCAGTAGCTCCCCGATGCTAGCATACCGCGTCAAGCATTACCAAACACATGTATTGCGTGATGGCCGCACGAGGCACCACCAAACCAAACCGAAGCGCACGTCCATGATCAACATCACGTCCATATCAACAAAGTTGCGTAGCTAGCATACCGTCTCCCTCGCAGTTCATTTCCCCCTTTTGGTCATGGAACTTGCTCTGCTAAGCACCCACCTTGTATTTGCTGCCCTATACGTGCTGTACCCGCCTGCTGTAATGCAGTCCCATAGCGGCACAGCACAGCTTGACATGCCTCTCACGTTCCGCTACCCGTAGATTTCCTGGTTTATATGTACACAAGTCCCAAGAGCATCCGCTTTCCGGCGTTGCCCTGAAATAAATTAAGACAGCCGCTTTGGGGCCAAATGAGCGTTATCAAACCAACAAACGCAGTATTGAAGCTATAGCAGCTGTACATGCCAGGACTGTCAAAGTCAAAGGACTTGTAAGCACAGGAACTCTCCGCACGCCGGCAGCCCCGCCCCCCGCCCTGCACTCGCAGGCTCACAGTCCAGTCAGTTCCAACGGCCCGCTCGCATTGTTGCAAATTCAGCTGACTCGCCCCACAGCCGTGGCCTTAGCCAATGACGTCACGCGCATGGGTACTGTAACCGGCATACCCGGCATAATGGGGGTACTGGGGGTGCCGGGGTGGATCCGGGCATCACCTGGAGATGCCCCGGAGATGCTCCCAGAGGCCGTCCCCGCACTCCCAAGCTCCGGCCTGCTCGCACAAAACTCACTCAACGCGTCTTGCTGCGGCGCCGAAAAGAAGTGCGGGCAACCACCGCGCCCTGCAACGTCCGGCGACAGGGACCGTGCCGCGGGGGTCACACCACTGTACAGGACGCCGCCCCCGGGCGCCCTCCCCCCACGGTTTTGGGAATTGGAGACGGTACCCTGGCCTGTCTTATCAGACGAAGAACGTTCTGGGGTAAGCGAGAGGTCCAGAATGCCCAGCGCTGCGCCTCCACCCACGCGCTGCATACGGCTGCTGCTGTCCCTGCGGTGCGGCACCTGCGTCCCATGAATCGGAGAGCCGCGACCGGACGGAGCTACAGGCCCACCCGCAGTCGTCGACGGAGCCTGGGGTTGCAGCCCGGTACCCACCACGCCCGCACCGCCTGCACCCGCCGGGCCTATCCACAAGGGCAGGTTGGGGCTCGCCTGCGAGGCTTGCCCCACCGCTGGCTGGTGCGGGATAGCGGGTGCCTCCGGGTCCCATCCCGATAGGCCGTTTACGTCATTGCGGAAGGAGGCGCCGCGGCGCCCGTTCGGGAATAACCCTGGCAGCAGCGGCAGACCCGGCTGTCCGCCGTACGCTGCGGCTAGCCCGGCTGGTGGGCCGGAGCCTGCAGCCAGATGCGATGCTGCCGTTCCCGGTGCTGCTGGTGCTGCTATTGTTGTTGATGACGATAATGGTATTGGTGGCCCAGGGAGGGCATGGCTAGGGCCGGGAAAGTGGTGGTGCGAGTCGTGAAGGTCATAGGTGCCACTAGGGCACTGCGCGGATGCGTGCGAGGAGAAGGATGACGACCGCGCAGGCGGATGGTCCAGGGCACCCACCATGCTGCTGCTAGCGCGTTCAGCCGGCTGCAGGCCGGGATCACTGGGCGCAGCGGAGCCGCGTCCGCCCGCAGCGCGGCCAGTAGGTCCACTGGGTGGCTCTAAATGTGTCGATGGGTGCTGAGGTGGGAGGGGCGGGTGTCCATGTGGGGCTGCCGCTGCGGAGTACATGGGCGGCCCCGGTCCGGCCGCAGGCGGACCCACGGGCGGAGTCCGCCCCGGGACGTTGGCTATTCGCTGTGCGGATCCTGCCGTACCAGCCCCGGTGGCGTCGGCGTGGTACGATTCTGCGGACAAGCTGCGGTGCCGTGGCGAGCTGCCGCTCGAAGGCTCCGGAGCCGCGCTACCCATATTGCTCAAAGGTGGCGGCGGGGACGGCTGCGTGGAGGCACCGGCACCAGGAGCAGACGCGACCGGTTCTTTTCGGGCCAGCCGCGCTGCTGCGTTCATTAACGTGTTTTGCGCAAGCTGCTGCGCGTTCTGCTGTCGCAGCGCTGCACCCGTCCGCTGTGCTGGCGTTAAGCGGCCTTGGGTCGGCGGCGAAGTGTAGGCTGGAGCGGGTGTTGGCGGCTCCACGTCGGATTCATCGCCTACGTCCAGATTCCGTTGCACCGCGGTCCTCCGCAAAACGCCTTGGTTCCCCGCGGCTAAAGCAGCTGGGCCAGATGACCGCCGGTCCCCCTGGGCAACCGGGGTCAAAGGTGACAGGGCGGGGTCAAGGCGTCTGAGGTCGGTTTACATGTAGGTGTACGGGAGTCCGGGAACGGAACACAGACGACAATAAACCCGCAAACTGTGGCAGGTGGCTGTCCGCTGCCGACCTGACTTGCCAATTTTGCCCTACTCAATCCCGTTTTCGTTCCGTCGCCCGGCGTTTTTGCATCTAGCTCCTTGCTAAGCTGTTAAACTGCGTGGGATAACAGACGATTGGTGCACTTATCCTGGTCGCGGCACCCAGGTGCTGCCCAGCAGCCCTACCTGCGAGTAAGGCGGCCCAGGCCCCGGCTTGCGCCTCGCCTCCGACACTTTCAGGAGACCCCGGCCTTGATGCCCTGCGCTGCATACACGCCGGCCCCCGCCGGCTGGCCCCAGGCCAACGAGGGTAGTGGGCACGTTCTTGACGTACGGCCCAAGCCGTAGTGCGGCTTCCTGTGCTGCCTCGCTCTGCAATGGCGACAGGGATTGTGGCGGCGTTGGTAACGGCATAACCACATTTAGCCCAGCATGCGACTGCGTTTTGTAGAAGGCCGGCTTGCACGTTGGACAACACCGCAAAAAAACGACGCGGGTCTAGGATCAGCACTGCGGACTGGGCTGTCATGGATGCATTTGCTTCGTAGCCGCAACTGTAACGTGGGGGCCGCAAGTCCCACCTCCGTTGTTCGTGATCGTTACAGCGACACGGCTGTACGGTACCTAAACCGATGACACATGCGTAAGTGTGTGTACCACATGGGTCATCAGTCGGGGTAGGGCGCAGCACTCCTCCCTGACACACGCCTCACCACGCTAGGACCGTCACCCCAGCCCTCGAGCACCCATGGCTCAGCGTCCGCGGGCTCTGCATCGTCATCCAGCTGGACGGCAGCAGCAGCGTTCGCCATTTTATTTAATAAGCTACGAGGCCTGCTTCCAGCTGATGCGGGTCGTGAGCGGGAATACTCTTCCAGGTGTGAGGACCTGCGGCCAACCGATGCACCTTGGAGCTTGAGTTGGGGCGCATAGACAAGCCAGAGTGTTTCTTGCGAACCTCAAATAAATAATTGCTTCTTGTGAACTAAATGCTGTAAGCCTAGCCATTATCCGTTATAAGCGTGCCCTTTCGCACCGTTCGACACAGCCCAGCGATAATCCATCATGGCTCTGGTAGTTGCTCATGACAGTTTCATGAGAGTCTCACGTTATGCAATGTCGGTGATATGGGACCGCTCAAGCAACGCCACTACAAAGGTGCTGCCACCCATTTCAGAAGCTACTCATATAGCCCTCTCACAATAAAAATTATGTTTTCATTATTATGTTCCCGTGAAGCTTCTAAAGGATGGTGTCTAGAAGACAGCATATCCAGTGAAACTTGAGATTTTGCATAGAAAATAGCTTAAGCGTATGATTCCCATCGTTGGCCACAGGCGCTGCTGGTGATGTTTGTCAGCTTCCTGGGAAACGCTGTACGAAATGTGCTGTACCTGTTGCAGGACGTGTCCCGCTAGACAGTGCCTTCGCATTTGCCGAACATGTATATTTGAAGTGGTTTGATTGTAGATCAGTATTGCACCCAGTGTGCAAAGGGAACAGAAACCGGACGTCAACCCAGATAACAGCGAAGGCGACATTGCTTCCAAATTCTTTGCAGATTGTACAATAGAAATTGCATCCTCACTAAAATTCCTGCTTAGCCTGACTGATTTTCGCTTCTTGACACTACGTTTCCCGATCCTCGATCTCAAGTTGCAGACACGGTAGCCCTCCTATATACGTCATTTTTGCTCCCGCTAGAGGCCCACGCTGCAGCTCGTCACCATGGACTTTGCGGCGCTTGAGGATATCGATGGAGTTCGCCTTACTTGGAACATTTGGCCGAACAGCAAGCTAGAGGCGACTAAATGCGTTATCCCGTTCGCTTCAGTCTATACGCCAAACAAGCGCTTACCGACTATGCCGGTGAGGGTGCTGTCTTGGGCTTGCAGCAGCAGATGTTGAAGTGGGGGCATGACCTGTGGGCAGGGCCTAACCAAGAGGCAGGTTGAGGGTTTTGCTTGGCTTTCGGCTGTACACGGCTAATGAATCTTCTCACCGTTATGACACGTGAATATCCCTTATGCTCCAAAACAGGTGTTGCCGTACGAGCCCATCCCCTGCAAGCAGTGCTCGGCAATTCTCAACCCATATGCGCGAGTGGACTTCTACTCGAAGGTCTGGATATGCCCTTTCTGCCATTCACGGAATCACTTCCCAGCGCACTACCAGGGCATCTCCGACACGAGCATGCCGGCCGAGCTGTATCCCAACTACTGCACCATTGAATACACGCTGCCGAAGACGGTAGCACCGCACCCGCCGGCCTATATCTTCCTCATCGATACATGCGTATCTGAGGACGAGCTGGGAGCCTGCAAGACCGCAATCATGCAGGCAATCCAGACGCTGCCCGAGTACGCATACGTGGGCCTGGTCACGTTCGGCACACATGTGCACGTATACGAGCTGGGCTTCACGGAATGCTCCAAGTGCTTCGTCTTCCGTGGATCAAAGGAGTACACGAGCCAGCAGATTATCGAGCAGCTGGGCATCCGTGGGGGTGCAGCGCCGCGGCCCGGCGGGCCTGCAGCTGCTGGGCAGCCTGGGCCGCCCACTGGCGCCCCGCAGCGGCGCTTCCTGATGCCGCTGGGCGAATGTGAGTTTACTCTTACCACGGCGCTTGAGGAGCTGCAGAAGGACTCCTATCCGGTCATCGCTACGCACCGGCCGGCCCGCTGCACGGGCACGGCCATGCAGGTGGCGGCGGCCTTGTTGGGCGCGTCGGTGCCCATCGGCAGCTGTGCGGCGCGCATCCTTCTGTTTGTGGGCGGGCCATGCACGGAGGGCAGCGGCAAGGTGGTGAACCGGGAGCTCACGGAGGAAATCCGTTCGCATAAGGTGCGAGGGTCCTGTTCCCTGCGGTGATGTGGAGCATCGCTACACAATTGGGCTATAAAGCTCGCAGGGCTTGGACGGAGTAAGCTCACATGCCCCACTTTTTGTGTTGATTGAGTGTACCGCTGGAAGCCAGGGGATGTGCAGTGCGGGTGCCAACTCGACCGCTGTATGCTACTTCCCTGTGTACAGGACCTCGCTAAGGACGGTGCACCGCATTACCGCAAGGCGAAGAAGTTCTACGATGGCCTGGCTGCGGAGCTGGTGGCGCATGGCCACGCACTTGACATTTTTGCGTGCGCTCTCGACCAGGTGACCCACGGGGCGTTTTCGGTGGGGCTTCCTAGCAAAGGATTTCCGGCGAAAAGCACCTGTGCTGTACGCACATATCTGTACGGAATAATACGACTAAGCTTTTGCTTTTTCAAGGCTTGCGGTTATTGCGACGCAACGGTCGTCCTCCTGGGGACGTAGCATTCCCACCAAGTCTCAACGACGTGCTTGAAACGCTTGCAGCCCGGGCATATCCACAACGCACACCGTCATTGCCTGGTTCCCTCTCTGACGCCGTTGTACTCCCTCGACCCGTGAATCCACCTGCCCGCTCCGGACAGGTGGGTGTCGCCGAGATGAAAGACGTGGTGATGACGACCGGAGGCCTCACGGTGCTGACGGACACGTACCACAACATCGTGTTCCGGGACTCCCTGAAGCGCCTGTTCGCACGCGACGGTGAGGACTGCTTCCTGGGTCTCTCCTCCAACGCGACATTCGAGGTCATTCCGTCTCGGGATATCAAGGTGGCTGGCCTGCTGGGGCCCGCCGCGCGCGTGGACAAAAAGAGCCCCTACGTGGCGGACGTGGAGGTGGGGCTTGGCGGAACCACCACATGGAAGCTGTGCAGCCTGGACTCCGAGACCAGCCTGGCCGTGCTGTACGAGGTCACCGCCGCTACCAAGTAAGAAAACCTAGGATGTGGGTGAGGCGGAAACACGGTTACGATAAATAGATTGACATGGGACAATTTACGGTAATGAGGTTTACCATGGGGCATAAGCTATGGCATTTTAATGTGGTCTTCATGTGCGTGTTTTGCAGCATGGGTTTTCGGAGCAGGTGGTGCAAGAGTGAGGATGTCCCCGATGCTGGTGGGACAGGCGTTCAGCAACTGCGTGCCTGACACTGCGGTCGTGTTCTGTTTGGTGTCCATGCAGCCGGGATGCAGGCGATGCGCAGGCGAACGCGCAGTTTTTCCTGCAGTTCATCACGCGGTACCTACACTGGACGGGTGAGCTGCGCTGCCGTGTGACAACCGTCACGCGCCGCTGGATTGACGGCAGCCAAGTCGGGGAGGTCATCGCAGGTGAGTGAGGAGGTGCCGCGGCCCGGATTTGGCCAAGGAAGGCTTTGTCAGCAAAGTGCCTGGTGATGTCCTTCAGTGTCATATATGAGGGACGGGTCGTTTACCGCTTGAAACACGGTGTTCTGCGCTTTGACGTTTGGGTTTGTGACGACTAAACGCTATCGGCCGCAGGCTTCGATCAAGAAGCGGCCGCTGTGCTTATGGGACGCCTGGCAACGCACAAGATGGAGACGGAGGAGGACTTTGACGCGACACGGTGGCTTGACCGCGCACTGATCCGCCTGGCGCAGCGCTTTGGCGACTACCGCAAAGACGACCCGCAGTCCTTCAACCTGCGGTCCGAGCTCAGCTTCTATCCGCAGTTCATGTTCCACCTGCGGAGGAGCCCATTCGTGCAGGTCTTCGGCAACAGCCCGGACGAGACGGCCTACTACCGGATGGCGTTGTTCCGGGTGTCGGTCCCAGACGCCATGGTGAGCCAGGCACCAACGAGGGAGAGCGTGTGCTTATGTCCTAAGGTTGCGTTTTAACATCACACTGGAGAAATGGCACCGGGGAAATGGCATTACATCCCAAGACCAGTGCTTATCGGTCGGTTTTGGTAAGACGCAGCATATTAGATACGGTTAGGAGTTGAGGCCTGCCCACAGCAGATGGATTGTGACACAATATACAGCCCCGGCACCGCCAGATGGCATGTGCAGTGCCTGGTATCGTTTCGTGGCATTCCGTATATCGTATTTCGTCCTGGAGGGGCGAACGGAGGCTTATCTCACCTATTTGCTTGCTTTCCGGCCTGGTCCCCCAGGTGATGATTCAACCGCAGCTGATGGCATACCACTTCAACGGACCACCGGAGCCCGTCCTTTTGGACGTCTCATCCATCTTGCCAGAGCGCCTCCTCTTGCTAGACGCCTACTTTTACGTCGTCGTGTTCCACGGCACTACCATCGCGCAGTGGCGCAAGGCGGAGTACCACCGGCAGCCCGAGCATGTCGCATTCGCGCAGGTACGTTACCGGCCCAGGGTCGTTAGGTCTCCTACATGGCCATGCCTTGTGGGTAGCCCCGATTCACGGGCTCTACGGGTGTTTGTCTCGACGGCTAATGTTGGCAGCACCGTCATGGTTTCTCCATGTGGTGTGCAGGTGCTGTCAGCGCCTCAGGCGGAGGCGAAGGAGATTGTCAAGCGGCGGTTCCCAGTGCCCAAGATTGTCGAATGCGATAACAACGGCAGTCAGGTGGGCATAGTCGTGTCATTGTGCGCCTGCGAGGGTATTGGTAAGCAGGAGCTGCGTCTGGTGTGGGGTTCTTAATGTATTCGGGAGGCCCGTATCCTATCAGATTTGGTGGGATATGGGGTTCCATTTCCCACTTCCCTAGCATGGGATGAGAATCCGCAACAAACGCATCGGTTTGTTCGCCATGGCTATTGGTGTTACTCCTTTGGCCGACGATTACTCGTTCTGCAAGATGCGTTGGCTTTCCACTTGTAGGAGTGTACCATGTGCTTGTCCTGTCGCACCCTGTCACCTGTGTAGTTGTTTTGTATGCTGCTGCTAAAGACCTTTTTTCAACCTCCTACAGGCCCGCTTCCTGCTTGTCAAGCTTAACCCATCCTCCACATACACGTCGGCAACGCCAATGTCGGCGGAGGTGATCAACACCGACGACGTCAGCTTGGCGACGTTCACGGAGCACCTGAAGCGGCTGGCGGTGCAGTCTTGAGCAGCAGGGGACGCGTGATGACGTTGGGGCCCCGCTGCCGACATTGCATGAAAACTCCCTAGATGGATTGGGGGGCATTGGGCTGCTTGACTAGGTTTTGACTTCGGGTGTTTGCATTTGGGAGTGTTTCTGGTTTGATCCATCACGGCACATTGACGGTCTTGCGGAGAGGCAGGCTTGCCCGGGTGATGTGCACGGGGTACTTGCGAGTTGTTTGCTGAGGTTGGGTCTGTGACGAGAGAAATTCTTAGGGACTGACTCTTTGACCGGGTCGGTGTCTGGTTGGACAGCAGAGATGGCTATTATGACCTTCATGTGTGCTTCGTACAGCGAACGGTGTAGGGCAGGCTGAGGCGCCTGACGTTGGTATCCGGGCGATTAATCATGGATAGGCCTATTGTTCGTTTGGAGCCCTTCGCATTGGGCACATCACGGTGGTTCAGCTGTTAGGGTTACTGTGTGGACCTCGCCGCCGGTAATCCGTTGGCTCCTTAACTGGCCGTGTGGTACGCATGCGCTGTCACCAAGTGCGGCTGTATCGATAATCCCTTCAAACAAGGGCACATATGTAATTATGACTTAGACTGGGCGTGTCATATTCTTGCAGTACTAGACGGCCGGGCAGCTTTCTGTGCATTCCCACGGAGCAACTACAACGCTGACATGGCCCTAGCGGTTGCTTACTGATTATAATGCATCTAAAGGGAACTGTGCCACAGAGGATCCGACACTAAAAACACTGTGTAGGACAGGACAGTATAAAGACAAGTCCCGTACCACGGCCCGGACAGCGCCAACCCCCTGAAACCCCCTTGGCCTCCCACTTGTTAAACCGCACGTCATGCAGGCGGACCCGCCCGTTTACCGGGGATGTTGATCTCCGGCCGTAGTGAGGTCTTCCCAGCGCCCAAGGCGTATACTCGCGGCTCGCAGGTGCGTTATTGCATCAGTATGTGACTAGTCGCCACCGTCAGGAGCTTTATGCAGTACTGTTCCATCCTCGTCGGTAGTCCATCAGGTACCGGTCAAGAGGTACCGCGGCATTAGTGTTATTACGAAAGGTGCATGGCCCAACCAGTACTCGCCGGCGAGTAGGAGGCTACTGCTTGGCGCAGACATGAGTGAGCATGTGAACTGATGACAGTTGAACTGATGACAGTTGAACCCTTCTCGTTATTATTGAAAGGGTTAATTCCCAGCTTACCGAAACGGTTACGACCCACGGGACACAACCATGCAGCTGCCGCACCGTAGGTTCATCAGACCTGTGTAAACAGAATTCCTGCAGCGTGTAGCGTTGACGTCCTTAGATAAGCACGATTGCTGATCAGCCGAGTTTACGTATCGCACGACACTTTGTAACAGCATGTGGGCGACGTCCTTTTAAAAACTGCACTTGAAGTTACTTTTTATTAGATTTAACATCTCAAGGTGGGGATTAGCGACTGTTCTTTGATGGGTTATGGACTGTTGAGACAGCTAAGTGACCCAGTTATTGCCCGCCGGATGCCAAGGAGCCATGTAATTATTATTGATCTTGGGACTTCTTCGAGTTGGAAGCTTTAGTGTATACCCGGTATCCAGCTGGATCTGGTTCAGTTGCAAGATAAGCTACTAGAGGCCCAAACAACTATGAAACGTTCCTGCATGTTAAAACTTGAAATTCTAGATTTACTTGCTTGCAAATAAAGCATCAGGATGTCTCCTCGTTTTACTCGCGTCGGTTCGCGTTCGATGGCTGTTGAGGCCCAAATGCACCAAAGCAACATACGAAATAATGTTTACTGTATCTTAAACTCGCATTTGTGAGTTAAATTGAGCATCCTAAGGGATCGACCGTCCCTGGGTCGGTACCGGCTGGCCTTAAGTTTATCATACAAAACCAAGCACATGGCCCTACTGAAGGTGTGGATATACCATTGCACAGAGCAGCCTGCACCACAGAGCAGCCAGAGCGGTGGTCTCGAACGTCGTGATCACGCAGCCAAACTTCACAGTGAAAGCAGGTTCTGAAGTTGCTGTCCATGGTTCCTTTAGGTTGTTCCTTGCACGATTTTTCTCCCTGACACTTGAATCACCGGCTTCGGAACCATTGTACGGGGGCTTCGGGGCTTCGTTGGGCTTCAACATGAAGTTTGGAAACGGTCGAGGAGATTTAACTGCTGTTGATCTTTTCTTAGTCTAGGACGCCATATGGCGCATTTGTAACCCTGCTCGACGGTTGACGTTTGCAAATACTAAGCCCTGACATCTCAAGGCTTTCCGTAGTTTGGCCAAGCAGGCCTGGGCAGGTGGCCTAGGCTGCCACCATGAAACGAATCCGTGAGGATGTGCAGCCAACAGGGCCGATGAAACGCAGCAGGTGCGTTCCCCTGCGGCTGCTTGCGTTCGGTTTGCCGGTTGGCTATACCAGTCCTGCTGGGCTAGGCACGGCCTATGGATTGATAACTGTCAGCTCTGGCGTGTGCTTTGGGGCTGTGCTCTGCAGCGGTCCGCCTCGGCCTACGCAAGCCCCAGCGCAACCGACCACCATGGGCGGCACCAAGCTGACCACTAATGACGCATTAAGTTATCTGCGGGAGGTTAAGAACCGCTTCGCCGACCAGAAGGATGTCTACGACACGTTCCTGGAGATCATGAAGGAGTTTAAGGCGGCCAAGTAAGGATGGCGCGACCTGGGTCAGCCCCACCGGGACTTGCCTTAAACAACTGCCGGATGCCAGCTTTGCATTGCATATATAAGCAGTCATGTTATTTGTCTAATGTGCATTTTTTGCGTTAATGCTCTCCAACAGTTAGCGAACTGTGCGCGGGACGGTTAAGGTGTTGATGCTCCCGTTTCCCGCACTTGTTGCGCTCAGGATTGACACTACTGGTGTCATTCACAAGGTCAAGCAGCTCTTCAAGGGACACCGAGAGCTGATTCTGGGCTTTAACACGTTCCTTCCGCGGGTGAGGTCTAGTCACGCGACGTCGTTGGCCGCCAGCTTGCTGACCGTTGGCCCCATTTTCAGGGATACGAGATTGAGCTTCAACGCGTCTCGGACGATGAGGAGGAGGAGGACCAGGTTAGCAGAAATATGTCACGTATACTTCGGGCTCTTAATTTCCATGCCTGCGGGACACATGTGCTGGCCGGCCCCGGTTCGGTGGAACATCGTCCTGGAAACTGATACAATTTCTTGTCCCTCATTCACAGGGAAGTAAGCAGCCTGTCGAGTTCGACCAGGCTATTAATTATGTCAACAAAATTAAGGTACGTACGTCGGTAGGGCAAGAGACGCGGCCGCTTGGTATGGAGTTGCTTACCCCGGCACGCACCTTACTACACCAACACCACATTAATCCTCCTTAATCGTCCTCAACCATGTTTACTGTGTGAACCAGACACGCTTTGCGAACGATGAGCGGGTGTACAAGGCATTCTTGGAGATTCTGAACATGTACCGCAAAGGTCAGAAGACCATTAACCAGGTCTACGACGAGGTACGGCTCGGAGCTACACTAACAATTTTGCCGCCCGTACAACTCACCACTCTTCGAATTCTAACAGATCCGTTTCTTTATTATCTTAATAAAAAAACCCCACGCCTACAGGTGGCTGTGCTGTTCCGCAGCCATCCGGACCTCCTGGAGGAATTCACGTACTTCCTTCCGGATGGCACGCAGTCCGGCGCGGTGGGTGCGGCTAGAGGCAGATCAAACCTCAGGGTTTCTTCCAGTGTGCCTCATTGGCAACTGGTTGCTCGTCCAGTCTCCACTAAAAACCCCGATATCACAATGCATAGTAGCTTACATTTGCGTTTTCATCTATTTATCCTAACTTGCAGGCAAATCGGCAGCGGGCTGGCTTCCCGCCGCCGCGCCGGCCTGGTCAGGGCCCAGTACAGCAGGTGCCGGGGCGGATGCGCGTACCCCCTCAGCCATACCCTGGTGGGCCCATCAGTCCCGACATGCGCAACTTGCATCATAAACGGAAAACGAAAACGGAGGGCGGGTTCCGTCGTGATGGCGATGGTAAGCACAAATGCACCCTGGGTTAATCTTCTGTATGCTGTGCTTCACAGCGTGCTGCCCGCCAACACCTCGTCTGGGGGCCCCATTATTAAGATGACAGCCGGGGGCCCGTTCGTACGTGCACATGAGCCTGATTAATGGATATCGTGCATGGCACTTGAGGGCGTCGATTGGTCGGACCCTAAGGGAGGTCTAAGTGGGTTACGGTTGGGGTTTTAAATGCATGCAGAGGACGATGACATGGGCCGGTCAGGCCGGCCACAGCTGGCCAAGGAGCTGGTATACTTCGAGCGAGCTAAGCAGCGGCTGCGCAACAAGGACGCCTACAACGATTTCCTGAAATGTCTCAGCATGTACACTCAGGAAATTATCAGCAGACAGGAGCTGCTGCAGCTGCTGAACGACATCATTGGCCGCTTCCCGGACCTCATGGTAGGATGCTGTTCGCTTCGGGAGTGCGTCGGAGGTTGTGGCGACGTAAATTACCAAATGAAGTTTTTGCGGTTTCAGGTCCAGCAGTCCACACATAGGCACCGTCTAGGTCGCATGGTTGTACGAGACAACCGGTTGCATGTGCTGTGGTCCGGGCCGCTTGCTGGGTTTGGGGCCCGGGGATTGCCCAGCTGGAAGCGGATATTAGTTACAAGGCCCCTTGGCAACCTGCATGCAAAAGGCGAATCAAGCAGCATGAGCTGGGGATTGGTCTGTGCGTCGTGTGGTATGGGCAAGGAGTTGCTGGACTGGTTGGGCTGTAGGTAATGAGAGCATACAGATATAAAAAGGGACAACAGAAGCTGCTTCCTCGAGCACCTTTCTTAAGGGATCTACACTTTTGTTCCCGCGAGCAGTCCGGCTTCCACGAGTTTATTGCCAAGTGCGATCTCATGGAGATTGACGAGAACAAAGTGCGTGGGCTAGCGGCGCAGAACCTGCAGCGACAGCGAATGCGTGAGGAGGAGCTGCAGCGGCAGAAGTACCTGACGAAGCCGCTCAGTGAGATTGTGTCGGGCGACACGGAGGTGAGAGCCGAGGGAGCTGCTTGCTGTTTCTGCACAGGCCCTGTAAAGGCTCCGCATGTGAATGCAAACACAGCGTGATCTGGGCTGCCTGGTTAGGGGTGTGTGGGAGTGTCGTTTTACCATGTGCCACCACGAGAAACAGCTTTGTGAACACCGTCTTCTCCCTTTGCAGCGTGTCACACCGTCATACGTCAAGATGCCTCCGGGTTATCCGCATCTGGCAAGCTCCGGTCGGACGCCGCTGGCGGAAAGCGTCCTCAACTCGGAATTCGTGAATGTGATTACGGGTAGCGAAGACTACTCATTTAAGCTGATGCGCAAAAACCAGTACGAGGAGTCTTTGTTCAGGTGGGTTGTCCCGCACAACAGGGGGGCTGCTCGCCTGGAACGTGCTGGGTGCTGGGAAAGGGTGGGCGAGGACTACGGGCAGTATGTGGGCACACGCTGTTTCAGGTTCGGGATCTTGGCCGGTGTATGTAAGGCTACCGTGGCCCCGGCAAGGCAAGCAACTCGTGTACGCTGATTTACTGGGTACTAATTAATGCGTTACTTATGCTGTTCCGTTACGCGGCACGATGACGACCTGCGATCATATTGTTCGACAGGTGTGAGGATGATCGTTATGAGTTCGAAATGGCGATCGAGCGCAACGTGGCCACCATGAAGGTGGGTTGCAATAGCAATCTGCGGTCTGTGATGGCTGTTTGGCCTGAGCACATTCATTGCTATGAAGCTTTTCTCGCGTTGTTGTAATGCAGCGTTTGAAGCCTATTGCCCAGAAGATTGCGACGATGGCACCAGAGGAGCGCGTCGTTTTTAAGTTTGACGAAAGCATTTTGGGCCCAGTGCACTGGAGGTCCATTGAGCGCCTGTACGCCGATCAGGTGCGGCTGCTACGTGCAGATGTTAAGACACAGCTCCACCGTCGTGTTAGTAATCCGTGTTATTCCGCTTCGCGAGGCGGCTCCGGGAGCATCTGCGCTTGGAACTTCTCAATCCCAGACTTCCCGCAACCCTAGACTTCCGTTGTCGTCGGCGCACTTGCTGCCTCTCGCAGGGCCCGGTCCTGATAGACCTGCTGCGGAAGAACCCGGTGGTGGCGATTCCGGTGGTTGTTGCACGCTTGGAGCAGAAGGACGAGGAATGGTGGGTTCAGGGCGATGCGCGCTCGTAGGGTTCCTACGCTTGCACTGCGTGCATTCCCGTGTATCGCCAGCGTTTATGCTCCGCCTACATGAGTCTTGCCAGCAAGACGACGTCAACCGCATAAAACGTCATTTCCGCGCGTGACTCGCAGGCGACGTGTCCGTGTGGAAATGACACGAGTGTGGAAGCGTATTTACGAAGCCAATTATCACAAGTCCTTGGACCACCGGTCCTTCTACTTCAAGCAAGCAGAGAAGCGGTAAGTCTGGGGTTGAGCAGTCGAGGTCCTGGAAGCTGGCAGGGCTTCCTTGGTGAACGTTTTCGAGGTGCTTACAACTGAAACCCTGATGCATGTTCTCCCTGGTGCAGGGCACTCCTGCCGAAGACGCTGGTTGCGGAGGTTCGCGAGGCTGCCGACCGACGCCGCCAGGACGAGCGGTCGTTACGTGCACTCAGCCTGGCGTACCGTTACGATGCCGTGCTGGAGTCATCCACTGGCGATCTCACATATGACTACTCAGAAAAGTGAGCCATTCACCCCTATGACTGTGGGCTCGTGCATGCGCCACTACCGGTATATAGTCCCCGGCTAACCTTGGGTAACCGGTGCAAACCTACAGGACGGTGTTTGGTGATATCTATCGCATCCTGCGCACGGCAGTGGACGAAACGCTGGGGGGCGGGCATCGGGAGCAAGTTCTGGACCTGTACCTCGGTCTCCTCGAGCCTTTCTTTGGTCAGGAAGTGCGGCAGGCGGAATTAGAGGCGTTGCGCTCGGCCGTGGCTGAGAGCGAGGACGACGGCGATGCCGCTGGGTCGCGGCCCAGCGGCGCGGCTGGTGGCCGCGGGCGCGGGGGCCACCGGGGGCGAAGCGGCCACCACCATAACCATCATAGTCTGCAAGCAGCAGCGGCGGCGGCTGCAGCAGCGGCCGCTGCTGGGGCGGCAGCTAATAACAACGCCAGTGCTCATGGCGCCAGTGAACCATTAGCCGGGGCAGCAGAGGGCGGAGAGGCTGACCTGAAGAGCGAGAGCAGTGACCAGGAGGGTGTTAAGACGCGGGGCGACGAGGAGATGACGGATATGGGTACGTTACAATGCCGCGCATGGGTCGTGATTTCCTCGGGATTACACGCACCCATAGGTTTCTCTGTGCAAATCCGGCCAGATCATGTCTGTACAGTGTCAACGACATGCACCCTTTGAAGCAAGGAAATGTGTCGTGCTAGCAAGTTGTGTCACTTCCCTTGCAAATTTTAGACGGACGGTTGCATCTTTGCCGAATTGTGACTAGGTGTCTGTCATTTCGAGGTGTGGTCTAAGCTGACAAGGGTGTGATTATAATGGCTGTATACTAAACGCAGAGAACAAGACTCCTCAACCCGGGGCGACGCCGGAGCCGCGGCCCGTGGAAGAGGCCGGGACAAATGCTGCCGGCAAGGAGGGCACTGCAGGCGCAAGCGATAAGGAGGGTGACGAGGACGAGACTTCGGCCGATGCTCGACGGGGCCAAGGGGAAGACAGCACGGGCGCGGCGGGCACAGCGGAAGGCACCAATGCGCATGGGGCAATGTCGGATTCGCGCATGGATCGTGCTTACGCGGCATGCAAGCCTCTGGCCGCGTACACTGGCGGGCCATCCGGCAGCGATGTCCCCGTTGGGCACCATTTGCTGTTTGGGAACGAAAACATTTACATTTTTTACAGGTGAGAATCTAAGACGTGGGTGTCTTAGGGTTTAGGGTCAACCCGTACCTAGGCTGGGTGGCCTGTCTTTAGGGCCTGGTAAACTGATACAAACATCCCCACTTGTCTTACCTGTTTTCTTCTAGGTACCATCGTATCCTGTTCGACCGGCTCTGCACAGCAAGGAAGTGTGTCCAAGCGAAGTGCAACGCCGCCGCTGCCAACAGCGGCCGACAGCAGCAGTCAGACGCGAATCTGGGGGGCGCTGTCACCCCGGAGGCGCCTGAGGTACGTGTCGTGGCGCTACCTGGTCACTGGTGGCTGTGGACGTGGGAATTCCAAGATCGTACATCGTAACTGATAGTAACGCGAAAAATGACAGACAGCCCTTGGGACTTTACCCTTGGGCATGTATGTTCATATGAATTGTACGAAGTTGTTTGTGCATGGAAGGCGGTTATTGAGGTACCGCATTTGTGGTCTTGCATTATTGCCCGCGACCAGGCGCGCAATGCTGCCAACGCTTTTGAGGAGCTGCACTCGTCCTTCATGTCAATGCTTGTGAGGGTGATACGGGGCCAGCTGGAGAGCAGCGTTTACGAGGACCAATGCCGCAGTTTGCTGGGGACGGGATCCTATGAGCTGTTCACGCTGGACAAGCTCTCGGCAAAGATCGTCAAGCACATGCAACTGATGCTGCAGGACGAGACGACCACCAAGCTTTGGGAGTTATACAAGTGCGTCATGATTGCATGGGTTGCGAAGAGGTTGACAGTTGCCCTGTGCTTCGGACTGCACCTTGACTATATGCCTCTCCAAATGAAGGGCGCCGCACGTTAGAGAGTTGTGCTCAGTTGGTAGCGCAAGCCTGGGATCCCGCAGTTGATGCTGCTCGTACCCGTTCCCGGTGGAGCGCTTGACAGGGTTCTTGTTTTCTCGACATGCGTGCGCCCGCAGGTACGAGCGTTCGCGGACGCTTCCCATCCACACTACGTTGTACCATGTGAACTGCCATGCGGTCTTAACGGACGACCCATGCTTCCGCATTGCTTACAATACCGGGAACTCGACACTCACCATTACGCTCGTCGAACCCGACAAGGCACCGGAGGCGTTGGGCAACGCGGCGGAGGGCTACGTGACGGATTATATCAAGTGCGTAATGCATATCATGTGCGATACATGAAATATGTTTTGGGACTTGCGGGTGCCGATGCAGACCATTGGTGTACGCATGGCATCCGTTAAGAGGAGCCCTGCAGGCCGGTTCTGTGATGGCTAGCAAACGTCGGGTTGGTCTTGATTTGGGAGATCGGGTCGGGCTTAGGACATCGGTAGTCAATCAAGCTTCAGAGTCACACCACTTTGCACTGTCTTCTGTTTCGTGCAGGAGTTACGTTAGCACGCCGACCCCGTGCCCCCCAACGGAGTGCCAGCTATATCTGAAGCGCAACCTGTCGCAGCGGGCACGTCAGGGTCCGGATGCTGAGCTTGTAGAGGTGCTCCGGTCCGTGGCTATCTTCAACGGTCTGGAATGCAAAATCAGCTGTACGACATCCAAGGTTCGTGATGATGTAGGGTGTGTCAGTTGACCTATTGGTGAATAGTTATCGGGGAGTCCTCAAACGCGGCGCTATGGCTGTATTGGCGCCAATCACGCTCCCAAGCCTAGAACCCTCATATATCCCTTCCTTTAATGAACCTGATAAGGCCTCCTGGGTGTTTTGAATTTCACATTCGAACTGCAAACCCTTAATGCTGCCGGAAATTTACATTGCCAAGTGCATGTCATGTCTGTATAATGTCTCTCTTTGTTGCCACCCTGTAGGTGTCGTACGTGCTGGACACCGAGGACGTGATGTGCCGCAAGCTGCAACAGCGCCGCTCGGAGACGGACAGCCAGAAGCAGCTGCGTTCCGACCGCTTCACGCGCTGGTTAGATGAGCGTACAGCAATACGCAGCGAGGTTGAGGCAATAATGGCTCTAGGCGGTAATGGCACGGGCGATGCGGCGTAGGCTTTTGCTGCATACATGTGCTTGCAGGCATAACGTGGCGGTTACGGCATAGCTTGGGCGATAAGCATGGTCCTGGTGTACGATGGAATTGGACAGGCTTTGTACCGTGCATGAAAAGTCTACTGAGCTCGAGCCGGGACATCGGACTTTTAACCATTGATATTACTTTAATGAATGTAGCGGAAGCAGATCTACCGGTAGCGGCCTTTCGGTTCTGTATGGTCGGCAGGTTGCCCTGCATGCCAGTCTGCTAACAATCACATTTTCGGTGCCGGATGGTCCCAACCGAGTAATTACGGCGGGCCGCAAATGCCCCTGTCTTCGTTGGGTTCCCTCCATTGATGTTGCTATGACTATACATCTGGGGATGACGTGTGCGCGGACCGGACCGATTTTTCACTGGACACTTGTGCAATGTATGAGGGGGCAGTGCGTTACAGAAATCTCCTGTTCTCATACGTGGTGACTAAGCAGTAGTAGGGCCTTCACGCGGCCCAGCGGACATCGCAGAATCTCATGGCTGTCGGGACTGACGTTTAGATGTGCACATATTTCTCGAGGGTCTTGGGAGGGCGTGGCTCCGCCAAGGTCCAGGAGCTGATATGAGAATAGTTTGATTTGTCACATGGCATGGGTTGGGTATGGAAGGATGTTGCGGCTGCACGCGTAGTTATTGACGAATGCCATCCCATCGGCGTATTTATGAAGTCTGGATGACGCCTGCGGGTTGGGCTGTAACATGTGTTGAGACATCGTCCCTTTACATCGACTATTAACCCTGCTGCGGGGCTCGGTATTGTGTGGCCTGCATTCTCGGCCTCGACGATGGCATGTCAAAAAGACATATGTAGAATTCCTCAAGATGGCTTGCATGTGCGTACTGGTGCTGCGTCAGGTGCAGACGTCGCATAGGCTGGCGGCAGAGGCTTTGACAGATAATGTATCATTGTCCCTTCGACGGGCGCCCTCCCTCGCGACGTCGAAGACGGCCTTGTATGAGAGTATGGTCTGCCTGAATTGCGGTGTATGCATCTATCGTGTTGCATGTGAGGCAATGCATCCATTTCGGGGTAGACATGCCGCCGAAGCAGTGCAACACAATTAAAGAATCAACGGCTCCAAGTACGCGTCGACAGGTTGGAGGAGCCTCTTCTGTCCTTGCAGTTTGGACCAATTTGCATTACCGATACGTGAAACGGCCCAAATTGCTGCCAATTTTTCTCATTCTGATTCGCAGGTGGGCCGCAATTCATGCCTTACAGACAGAAGCATTGGACTGGGCTGGGTTAAACTTTGATGAAAGTGAATTGCACACGTTGACACTGTTGCCCACTTTATTGCCGCGTACATACGATTTGTATGGCAGGTTGACAGTTTTTACTGCCGTGTCACAAATTGCTTAAATTACCTTATAAGCTAATAGCTCACAGGGCAAGCATTATGACACGGGTGCCGTGCAAATCCACAGTTAAAGCTGCCCCTAGGGGCTCCCTCGTCACTCGCTCGACGTCTATCGGATTGCCGCGAAGTTGAAAATGTCATCGACTAGAATTGGTAAGGGCCCCAATCGTGTCAAAGGTTAAATTTGTAGTGAACCATTAGCTGAGCGCCTATGGTCATGGTGTATGGTAAGACAAAGTTTCCCCGCACCGGGCCCCTCCACGAGATAGAGTTTGCTTTGGAGGAGTACGCCACCTCATAGCCTTTCCTTGCGCAAAAGCCCTCAGTTAAGCATGGTTCCCAATCCCCATTTGCAACTACTGGAAAGGCCAGCTCATGCTGACGGCTTTCATCGTAGAGGCCGACGCCTGGCTACTGCAACAACTTGTTGCAGATTGAATCTGCTGGAATTGTGAAAGTGGGTCTTGATGGCATGCTCTACGATCAGGTACCTGTGTACCGGGACCCGCGGAATACACGCCGAAGACACGGCAGACTCTTTAAGTGTACTGAGCAGGCTGGCAATCAGCTGCTGCAAACGCTGAATAGAGAGGACGTTCCCAGAAGCCTCTGGCGTGCTTTCTGCCAGCGACGGATCTTCTGAACCCCAACGGACACGCCCGCGAGCAGGTTCTGGATACGATTTCGTGGCTCGGAGTCATTCCGCCCCGGTTCAAGGTTCGTTTACTAACGGAAATGTGACGGACCTGAGCTGCTGCACGTGCAACGTTTCTTTTCAGGCCTGTGCCCGTTGCGGTGATCCTCATCCGCATACTTTGCCATGGCTCGCGGCCAGCTGCACGTCGCTCGACATGTCCAAGTTCTTCAATAACAAGTATGTCCGTCCTACGTGTGCTGTACGGGTTCTGGGCTTTACAGGTTGGGCCCACGGCTAGGGCCTTGCCTTGGGTGGAAGTGCGAGCACTGAAGCTGCCTGTCCACGGGCAAACTCCGGAAATCGCTAATTCACATCGCACAACAATCTCCTTCCGTTACTTATAATCCTGTCTTTTACCCTCCCGGGCCATGGTCACGTCTGTATTGCTCAGATACGTCGGGGACCCCGTCACACGACCTATCAATCCTGCTGCAAATTCCGAGACGTTAACCGCGACGCGCTTCATTCGCATCCGGCCGTCGGTTCTTCCCCCCATAGCTCACCACATCCTGCCTGCCTGTTACAATCATTGCCGCAGCTACCACTGCCTGGTCCCGGAGCTAGCGGCTGGGACTTTGAACCCGTCCCGGACCTCACCCCGTTGTTGGAGACACTGAGTCGCGGTCAAAAGTTTCGGGGTGCGGCAGTGCCCATCATCATCGGTGCGTACTCCCTGGGGAAGGGAGGTGCGGGAGCTGAAGGGTTTACCTTCATTCGTGTCTGTTATCGTAGGCGCCCTTTGTTACTGTATTGCGATCGTAGCCCCGGGTGCCTGCAGGGGGTATGTTATGCACATGACAGGCTGCTGCTAGTGTGGGGCTCGAGGACAAGAAGCCTCCAAGCCAATCATATTCTCGGTCCTCGGTTTCAGGTTCGCATGCTGTTGCTTCTCCCATGCCCCCTGCAGATTTGACCTGTTCCCAACAACCCCCCGGCCCGTGTACCGGCCCCATCACTATCACCCCTGCCGCCACAATGCGGCAAGCTGGGATCCCTCTACCGTCCACCGGCTTCTCTCGTCCGCGTGCAAGCCCGGTGACATCCCGCTACCGGTGGCAGTGGCTGTCGGCCGCCTCGTCCCGCTCTATGCGTAGCTGCTGCTGCGCCTGGCGGCTGCAAGGGCCCTATAAGTTCAGCTGCACGAGCCCATCCTCACCACCACCACCACCACCACCACCACAACCGCAGAAGGTCTTCGACACGTTTTTTAAATCACCTACCAGGCCTTGGCACTAGTAACCGGCAGTGGCAGTAACTACCTGACTTGACGCACAGGCGGGGTATCACGTACACACCTACGCTCAACTTCCGATCAACTACGCCCGCATGCCTCTTTTCGCGGCTCTCAGTTCTGAAGAGGATGTACGTCGTCTGGACCTCTTCCTGCCTGGGGATGTGTAGCGGCGTATGAAGGGCGGCGCCGGGCCCCAGTCCAGCACTATGGAACCCAAGAGGCCACATCCCCATCCAGCCCGCGCGGATAGCTCTGTAGTCCCACCCTGTTTCACGCCACCTTTCTGGAAGAAGCTCCCTTGGCGCCGTCCTGCTGCCCGCCCGTCCCAGGCGGGTGTGCACATCCACCTAGTCACCTACTATGACGATTTGGGCTCCGCCTACCCGTGGGCCATACGGCTGCCTGTTCAGATCATCACTATTGACTTCCTGGGCTCGCCCGGGGCCAGCGTGCCCAGCCAGACCATGAACCTGATCAGGCCCACGGCTGGGCGTGGTCGATGTGCGTTCCATGTGGGCTGACGATGGTGCGTACTGGAAGGGGAGCGGGATGTCTACCACCGTCGTGTGTGGCCCCTTCTGGCCCCTAATGACCCTAATGGCCACAGCGGAGGGCTTTCCTAGCATCGAAAATGCCTACCTGTCTGATTAGGTTTACTTTCCGGAATGCGTGGGCGGTTGCCACCTTGGTGCCTGATCCGCTGTCCCACCTCAAGCACTCCTCACCAACAACACGTCCCAAAACGTGCCTCTTGTCGGAGCGGTACCGTTAAAGCTGGTGCCCGCTGCACATATACATCTGGCTGTCTTCGTTTGGAGGCTCGGTATCCTAGAAACCACGCACATACATGCATAAGTCGACACACCGTCTCCGTTCCCCCGTTGCTCCCCTCTACCCGGCAAAATCCCCTAACCATCCCCGTGCACGATGTCAGGCACCGCGGCTGCTCTGGTGCGGGAGTTGCTGTCCTTTGGGCTCTCCACGGACCGCCTGATGATCACCACCTCCACACCGCTGCACGCTTGCCGTACGACCTGAGCCTTGAAGGGGAACACGTGCCACCTGGCCTTCTCAACCCAAAAGCTGGCGGAGGTGGCTGGCGGGGCCGCCGCGACCGCTCGTGGCGACCTGGCGGCTGTGGGAGCGCCGGCAGCTGATGAAGTCCCAGCCGAAGGGTTAGTGGCTGCGGTAGCGCCGCGGCTGCTTGAGGATGATGTTCGTCCGTTCGCAGCCGTACGAGGTCCGGGAGCTGCAAGTGCAGATGGGGGCGTTCCCCACCACCATCATCGGCTGCTTTCCGCAGACAGCAGGTGAGTACGCACGGTTTAGACATGGTGGACGTTGTGGCGGCGTTGGTCGACAGGGACGGACCTGGTTTGTTTGCCCATATGGGGAGTACTTATTCAAGCTCTGGGCACTAGAAACCTGTTTCGCATGCCTTGCTTTCCCTGCCCTGCACTCTGGCATCGTCTGTTGCTGCTCCCAATGTTGCTGCTGCCGGTGCCGCGTGCAGAAGTCCGATGGATTTGTCAGCAGCTCAGGAGGGCCAAGTTATTCGGGGTCGAGTACGAGCAACTGATCACGGGACGAATCGCCGGCAATGTGTGGGTGCAGGAGGCGCTGGGTATTGCGATGTGTTGGTGCACGGGGAGTCCGAGCGCACGGACATAGTAAAGTGAGTTGGATGGGATTGGTGCTGCCTTTGTGGTGATGGGCTGGGGGGCATGGGCTCTGAGGATCATCCGCTCACGGGGGACCCACTTTTTACAATATCACGCTCTGAATCGCGAGGAGGCCGCAGGGTGCGAATGATTGCATCGAGGCTGGCTCGGTCCGGCCACCTCCTTCCGTCCGCTTCCCTATAACACCTTTCCTCTCCCACGCGGGTACTTCGGCTCCAAGCTGGGCGGCATGTGCTTTACCACCTCGGGCTGGGTGCAGAGCTACGGCAGCCGCTACGTACGGCCGCCAGTCATCATGTCCGACACTGAGTTCCAGGGCTCAATAACGATGTGGGAGTGCCCGGTGAGGTTGGGTGAGGATTGGGGCCTCATGGTGGGTGGGGGTGCGTGATTGAGGAAGTGAGATGGAGCTGTGCGGATACCAACGAAATCGCCTCTTGGGTGATGATACGTGCGGTTAGATGAATGATTGCTAAAATGAGGCTGGCTGGGCGCTGGCAACGCGCCGATGGGTGGACTGGTAATTCACCGTACCTCGTGACAGTTGCACAAATGCCGTTATTGACGTTATTTATGGCGCCCGCTGGCCCGCTGGCCCATGGTCAAGGGCAGATTGACGGCCCTGGCCCTTTCCATGAAAGGACATCAGCCCCTTCCGGCATGCGCTTCAGATGACCCTGGCCCTGCGGCTGGAGGTCGCCGCGCTGGAGGCAGCCGGATGCAAAGTGGTGTAGGTACGGAAGTGTATAAACAAACAAATTGCTGTACACAACCTGATATTAGCAGGCTCTTGCAGGCGTTTGGTCTGCAGCTGAGCCATGCAAGATTGCCGTACTCCTTTTGACTGCTGCAACGCGTGTACGGTAAAATGGACGAGCAGATGGACGAGCTGCACTGAGGGAGGGTCTGCCCCTGAACCGCGAACGCTGAGACAGTTGCCTGGGTTGGGCAGTGGACGCGTTTTGGCTGTGTACGGCTGTAGCAGCGCCCGCCACTACGATGGTCACGCACCTGAGAAACAGCGACACAGGATGTGCTGACAATCGAAAACTCCCGGTCCGACAACGCCATGACCGCCGCGTTGGCGGCGACTGGATACAGCCGCGACATCAGGCCGGTGGTGTACGACGTCCACAGTCCTGAGGTGCCGTCCGAGGGGTTCATCGGATCGCGGATTAGGTACGCTCTACGGCGGTGAGCGTTATACTTCTACCCTGCTCCTCAAGCCGAAGGAAGTACCAAACAGTACGGGTGAACTGGAACTAACAACAACACTTCCCCGTCGGCCTTTCATATTTCTGCTTTTACCCAGAGCTGTATGTCGTGTGTAATAGAACCGGGGTTGCAGCTTGCATGCTAAGCGCGTGTCAGCCAATGCCGAATGTGCAACACGGCCGGTATGCAATTACAGCGACCAAGATACCGGAATGGTAGATGTCCTGAACGGCGGACAACATGCAGCGAAGCGTTCACGTTGTTTAGCTGCACCATCGACAATGTATAAATTGTCCTAGGGCGCAGTTTGGGGTTGCTGTTGGCGTCGGTGGTGGGACGCGTACGGGGACCAGAACGTCGTCTGGGTTGCGGGAATTAAAAAGGGGTGGGGTGCAGGAGCATTGGGCAGGTGACGGCCGTGCTCTCATAAGCATGTTACGGCAGCGTGCGTATCTATGTGTTTGCGTCCTTGCGTGTGGCACATAGAAGTAAGTTCAACTGGCAGGCCCAGGCTCGTATGGATGTTGGTATCCCTTGGGATGGGGTCTCAACGCTGTCGCTGCTGCTGGTGTCCGGACGAGGCTGGGCAGAGACGGGGCCTCGCCTCAAGATGCGCGGCTGGGCAGAGACCGTTGCTGCGCTGCGCAACATGGTGACGGCTGCAGTGCAGGTCCGTAGCGATCTGGCGGTGCAGCAACAGAACGACATCGCCGGCAAGAAGCTGGCACCCGCGCCGGTGTCGGCAGCGGAGACCTGTCCACAGCCGGCAGCAGCCCGACCCGCCGGCTGCTATGACTGCTGCCACCCACGATATGAGGTCAGGAGACTTGTGAGCTAAAGGCAAGGTGGAAGGTGCAAGGCGCGAGGATGAGCGGGATTTCTAAGGAATGTATGTCGGATCCAGTCATTCAGAGCTCACCACAGCATGAGGACGAGGGACGACAGAGCGATAGAGAGTCGGCGTGGCCATGCAGAGATGGTGGATGAAGGAGAGGACGGGGTTGCGTATCTAGAGGTGGAGGTGGAACGAAGAGTGGCTAGGAGAAGTGGAGCGGGTGAAGAAAGAGATGCTGTAAGGTTCTTTGTCCGAAAACGTTTGCAAGCAAGGTTCAGCGTGCGGAGGAGTTCATCCAGGTGCGTTTGACAGCCAAGTCCTGGGCTGTTCCGCTACGGGTTGGTGTCGACTTGTGCCCCAGGACTTGTGCCCGAGGGCGTGCGAGCCCTCTTGCACAAAACCTCCACCACCTTAACCCCAGACGGGCTGTCCTGAAGCGTCGAGAAGTCTTGCCACCAAACACCGAAAGAGATGGCATGGCCTCATGAAATGTGCCAGCGAAAAAGCCGCCAACCCCGTCCCTCAAGCGTGCATGCAGACGATTCCGGTAGCTCCACACGCCACAGGTCGCGCCAGTAACAGGAAGCACCACATCACGTCGATGCGTGCACGGATGCGTCGCTATTGCCGGAGAAGGAATAAAACTACTTAACAGCCGGTCAGTGGGGCTCACGAGCTTACCGGCTTCGCCTTGGCTGGACCTGATTGCCTGGCCCCATCCTTTTAATAAATAAGGAATGGTAGGGAGCGCCGCAGTCAGACATGAACAAAAGAATGCTCAATGACAGTGATCTCCCGCCCCCACACGGGTTGCCCGGGTGCAAAACGCTAGCAAACCATTACTGTGGATGCCCCGCTGAGCTTATCAGGTAAAAGAAAGCCACCGTACTACTATTAAGCACCCTGCGGGCAGCTATTTAAACCCGGGTCCTCTGTTTCTTGGTTGTTGAGGGGCCCAATCCCCCAGATCCGCGCGTCCACATAGATCTGCCCACGCTAGGTCACCCGCCGCAACGAGACATCCAGCCTGCTCAGGTGTGGTGCTCTGGACAGGTCCGGCTCCCTCAGAGCCCCACCACTACTGCTACGGTGCTACTTGTTCTCCTCTGCCGGCGTCTTGGTGGTCATGGACAGGGCGTGCAAGCCCGCCTTGAACTCGTCCGCCAGTAGACCGTAGATCAGTTGGTGACCTGAGCAGAGGGATAGAGGTAGGGAGGAAGAGCGGAAAGCAGCTGAGGGATGTCCCCAGGTGGTGCCGACTGAACAGATCGCAACGCTCTTAGGAGAGCTTTTCGGTTGGTCGTCGCGCTGGGCTGGCATGCTGCGGGAGGTCCGCCAGGCTACGTGGCCTTCCTTTAGTACGTAGCCTGGTGCCTCTCCACCACCTTGCACCCACTTGGTTTATGGACTGCCCTCCGGCGCATCAGGTGCAACGCATCAGGTGCTGCAAGAGCAGCAGCGGCGAACGTTCTCGGAAACCCAAGGTTCAGGTCCAGATTGGCCAACTGCTGGATTTTCCAGTATTCCATCCGGATCTCATCCCATCCTAAAAATACCCCAAATGCCCAAAACCTCAAAGCAGATGTGCGTTTTCCTAAGACAATTACCAAGTAGACTGGCCCTTCCCCCCTAGCCACCTGCAACCACGCACGTTTTACAAGGGGCACCCCACCGAAGGCCTCTGATGTCACCTCCAGCCTGCAGCAGGCCGGAAGGGAAGGGAGGGCAGGCCGGGCGGGCAGGGCCAGCCGCTCGTGCGTTTACGCAAAGTGCGTGAGTGCGCGTGGACATGCGCCGCGCCACCGCCGTACCAATCGAGGACACAAGGACTGGATTTTTAAGTTGGTCGTGCATGTGTCGAGGGGGTACGTGGGAGCTTGCAGCGTAAGCGCGGCCAGGTGGAATGTGATGACAGGGCGGAAGTGGGGCAGCAGCCGGACAGCAGCACCAGCAGGCGGCCAGCCTGGACTGGAGCCGCCACAAGTGCATGCTGAAGCTGAATGTTTTTATACCCCTCAAATCCCTGCTCGTCATTCACAGTGTTTCGGTCTTTGGCAAGGATACGACTAAGCGACCAAGGCTGGGAAGCTGCCACTCATGCAGGCATGCGAAGAGCGACTGGAATGCAGTGGGGCTTCAGTACGCGTATAAAGGGACCCACAAAGGTCCGAGCCTCTCGTTGAGCGACAGAAGGAAATGCACACACGCGCTGCCGTATATAAGCATACGCACGAGCGAGGCGCACATGACACCGGTACCTGAAATGCGTCTCCTCAGCCTCCGATGCGGCACTGCCGTCCCGAGCGTAGTGCCCCGCGTGCTTATGCGAATCGTTGATTAGGCGGAAGTGGGTCGGCTTCAGCGCCTCCGATATCTTCCTAAGCTTGTGCCATATCAAGCGAAAAGAGGACGAGAGAGGATATGTACGACGATTGGCAGGAGCATAGCCGCCCTACTATGACATACTTGGACACGGCGGTACGGCAAGTGGTTGTGCTTGCTTGCAGGGAACTACCACCACGGGAGCTAACATCATGAGGTGTTCACAGAGGGCTGGCTGACGGGGGTTCCTCGGCATAATTACCACTGGCGCTGCGCCGCTATGCCCATGAAAGTTACGGGAGTCCCCCCGGGTAAACGCTAGCAAACATAAACATATTCCTACACCGACACTGATAATTTGCACGACTTGCAAGGCATCTCGCGTGTCACGTTCTCGACCGCACGCACCTACGAATAGCGGAAGCGATGGGACCGTCTCCTGTCATCGCACTTGAAAGTTGGCGAAATGTTGGTGGAAGCAAAGCAACCCCGCGCCAAGCCTGTTGGCTGGCGGATTTATAGACGTGCATACGGGGAATGAAAAAATGTTGTACACGGGTGGACAAAAATGAAAGAAACATAAACGATGTCTGCTAGTACACGGTAGTAATTTGCATGCAATCTAGATTGGCACTGCATGGCAGATTGCCGAATACTGCAGTTGACTGTTTGGGCATTCGCTGCATGGAGGCATGTACAGGAAATAACTTAGGAAGGAATTAGGTGCATAACTATTCAATTTCTTCATTTTTGCATAGAACGTTAGGCCTCCGTGAACCTACCTTGCAGCCATGTCGCTTGAAGAACCCGCCGACAGCGTTGCGGAGCCGGAGCGCAGAGCTAGCACAGAGGACTGGAAAAAGGCTTTAGATCGCGTGGTACCCTGCTGCGTTGTCCTAAAGTAAGTGCGTCGTCGATCCGCATTCGCTCTGGAAGGTAGCAGCTAGCCAATACGAGTTTTAAGTTCATGCCTATTATGAACTGCTCAGGGTGACACAGACACGGGCATTCGATACGGAAGCGGCTGGCTCAGCCTATGCGACGGGCTTCATCGTCGATAAGCAACGCGGCCTTATCCTGACAAACCGTCATGTAGTTACGCCGGGTGAGAAGGCTAGGTTTTGTTGACATTCTATGCGATCGTGTATGGCGCGGTCCTCGTTTGAGGCCGTCCTGGGTGTTCTTTCCCAAGGGGGGCTGGTCCGGGCCGTCAGCTGGGTTTCGTAAGGTTGACGGGCCCACCCAACGTTGCGCACGTTTTTCCCTTTTATGGGTTATGGAAGGCTATGAGAAATTATATGTAAGAGACACCGTCCAATAGCTGGTGCGTCGCTAAGCCCACCGCAAAGCCTATTGCCACCCTGGTGGCGCATCGTCCTCAGGGCGCTTACATAGCTCATGTTTTTACGGTAGTAATGTGTCTGCTGTGCCAGAGTTCTGTTGATCCAGGTCAAGGAGGGTTGCGATTAGTTGTCTTTGTTAGGCGTGCTCAGAGGAATTAGGAGTACCAGGGGTACGTTCTCTTTTTACACCCCTTAGGCATCATGCTGAGACACATAAGCCAAGCTATTAATGGCACAAGCTTGATTGGATATCCATTCGCACATCATGCAGGTCCTATCGTGGCGGAGTCCATCTTTCTCAACCGGGAAGAGCTGCCGGTGTATCCCCTCTATTACGGTACGTCTCGGCATGAAGTGCTGGTTGCCCAAACCATCACACCTCCAAATCTAAGGCTTTTATAGGGATTTACGGGATTAGGACATTTGTCCTGACCCTTCGGAACTCACGATTCTGTCGTACACATCCTCCGCAGACCCAATCCACGACTTCGCCTTCCTGCGGTTCGACCCAAGCCGGTTGCAGTTCATGGAAGTTTCGGAGGTGCCCCTCGCACCGGAGGCCGCCACCGTGGGGCTTGATATCCGAGTCGTGGGTAACGACTCTGGCGAAAAGGTAAATGCTCAGCATCGTTGTGTAATTTGCGGAAATACACGGGCCCCTAGGACTCATCACAGTTAGCTGGAACTTGTAAAGCTTTACGTACTTCCTGCAACGCTGATGATTTCCTTGCCAGGTGTCTATCCTTGCGGGCACCCTGGCACGTCTGGACCGTGACGCGCCGGTATACGGCCGCAAGGGCTATAACGACTTCAACACGTGAGTATCGGGATGTGGAGCATGTCGTTGGTCAGGAAAATGCTTGGATTGTTAAATCGTGTTCTTGCCCACTGCCGTGCAGCTTTTACCTCCAGGCCGCGTCTGGGACCAAGGGCGGTTCCAGCGGCTCGCCCGTCATCGACTGCCAAGGTCGGGCCGTGGGCCTCAATGCCGGTGGCAAGAACAAGGCCGCCTCCGCCTACTACTTGCCCTTGGAACGCGTCGTGCGCGCGTTAAAACTTATACAGGTATGACGCCCCGGAGACCTTCATGTATTGCGTTGCGTCGCAATTTATTTTCTTAAATGGCCGAGTAAGATGCCGAGTAAGATAATGTCCGTGCGTTAAAATCCACAACCACTAGGCGAGCAAGGATGCGTTTCGGCCGGGAACCGAATGGCCATGCCCCTTCATTCCGCGTGGCGACCTGCAAACTACGTTTGTCTTCAAGGGCTTCGATGAGGTCCGGCGCTTGGGCTTGCAGCAGGAGACTGAGCGGCGGGTGCGGAATTCCAAGTCCGCGCCAACACCTGAAGGTACGAATACCTGGACGTCCTAAGAACGACAATGCCCGTGCGGCGTGGAACGCAGCGTCCAGCTGTGCCTAGGGATAGTGAAATGGGATAACCTTGCTCGTCAAATGCACATAGCGGCGCCATTAGGACTGTTGCCCTGCCGTGGGAGTGTGGTCCAAGTTGGCTCTACGCGTGACATCTGTTGATCGTTAATCTGGGTCAGCCTTAGTCGTTTCCGCACCACATATACTGAGCTTGCCTATTCTTTATGGGCCCCATACTTGTTGATTTGTTGCCCTTGGATGCCCGGCAGTCGAAAGGCTTATCCACACGTCATTGGTTTATCGGCAATCCCAATCCAATGCGCCACTTTTCTCATGGCAAACAGGCCCGCAGCACTCAACCGGCATGCTCGTGGTTGACAGTGTGGTGCCTGGGAGCCCGTGCGGTGGCATCATTGAGGCGGGTGATGTGTTGGTAGAAGTCAATGGCCAGGTGGTTACGCACTTCCTGACGCTGGAGGAGCTACTGGACAATGCGGCACAGGATCGCATGGCGGGTGGTCCGGGCAAAGTGCAGCTTCTACTGGAGCGTGGCGGAAAGCCGGTGGGTAGCTGCATAAATGGAAACGCTCGGGAGGATAGGCTATTCAGCATGGCTGGCGCTGCGGTTGTCAGTCATAGCTTGGCTGCCTGCATTGAACCTGCGTTGGTTAAGGGTCGTGGAGCTTGGGGTCACCCGTTGCACCCTGAAGCGCGGCTGAGGGCCTGGCACTCCCTGGCAGTGTAACGGGAAGCGGGCTTGCTGCTTGCTGCATAACTTTACGTTTACCTCGCAATCCGCTGACCGTGCTGGCCTCCAATGCGAATGACAGATCAACGCGGAGGTCGAGGTAACGGACCTTCATTCTGTGACCCCCAATTGCTTCCTGGAGCTGGCGGGTGGCGCCGTTCACGCTCTGAGTTATCAGCAAGCGCGCAATAACCGCGCAGTCGTGGGACAAGTCTACGTTGCCGAGCCTGGGTACATGCTGGTAGGTGTTCGGTCGTTGAATAGCTGTTGCGACAGTGCTCAACGTGAACTGCTCCAACATGATCCCGCCTGACGGACACACAGGGCCGAGCCAATGTGCCCAAGTGCGCCATCATCACAGCGCTGAACGGAAAGCCCACGCCGGACCTAATCACCTTTGCGACAGTGTTGCGCACTTTGCCGCACGGTGCTCGTGCGCCGCTGGAGTACCTCACCTTCAGTGAGCGGCACCGCCGCAAGAACGCCATCCTACATGTCGACCGCCAATGGTAAGCTGGCAGGGGTCTGACGATGCAACTGCCGGACTGTGGCATTATGATGACACATTCGGTGCGAGACGATGCATGCGACCTGCTTGGACTGCACAATCAAGTTGAAATCATCGCCATGGCAAGGAACCGTAGATGCCGTCCCGTGCAGCAAAATACCACTTCTGTGCACGAAGCCCCGCTTCACATCCCTGTATTACGGGGCTTTGATAAGAGCCCAAGCTCTGGCTGCAAACCTGCAGGTACGGCCCGCCAGTATTTTGGACGCGTGACGACGCCGCGGGCGCATGGCACCCAACCGTTGACTATCCTCCGGGGGCACCCCCTCCTCCAGAGCCCAGCATCAAGCTTATGTCCAATGCTGGAGGGGAGTTGTCCGGACATCCTAACGGACATTGCAATGTAGTCCCTCCCATGGACGCCGAGCAGATGCCCGTTGCGTCGGCCACCGGCGTCGTTTCACCACGGGAAGGCAGCCTTGCGGAAAGGCAGACGCCGGATTTGCAGGTGGGGACAAGGCAGGAAAATATCTATTGAGTAGCAAATTGGCATGGTTGCACTTAGTGGAAATCGCTCAGGTGTCGCATAGCGCACTACGATGTATATAGCTCATTGCAGCACGAGGGTAGCCATAGGACTTTGCCCACGACTATTTCTTGTTGCCGTTCCTTTTGTGGCGAGCCATCTCTGCGCATCCAAGGATTTTGCGTTTTAGCGCTGCCATTGCTGCCCCTGCGTGTAGTGTCGCCAACTTACAAGCAATGCTAATTCCTGTTTGTAAGCATCTCTACCTCTTGAACTGGCTGTTCATTCCTGATTGCATACCTTACCGTGGAACAGGAGTACAAGCCCACTTTGGTAAACTATTCATCCTGCGCCCATGCCCTTCACCATTGAACACATTCCGTAGCAGTCAGACGATCTGGACGAGCTGCTGCGCTGCTGCCTAGTGCTGGTCGACATTGATATCCCGCTTGTGGCGCTGAGCGACGGAGTGCACAGCCGGAGCTTCGCAGGTGCGGCTGCCAGGGTGTGGCTCGAGGGTGACGCATGCCAGCTGCAGCACCCCAAGCCTTTCTCCAGGATACACTGCTGCAGAGATTTTCATGGGTGTGAGACCGAAGGTTTTGCCGAGCCGCGCAAGGAAGTGGCCCTTCAGGTGCATGCCGTGGCAGCCTGCACCGGGGATAGGGACATGATGCTTGAGGTATAGGATTGTCGACACATGAAGGCTTCCCGGGCTGCATAGTCGGCCTGGTGAAGGATGATGAAACTATGGGCCAGAGAGTTTGTGTCGGTCTTGACCGGGTGCCTCTCTTGTGGATGGTCCCTCGTTGCCCCGCAGGCAACGGCCTTGTGGTATACGCGGGCGAGCGGGTCGGACTGGTGCTAGTGGATCGTAACACGGTGGCGGTGGGTCCTTGCGACGTCAACCTCAGCTTTGGCGCGCATCCGGCCGAGATTAGCGGCAGGGTACGCTTCCTACACCCTCTGCACAACTTTGCGCTGGTATCGTATGACCCGGCGGCTCTGCCGCCCGAAGCCCGAGCCAAGGTGAGCCATCGAATTCGCATATCCCGCTCTATCCGTTGTTTAAGGGAAACCGTATAGAGAAACGGGTTAGCTGGCTTGCTTGCGCCCGGCTTCGTTGCTGGCGTCGACCTGCGCCACCAGGTCTGTATGCTTAGGGTTATCCAGGGCATTTGCGGATGGCATCCCGCTGTTCGTATTCGCTGGAACCGTGAGCACTATTTTGGGTGGGTGGTTTCGCAGGTGCGTGCCGCGGAGATGTTGCCCTACCCGCCACTAAAGCGCGGTGAGCCGGTGCGGCTCGTGGGCCTGACCAAGCACCTTCGGGTCATGCAGCGGACCTCCACCGTCACGAACGCAACGGCGGCACTGACCATCCCGAGTGCAGAGGTGCGCGATGTGTTAGGCAGACCTTGCCTATGTTAACAATGGTAGGGCATTGTCGTATCTTTTGCCTCGAGTGCTGAGAAGCTCAACAGGTGTGGCTTTTAGCAGACAATCGTTGTCTGAGCCTGCTTGTGCATCTCGGAACACGCGTGTGCACGGCTGAAAGGGTAGTGACCGAGCTTGCCGCACGCTCCCGGTTACTTTTTCAGGTACCGCGCTTCCGGGCTGTTCACGAGGAGGTTATCAAACTAGACCAAGACTTCGGCGCCACTTTCAGCGGCTGCCTCACTGATAACCGCGGACGTGTGCGTGGTCTTTGGTGCAGCTATTCGGAGCAGGTACAGGAAAACGGGCCTGTGCACGGTCATGGATTTTTTTGATGCTTCGCAGGATAATGCCTGATATTGCAGTCCTTGGACGCCAGTTTTCGGTCGTTGAGTAAACCTTTCTTAATTGCACATGTGCATTATACATCTGGTGGACAGCGAGCAAACAAAACTGGCCCATCTGTTGCATAATATTTGGCTCACGCACTCGTCTCTAGGCAGGCGGTCATAGTCCTTGTTCCACGTGTGTTTATTACCTGGGTACTAGGACGTTTTGTGTCATACTATGTCGTTTACATAACTTGTGGCTCTTAGGCTCTTGGGCCTCTGACTCGTATGCGCTCGTTACACCTCTCCTGAGTAACGCAACCGAGGTGTGGCACACGTACACATGCTTTGCGGCAATTCTGTGCACAGGTCGATAAGGAGGAGCGTGAGTGGTGCGCCGGGCTGCACGCGGCAGTATTCTTTCCCTGGGTAGAGCAGCTTGCACGGCTGCTAGACCAGGGCGCACCTGCGCCACCACCGGCTGTCAGGTATGCCTATATGGAGTGAACGGGTGCTCAATGCGCAACCTGGGGGTCAGGATGCTTGGGCTATGTGTGTTTTGTATGCCATATGCGGTTTACGAATGTCCTGATCCCCGTAGGACTAGGAAGTGCGCCCCTCGCCGTGATCCGTCGTTGGCGCCCACAGATGGAGCATTCTGGCCTAGAATATGCTTAGCGCCCCACTGCACTGTTGTGTCCACAAGACATCTGAGACGTCTACGAAGGCCTCTATTCGCACGAAAACCGCCCTTTTTGACTGTGGTTTGTGTCCCGCATCCCGCTCTGTTTTGGTCCTTCTTTATAATTAGTGTCCTGGACGCTGAGCTGGAGGCCGTACTCCTTTCGAAGGCAGCGCAGTTTGGGCTCCCAGCTGAGTGGGTAACGCGGCTGGACCAACTAGACCCAGAGCGGCGCCAGGTGCTGCGTGTGCGCTCCTGTGTCGCGCAGTCGCACGCCTCCAAGGTCCTTCGCAGCGGTGATATGTTGCTGGCTATGTCAGGCCGACCAGTGACCTGCTTTCAGGACGTCGAGCGCCTCATCAGTGAAACGGCTGCAGCAGCAGCGGCAGCCGCCGCCGCCAGCTCGGTCAACGGGAGTGGGCAAGCGAATTCGGATGGCCTAGTGCCCGCCTTGACAGCGGGGAGTTACGGGCTCGACGCACATGGCGAAGCGCCACCGTCCAAACGCCTTCGACTATCGGAGCGCGCTGTAAGCGAACAGCAGCAGGCTGAACCCGCAGCGGCCGAGGTTCCGGGAGCAGAGCAGGGTCAGCAGGGTCCAGGTTCGGCACCGGGGCGCCCATCCATGCACCTTACGATATACCGCAGCGGATGCGTGCTCGACGTGGAAGTAGTCCTGGGTCGCGAGGATGGGATGGGCACGGGTCGGCTGGTGCATTGGTGCGGTGCACAGCTTCAGGCACCTCACCGTGGCGTGCGCGAGCTGGGCTTTCTGCCGGAGGGTGCGGCGGGCGTCTACATCAGTCGGTGGCATCACGGTTCACCGGCGCACCGGTACGGATTGTATGCCCTGCATTGGATCCAGCAGGTCAACGGCGTGGACACGCCCGACCTGGACAGCTTCCTGGCCGCAGTGGCGGGCTGCGGCGACGGCCAGTTTGTGCGGCTCAAGGTCTGCCACCTGGAGACGACACAGCCTAAGGTACTGACCCTCAAGATGGACCTGCAATATTGGCCGACCTGGGAGCTGCGGTTGGACCCCAACACATGCACCTGGCGTCGCCTGCAGCACAGCCCGTTTCCTTTCAGGCCGGCATCGGCCATGACCCCGTCATGAAGGATGGGAGCGCAGGGTCGGAACTGGCAGCGTTACCGGGGCTGGCGCTCTGCTTTGGCTACGGAGCTTCAGTTAAAACGCCCTGGTACCTCTCACTCTAGGCTACATGCGCAGCAGCGTTGCTGATTTGGGAGAGGGGGGATTCTGAGGGTCCTCCAGGGTGGTTAGGTTCGTACATGTCACACCTTGAGGCCTGCATAAGCATGTTACGTGTCCGTGTGGTATTTAGATGGTAATGTGCAACAATTGGGTCACCCTTGCACCGTAAATTGCAGCAGAGGTGTAGTCGGTTTTAGAAGTCACTCGGGGGCGCATCCGTGTTATAAAGTTATGCGAGGAGTCGCGGATAAAGCGACGGCGTGCTTTGCATGGCACATAGTAGGCCGTAGCTGCGCAGCTAGCTGAAAGTAACGCGTCTTAGCTTGCGCTGAGGAGTGATGACATGCGCGTGCGAGCCATTTACCATATGTTCTTTTGGCGCGAGCCATTTTCCATATGCTCTTTTGGCGCGAGTAGTACAGTGTTCAAATTAATTTTCCATTTCCAAATAGTATAGTTTGTAGGGACGGGACGAGGGCGAGGGCCTCCCCTTCTCTAGGGTGTCGAACTTAAGCTACCAAGTGTACGTTAGCAGTCATGGCATGGGTTCCCGATGCTGCTGCGCGCATTCTGCTCGTGCTGTCATGCACTATTAGACTATTCCGAGCGTCATCCTGCTTCAAGTCTCATGGGTGGCCTGAAAAAGCTATGTTCATTGTTTCCCTGGAGCTTGGTGTTGCCTTGGAAGATTTTAATGTCTGCCGCTGGCCTTGCGCGTTCGTTCATGACCTCTTCCATGCTGGCAACATCCTGGCATTTTGCTTGCCCACAATGTGCCGCACTTTGCCATCTTAGCACTCTCCATTGCGCACATCCTTTGTCGAGGCTACAGCTACATGGCGCGATACGCGAATGTCTATTTCGGAACGCAACCGCAGCGACCCGATACACCCCATACAGTGTTTGCTTAGTTGGCTCAGATGTCACGTCTTGCGACGGAACGATGGACCTAGAGTTAGGGTGTTAGCAATTACTCCTGCAAAAACGTTCTTCGGGAATGCACGGCGTAGCGGCAGGTCGGATGCACACAGTGGTTCTCACAGCACTTTCCTCCGGCCATAGGGCCTCGCGTTTTACGCGACATACTAGCAAACCGCTGTTTTCGTTTTAGGGGCAGCATGCACACGCCAGCACCACGACTGACTACAAAGGTCCATGGGTCGTTACAGGGAGGATGATGCGCCAGGGCAGATCTGCAGGACTGGAAGAGGAGGGACATCTTTGTAATTCTTAATGATGCACTATTGATGATGCATGAAAGGTAACGCCGCGAGGTAACCAACAAACGGAACAAGGGAACAGGCAGGTAACTTTAGTCCTGCAGGATGGAGATAATATATATTCAAAATGCAACTTCTAGTGAAAGCCACTTTACACATTGCAAACTTGCGCAATCCATTGTACGGCACCTACGTGTACTGCAGGTCATCGTCTGTTGCTTTTAAGTTCATGCTACATAGATATTTAGGATGTGGGCACCCGTAGAAAGGCCTTAACTGCCAAAAACTCTAAAAATGGCTGCAGAAAGAGACAGCCCCGTATTTGCAGTTGTGTCTGGAATGTTGCCGACACAAGCGGCTGCCATGAATCTGCACAGCATAGCGGATGTACAAGCCCAAGACACATTACTATGTGGTTCTGCGGCAAGGCAAGCCTAACGGTTTCAACTTCCATTGGCCGTACACTAAACACCATTTATGGGCATCCAGACTACTCGCACCCCCCCTTCTATAGCGCCTTGTTGAGGCAGTTTTATATCTAATTCGTCCGCCAACCCTTGTGTCTACCAGTTGCCGCAACTCTTTGGCGCTCCATTTTGCTCTCCACCACATTGCCCGCTCGATGCTGCCTGCGCTGTTCCTCTGCCGGCAAGAAGGACTCGAGCAAAACGTGCCGCTGCTACCCCACTTCCATGATGGAGATGACCCCAGCCTTCACTTGCTGCACATCAAGTAAGGACACAGTGCCTCGCTGACAGCTCTATCAGCGACCGCTTTTTCAGTCCGTCCCATGAACGGGTCGCGCACCGGGACAAGCAGGCAAAGACAAGATCGCCTGGGTTTTCAAACCTTCATAGCAGCAGGTTGAGAAGTTCTAGTCTTTCTGGTATATCTGCATGCGTTGAAGCTGCCCCAATGCTGCAGGTACATCAACACCCCCGGGGACCTGCAGCGCTTCGCGTCCTGCCTGCACCTGCTGGAAGGGGCTTACTCGGCCATTGTGGTGGAGGAAATCAATAGCCTTGTAAGGTGCGAGGGGGGAAGCAGGCTGGATCGCGGAACCTGGGGGCGGAACCTGCGCCGTTGTTGCTGGCATCGGGAGGATGCCATGCAGCTCTAACCCACAATGGAGCTTGCAACCTGCAGTTCATACGTGTTAATCGCTGCCGGCGTGTCCCTGCGGATTCTAATTCAGGGGCGAGGATCGCAGTACGCTAATCCGCACACTTGCAATGCTGCTGGAGGGGGTGCGAGCCTACAGGTGCGCCTTGTGGCGGATGCGTTCCTTTCGCGATGGGCGGGCCAATCCTTTGTCAAAGGCCGCAGCTGAGTGCAGCGCACTCAGGTGCCCTAATGTTGCAACCGCTTCGCTGTCGGCATGCGGACACGCCTCGACGTGCCTCGCCGGGCGCAACCTCTATGGTCGGTGGGGCTGTTGAAGCATTACATGGCCTCCACGAGCATAGCAGCAGTAAATTAAAGCCATGAAACGCGGTGTCCTTCATCCGCAGGCCCTGCTTCTGTGCTGTCTTCTTGTAACAGGGCGTCTAGCGGGCGCGGGCGCCGGTGTCAGTTGCTAGTTACAGACTCAAGCGACGAAGCCCGAAGACCACGTTACATTTACGACCGCTGGCTTCCAGTCACCTTAGTCCTTTCCCCGTCCACAACACCGGCGGGTAAGACCTAAGACGTGAGAGGCATCATAGCACGCCACCATCCAGTAACTGTGGTAGAAGCAGGAAGGCTCGCGCGTTGAAGCAGAAATTGACCTGTTGACAGAGTCCAGCTATTAGCTATTCTGCCATTTGACTGCATCCTTATTCCTCCGGCCTCCGTCCTGGGCAACCAAGCCACAGGCCCTAGCTGCTTCACCTTGGCCGTGGCCATGCATTCGGGATGCCAAGGCGTCGTCGAGGGTCGATCAAGTGCGGCAAGGACTGACGCATCCGAGGCTGCTGCCGCCCCCGCGTGGCTCTTTCCGCGGTGTTGGTACCGGGTATCGGGGGCTCGCCTGGTGCTGGAGGCGGTCCAAGGACCCGAAGTACCGTAGGCCCGTTCAGCAGTACTGCGCGCTGACCCTGGTTCCCAGTGCGCACGACGGTTGCCGGCGTTTGGCATGCAGCCGCAGGCGCGGGGGCCTTGAATTGCCGTATGTTTCACTAGATCTTTGTGTTTCATTGCGTTGCGATGGTGCATCGGGAAAGAATGGCCAGGCGTCCGGCTTCCTGGAGGGAAGGTCATCGTTTGCATTTAAGACGCCGCGCAGTCCGTTTTAAATAAATTGCGCTTTTCATTCCGCCGAGAGCGTATTGCTTTGCAAGCCGCGGGGAAGTTGTCACTCCCGGCCCAAGCGACGTACGTGGATGTCGATATGTGCATATGCACGTATGCACGGGCATGTCCATCATGCAGGATCATGCTAAGGCTAGGCAGCCGCGGTTCACGCGTTGTATTTTCGAGTTGGAACTTCCACTGCATTTCTTTATTGAAAGGTATCTCAAAGGCCGTCAAGGGTTTCATACACGCAGAGAACCATTCCACCGTGTATCGATTGCCATGCATAATTAGGTCACAGGCTTGAAAAGGTTTAGATACAGCAATAATTGGAAGTCCTGTCACGCGCAAGCAGTTCTTCGCATTATAGGAAACGCCACGCCCTCTCCACCCGCATACAAAATTGAAGCTATTGCGATCGCTATGGAGACGTGAATGATGGTCGTCGCTACGTATGCCAACGGGACCAGGATAGATAGCTATATGACTTTGAAGGACCGGGGCTCGCACGCATAAAATTGTTATACGGCGAATCCTTATAACATAATCTCTGCGAAAGGAAAGGCTCTGCCGGTCACCAACGAAGGCCATCATCTGGGATAGGTTCGCTAGCTCCGCCAACCAACTTTCCGAAGTCTGAGACATTACTATTTTTAAAGGTAGCAGGTCATTATACAATACAATGGGTACAGTATTTTGCTAAGTTTCTGCGAAGCGCGCGTGTCAGAAAGGCATCCTGTACAAGAAGTACGGCTCTCCCAGGGCCGCACTTCTAAGGCCTTGAAACGCAGATAGGGGATTCAGTAACCCCAGGTAGAAGGGGTAGAGTAACGTAGAAACTTAAGAGTTATAGAGTGTAGGTGTTAGGACATACAAAGATGGGTGCTGGTTGTTCGCGTTGCACGTCGACGGAGGATGCACCTGCTCAGTCAGTTGTCCATGTGAAACCTGCAGCTGTTTCTGAGGAGCCTGCCCCATGGGCTCCGGCAAAGAAAGTTGACGAAGAAGAGACGCCTGCCTCCCCTGCTCCTGTTCCCACTCTCGTGGTTCCGCGGAAGCCCGATCAGGCACAAACGGCCGAGAGCTTAGTCTATGGAGGAAGCAGCCGGAAAATTACAATCTTGCACTTTAATGGTCAGCGTCGCGCCGGGCAATCGTGCATTAGGCGACCATCAGGCCGACTGTAAAGGTAATCCCTCTTTTTGCCGCATTTGTGCAGACGTGTATAATATTGAGGAACAGGCTCGCGAGCCGAAGGGTGGAGCTGCGCGGCTGTGCGCAAAGGTAATCCTATGGAAAGGCACTCACAAATAGTGAAGGGATACGCAGTTTCTTTGGACAGGTTGTCTCAGATGTGTAGGCAATTTCATTATCATTTTGGATGCTAGTTTTATCTGTCGGCATGGGGCGAGTTGCCTTTGATGAGTTTTGCAGGAATGGTGGACGGCATCAACATCCTTCGATATTGCCCGCCATCGTGCTCTTATTGAGTTCTTCATTTAAATTGTGTTTTCTCTTTTGCAGATCAAGGAGTACAGGGAGAGCGGTGCTAACCCGCTCGTTCTGTTCAGCGGTGACTGTTACAACCCCAGCTTGATGTCCACAATCACCCTGGGGAAACAGATGGTACCCATCCTCAACGAAATTGGCGTGACTGTGGCTTGCATAGGGGTAGGTGTTTTCTTGACATTGCCAAAAACATCCACAATGCGCCATTGCCTGTACCGAAGTACCTGCTGCGGACCCAATTTTCTGACACAACTGCTGTCACGACCTTCGTGCAGAACCATGACTTCGACTACGGTCTGGACAACCTTATGAAGCTTAACTCCCAATGCAATTTTCCCTGGCTGATGGCCAATGTGTGGGAGAAAGGCACAGGTACAGTAGCTGTCTGCCGGCCTGCGGACGGTCCTCCCGCAACCGTGATGGCAGATTCTCTGCTGCATCCGACTCACATTACGACAGCTCCTCCAGATTAAACCTTCCAATGAGAACCCCTTTGTTCATTTCGCGCAGCAGCGCAGCTGTTGTACAATATACATCAGACTGCCGGCATTAGCCCTCCACCTTCCCACCCATCCACTTTCGCGCGTCCCCCAACCCGTTACACGGGGGGTTCTTCCGTTGTCTGCAGACCTGCCGTACGCGGGTGCTGGCACAGTTTGGGTGGAGGACTGGAACGGCATCAAGGTGGGTATCGTGGGCCTTGTGGAGGAGGAGTGGCTGGAGACGTTGGGCGCGGTCAACGTGGATGAAATGGAGTATCACGACTTCATCCAGGTCGGGAGGGAGATGGCGCAGCTCATGAAGGTAAGGTGGGCGGAGGTGGAGTGAGGGCAGCTGGGGCCAGGAAGGGATGTTTCTCCGCCACCCAAGTAATCTCGCTTCTTGTGTAGCATCATCGCTTGACTGCGCCTGCCTGAATCCACGTCACCTCGCCTCACTTCCATCTCACCTCACCTCAGCCTCAACCCACCTATCGCATCCAACTACCTGCACCTCCCCCTCATCCCAACGGCCTCCGAAACCCATCTCCTTGGGCGCTGGCCTGGGCTCCGTGGAAACGTTAATTCTTGACCATAGTCCAAGGGCGCTGAGCTGCTCATCGCGTTGACCCACATGCGCGAGCCCAACGACCGCAAGCTGGCAGCAGAAGTGCCGGAGTTTCACTTGATCCTGGGGGGCCACGACCACCACTACGTGAGCGGCTTCATCGAGCCGCACAACAATCTTATGGTCAAGTCAGGTAGGAACGCTGTCCTGTATGCCACCAGCGTGCCCCGGCGCAAGCAAAGCAGAGAATCGCCTTCGTCATCATCCCGCCCTGAGATATATGTTGTACGTTTGTGGGTCATCTGTGTGTTTTTCCTTTCGTAGGCAGCTGTATCAGTCCATGGAAAACCAACTTACTCTGCTTACATGGAAGCTAACGTGTGGCTGCAGGTACGGACTTCCGGGACCTGTCCCTGATTGAGGTCGAGTTCCCCTTTGGCAGTCCCGACCCCAAGATGAGTGTGGAGCGCCTTATCATCGACTCGTCGGTGCCTGAGGACCCGCCGACGAAGGCGGTGAGTGCATTGGGGGCGTTGGGCCTTACCGAGGGAGGAAATGACACCAAGCCTTTGAGCAAAGGCGTTACTTAGCACTGGAGAAGCTTTTACGCAAAGCGTGCAAATGTTTGGGCAAAGGCCGGATGGCAAGGGCGTGGATCTTGCGGGGTACTCGCATAGTGTCGGCCATGGTGGTGGACGCCCCATGGTGCGGTTGGGTATCAACGTATCGTACGGGTCATTGCCTCTGGAGGAAGACTTCCCCTGCAGCCGACATAATGAATATACAAGCCATGTGCTTCTTAATAGCATGTCTCGCCTCATTTTGAGCACGTGAGTCGTCTCTTGACCCGTGTGGCGCAGATTGTGGACGAGTACATGAAGCTTATGGGTGAAAAGATGGATGAGGAGATTGGTAAGTAATGCTTAGTTTCGTACTGATTGTGAGCAGATGGGCGGGACGGCAGGACTTGCTAGCCGTACTTCGACTACCTCTTACAGTACCGAGAGGCATAGAGGATTTGGAAGGGTCGTTGCACCTGCGTCCACGCAAAACGCATGATGCGCCAGGCGGCCATGCCTACCCGGCACAGTGACGGCAGCTTGTTGCTTGCCCACGAATATTGCCAGGCGCTGTCGCCTGCACTGCCAGGGTTATAGCCGCCTTCTTCTTTTAATGTGTTATTGTTGTTGTTGTTGTTGTGACAGAGTGGGAGGCTTCTGGGCCATTTGAACACATTTAGATTGTCTGCCATACGCACATGTTTGTCGATGCTACAGTCGTATGACGCGACATCGAGAATTAATCGCCCTACAGCACCATCAACCATTACCATACCGTACTACGCCATACGAACTGCAAGTCCATGGCTGTTGATCCTGCCTTCTAGAATCCCTCCTCATCCTTTCACCCGGACAGCCCTAGAAACAGAGGGTACATCAGTCGCCACCAATCCAGCGTGCCAATCTCGATCCATCACATGTGACCTCAACTCCACATCTCCGCAGCTAGCCATAATCTCACGCACCCGACGATGTCGGAGATGTACCCAGGTATCGAACCCAGGCTCTTAAACCGCAAATTGCAGAAGTGTCTCCAGACCAGAATGTGTGCATCTGGCCCTAGGTGAGACGCTGGAGCCGCTGGACGGCCGCTTCCAGACGGTTAGGAACAGAGAGTCCAATTTGGGCAATTTCGTGGCGGACGTGTGGCGCAAGTCGGCCAACGCGGAGATTGCGATCCTCAATTCGGGCTCGCTCCGGTGGGTGGGTTGGGACCATTGAGTTTGAGTTTTCATCACTGCATTTTCCAGCTGCGGCTGCTTTGGATCTGGCGCATGGGGTTTCGGGCATCCTGGTTTGGACGGGTAACTGTACGGAGCCGCAGCATGGCGCAGGAGGGTGTCGGTTTGCGTACTCTCTGCGCTCCGTAGGGTATCGGCTTGCTGGACATGCCGTGCGCCCATCTCTGTGGGATGATGACGTTATAGTGGTTGTTTGTCGGTGCAGATCGGATATGATCCATCCGGCAGCCGTGCTTAAGGCGAAGGACTTCGTGTCCATTCTGCCGATGATCGACAACACGATGCTGCTGGAGTGCACGGGAGCGCAAGTGGTGGCGGCGCTGGAGAACGGCGTGTCGCAGTGGCCCAAGCTGGAGGGGCGCTTCCCGCAGGTCAGCGGCCTCAAGTTCAAGTTTGATCCGTCCAAGCCTCCAGGGCAGCGCATTGTGCCTGGCAGCTTGTACCTGTGGGAGTTTGATCATGAGCCTGAGCCTCTCGACATGCAGCGGAAGTATAAGGTGGCTGTGAAGGAGTACCTGGGGCAGGGCAAGGATGGTTTCCAAGTATTCTTGGTGAGTAGATCGTTGGTGAGGGAGCGGCCCAGTGTGCGTTGGCAAAACGCGGCATGCTGCACTGCATCTCGCTGCAGTGAACAATGCGATTTATCGAAAATGGTGTTTCCCGCAGTAATGATTTTTCTACAGAGTTGGTCGCAGCTTCGGCAGCAGGCCCAAGTTTGGGTTGATAGATATCGCGGCGGTTTTAGCTCAAAATGGGCACAATGGGCTTACCCGAGGCCCTACTGTATCCGTGCTCTCCTCCCGAGCAGGACTGCAAGGTGCTCGTTGACGGCGAAGCTGGTGTAATTCTGCCTTCCACTATCAAGTGCCACTTCATCCAATTGCGTGTGCTCAACAAGTGGGACGAGAAGAAGATTTACACGCGGTCCCTGACGGCCCGCTGGTTAAAGAAAGTCAAGTCGGTCAAAAGCATGCAAAGGTGAGGGCAAAGACACAAACCACTTATGTGGTATACGGCGGGTTAGGCAACTAGGTTTTCACCATCACAAGCCATGACGTCGGACTGGACTTTTGCGGATGAACATCTTGTTGGTCACACATGTCATGCTCCAACCCTGCACCATCCGCTGGCCTCCTTTTACAGTCTTGCGGAGGCAGAAGCCAAGTTCACGAGAACGTCAACTTCATATTACCAGCAAAGGTCCCATGGCCTTGCAGTACCGCACCCAGAGCACGGGCACTACTGCATCGCGCCGAAGGTGGAAGGCCGTATCATCAACGTGCTGGAGGAGGTTATGGATGTGTAGTGAATTGTTAGTTGGGTCGGAAGGTGTCTAGACTAGAGAAGGTGTCTAGACCAGAGATGCTATTGCAGGAGGTGCTTATGCCTGTACATATAGCTTTCCATATTCATTTCAAGTGTTTTGCATGCTTAGTGTATGCACGGTTCAACCGTAGGTATGACTTGCCTGATGCAGCGTGCTTGTTAAGCTATCACCGTAGGGTTTCTCGGACGTTCATTTTTGACTACAGACGCAGTGAGCAGGCTGTTGCGTATGAGCTGTTTGCATTGTGCATGTTCGCATGAGGACTTAGTCAGTTACAATTACATTCTTTTGCACGGTCCCTTGCTGCAACAGGCATGGACCTACGAAGATACGGATAGTCATGGGTACTGTGTGCACACAGGTGCACAGAAATCAGCGTTCCACGCCCCTTGAAATACTGTGCACGATATTAGTTCTGTGTACAAGTGTAGACGATGCTAGTATGGCCCGTTCATTCATTCCTAAATGTACCCAACATCCTGACTGTAAGTTACGAACTCCTCTCATCAACGACAGCTGAACAGTCTTAAAATAGATGCCAGATATCTATGCTGGACTAACCTCCTGCGGACAGCTACTTGACACACGACAGCCAACACCGCCGCTGACGATCCCAGGGGCTGCAGCTGGGCTCGCCCTGCAGACCCTCACTGGACTTGGAGCGCGTCGGGAGCAACAGGCCCTTGACCGTAGCCCTTTGGTCGCCTACAGACGGAACTTTTTCTTAGCACACATGTCGTTATCCAATTCTGGCGGCAAAAACAAAACACGTTGGCGGCCCTCACCGGAAGAGCATGATATGTGGCTCGGGTCGGTGAATTGCGTAGTGTACCCAACCGCGGGATTGCTGCACTCCCAATGCGCGCCATTCATTCTGTTTCGAGATTAAGGACAGTGAACGGGATGCTCGTGAAAGCCTATCCGGCACAACCCGGCACAAAGGTAACTTGGGAAACTTCCACGAAGTGCACAACAGAGAGCTGAAAAAGTGCAGCTCGCAGCATGAACTGATAAATGCAGCACCAACCTCAGATAAAAGGCGACCCTTCGGCAGCAGCTGTGCAATCTCTTGGGGAAGCACAACATGCCTGCAATCGGAAACGACATATCAGGCCGCCAATTCTCTGCAAGTATCACATCTTCATCATCTACCTGTATTCATAGATGTCATCATAGTATTTCTCAGAGTATTGGATGTTGTTCTGAGCCATCGCGGGCGGTTTTGTACTCAAGGCAAGACTGAAACAAATATTTTTTTAAAAAGATTAGAAAGTTATGATCACAGCCTTATGGCGTAAGATGTACAAAATCACGGAGACCAAACATTCTATCCTGACACGAGCTCTATTTTAAACGAGCCTTGAGCTGGAACTTGTACGGCATTGCCCATGCAGTACAAGCGTCACACATTCAGCGCGCATGAAGCTTCAGTAGCTGTCCCTTTGAACAGTGGTAAGAGAGTTTCTTGTGGACGAGCGATCACAGCTGAATGGCCAAGGATGAACCTCGACCACAAGTGATTAGCGGGCTTGTGACAAACCTTTAGACTGTCGGTCATTTAATTGAGTAGTGTACTCATTGTAAAGCATTAGTAATAGAACATCTTTAACTACCTACTTGCTTGAGCCGCGGCCTCTTTGTAACGCTTGCACCGCCGCACGAAAAGGATGATCCTTCATGAGGCATGGATACCCAAATGGAACATTACCTACATGCGCTGGACAATCGCTGCCAGTGTACCGGTGGCTTGGTATTTGCTTGGACGCCGTCGCCGTGCCGACACGGGCCAGGACCGCACCGACTTCGACGGGTTCCTCAAGGTGGTGGAGGACGTCGGTTCAACTGGCAGCCAACCCGAGCCTGCGAAAAGAAGCGGCACCATCGACTCGTTCTACAAGGACGCTGGCGCGCAGGAAGATGTGAGGAACCCCTTGGATTTTAACAGCTTCCTTCTTAGCAACAAGCCCCGGCCGGAAGCCCAAGCAGTCCCCAAGGACGCTCGGCGTGCCGGTGCAACGGAACAGTGTTCTGGGCCTAAACCGGATATGAAGCCAGTGACTGTCCTCTACGGTACGGAGTACGGTTTCTCCAAGGAGATTGCGGAAAAACTCTGTCGTCAACTGCAAGCGGCTGGTAATATCTGGTGAGAGGTTTGGAAGACCGACAGGGCTTTACGGGTTTTGAAAACCACACACCCGAACGTCATGCCCGCGTCTATGGTGAATGCTACACTGTTCCCTGTGTGACAGTTGCGGATCATGTATAGCCCAGAGGCCGGAAAGTATGTGTATGTATGTAGGCACGATACCAGAAGGTGAAATTGGGGTACTGGCAACCCTTTGCTTGGAAATCTATACCAGCATGTGCATATCCTGCCGTACCTCGCACACATCAGCCCTGGTGCCGTGCCGCCATGAAGTCCTCCAAAAGCTGCGGATTCTGTTGTGCATTGGTCGCAGGCCGCTGCTAGAGAATATGGCCGACCATCCGAATGGCTACGATTTCGCAAAGACTCAGGTCGCCTTGGTGGCCTGCTCCACGCAGGTAGGTTTACAATCCTTAAGCTCCCAGCTTATGGTGTCAAGGGTGCCGCGGTGTCGTCATGGTGTCGCCGTCTCCTCACCTAGCACGGTGGCCGTCGAAACTTTATCCGCCAGGCAGGTTGATTCCTTAGCACTTGTTTTACGGCTGCTTCGTGCCTCCTCCCTCGTGCGTGCTTGTATCAGGGTGACGGAGTACCTCCCACGGAGGCACGCGACTTCTGTGAATGGCTCTTTACAGGCAAAGCGGGAAGCCTTGCCCACATCAAGTTCGCCGTGTGCGCGCTCGGTGACAAGTGAGTAATGGGCGGCGCGGGGAACTGTCCATGGACGCAGTGCATGCAGGGCCTAAGCATGCAGGGCCTAAGCATGCAGGGCCTAAGCATGCAGGGCCTAAGCGCTTGAGGCATCCTTACTACCAGGAAATTGCTGTTGGCCACATGCGTCTTTCTTTTGTTATGTTAGCATTGCTTGTCTTGCACGGATTATGGTTGAAGCTTGGTTGGCGGCTCGTGCGCTGGTGTTTCAGGCCCTTTGCGCGCCCAATCTGCACGTTGCTAGGGGTGCTCTTACCGGGACACTCAGACATTCGTGACACGGCTTACAGGTCTTATACACACTTCTGCCGGTGCGGCAAGCTGCTGGACGCCGCCTTTGAGACGGCAGGTGCACAACGACTGATCGACCGAGTGGACGTGAACAAGGAGGATTGGTCCGTGGTGGACAGCTGGCTGGCGGCCGTGGTCACTGCTGTGAAAGGCCTAGCCTTGCAAAGCTTTTCTGATCTGAGCATAGGTATGCGGGGATGTGCAGTAACGCCTAGGATCCGAAGTTTGCAATGGCAGACGACCGCAGCTGTGCTGGGGAGGCAGGTGTGGAACCTAACTTTACAATCCTGACATGTTACAGGCCAGCAATTTGCGAAGGAGTTATGAGGTTTAGTAACACGACAGGAAAGGTGACCTGCTGGGTTCCAGACAGAGACCTATGTGGTGCTGATTAGCTCTGTGCATAGCTTAGGTATGTGTGCGAGCCAGAGCCAACTAGGCGTACAAGGACGCGACGCCAAGTGGCTAACGATTGCCTCCATAACGAAATTGCCTCCTTCTGCAGCTATCTCGGCACCGGCTGGTGGCGACAAGGGCTCCGCGCCTAAGAAGTGGGGGAAAAGCCGGCCCTATTTCGGAACGGTGCTTGCGCTGGAGGGGCTATGCGTCTTGACTGACAACGACGATAAGAACACAGTGCGCATGGAGGTGGACCTGGGCGACTCGGACCTTACATACCTGCCTGGCGACGCGCTGGGCCTTTATCCCACCAACGATGCTAAGGTTGGCTGTTTCAAAAGACCAGCGTACCGAACACGCCCAGTGCCTCACGCTCCTTTGTCAACGTATGCCGGAAGCCCGCTGCCATCATCACATCGTTAGACATCCACATGCAAGGGCAATGCACCTGCCTTGCACGCATGGCTCCCTGTATATTTGGCCTTGGCCGCAACAGGTCGCCAAGGGCAGTACCACACAATCATATCAACAAGCGCGTCTGAACAAAAGTCTTTTCTGTTTCATGACTCCATGGTTGCCAGGCTGTACAGGAGCTCATACGCGTCATGGCAGCATCGCCGGCCGAGGTGGTCCCGGCTCCGAGCTGGCATTACGAAGATAACGACGGGCGGCGGGACGCCATGCCGCTTGCGGAGGCCCTGGCCAAGTGCTACGATATCCGGTACGTGGCACACACACACACACACACACACTGTGGGCTTCATGACGTGACTTTTCCCGCACGTAAGTCACATACGGTCGCAACCTGATTCGCAATGGCGCTTTTAGGTGTCCGAAGCCGGAGCTTCTCAAGCTGCTGGTTGCTGCCCTCGACTCGGTTACTCAAGGGAACGGTCATGGGACCAATGCGGCGGATGGCCACATCCCCATTGATGAGCTCGCTGTTGGGCGCCATGAGCAGCTGCGACGCGCGCTTGCCGGCAGCACGGCTATGGATCAGTACCTTTCACCGCGGCACGTGGTAGACGTGCTGGAGGACGCTGCACCTGCAGTACTGAGCACTTCGCAGGTAGGTCGGCTGGCAGGTTGGGACACCTGGCGCATGCATTGATGTTGCCGTTGTCCTGTCGGCGCGCACGTGAAACTCATCGGTATCATGCGCATGAAGCCGAGGGGTGCAAGGATCGCGGGTGAAATAATGGCGCCGTTATGGACGCAGTATTTGGCCTTAGCCATGTGCCCGTGTTCTCCGTGCTGCTGCAGGTCCTGTCCTGCTTGCGCCAGCTGCAGCCTCGGCTCTACTCGATCTCGTCGTCGCCGTTGGAGGACCCTCGTCGTGTGCAAGTGACGGTGGCGGAGGTCAAGTACAAGAGCCTGGACAAGGCGCGCATCGGCGTATGCTCCACCATGATTTCCGAACGTCTGGAGGTGCGTCTTTGGCATTACGGCTCATTGCGATATGACCATGGTCTGTAACTCGCAAGTTTCGGTATTGCATCCTTCTAATTTTCAACGCATGTCCAGTTATGCAATGCTACATCAAGACGCGTCTCCATGGCCCTTTTTTTTCGCCTACTCTGCACCGCCCTCGTGCGGCCATTTGCAGGTCGGCTCCTGTGTGCCTGTATACGTGCACAAGAACCCCGACTTTAGGCTGCCGCAAAGTGCGGCCACGCCCATCATCATGGTGGGTCCGGGCACGGGCCTTGCGCCGTTTAGGTCCTTCATCATGCAGCGACTGCTGGAGCAGCAGGACAACGAGCCGCTGGGCCCCATGGTGCTGTACTTTGGCTGCCGACGCCGCGACCAAGACTATCTGTACGGCAAAATCCTAGAGAGCTGGTCTTCGGAGGGCAAGATTACGTTGTTTACCGCCTTCTCCCGCGAACAGGTAAGAGAGGGCGGAAGTTCGGGGCTTCCTGAGTCTGTCTCTGCCAGTCGCCCTCATCGTGGAGGCTGAGGCTCTGCTGTTTCTGTGGATAGCATTGTTGTGGTTTACCATGCTGTCATGGTTCATCGGTCACCTGTCTACTTTCAACACCTGCTGCACATAGCCATTATCTATGCTTCTGTGGCTTGGTTTTTTGTGTTTACAGAAACAAAAAGTCTACGTACAAAACCGACTGGCAGAGAGCGCTGACCTTGTGTGGGGACTGCTGCAACAAGGCGGGCACTTTTACGTGTGTGGAGACGCGGGCTCCATGGCAGGCGCGGTTGAGCAAGCCCTCCTTCAGCTGCTCTGCGAGAGGCTGGAAGGTGGCCGCGAAGCAGCGACGGCGTATCTTCAAAACCTTTCGGATACGGGCCGTTACCAGCGCGACGTGTGGTACTAGTGGTGTAGGAAGTCTGCAGGGCCAGTGGACCCATGCTCTCCATTCATGCAGCAAATTCTGACCGACATGAGTTTGCTCCCGCGATGCGCGCGTGCATATGAGCATATGGTTAGCTGGTATTTAGCCACAGAACACAAAACGGAGTGTTGCATGTTTTATTGAGCCATGTAACAATTGATGAAGAGGATCCGAGTAGAGGTTGATGAGTTGAGTCAGTTTGCGCTCAGTATTATATTATTTATTTGCGAAGAGGAAAATGTCGCTTGCAGCCTTCGTGTGTGGCGCATCTGCAGCATGGGCTTGCGCTGGACAGGGGTCTTACGGTATGCGCGCAGGATGTGAACGTGCTGCGTGTTGGCGCGAAGCCAAGGCTGGCGGTTTTAGATCGTACGTGTTGTGCGGCAGGTCAGGTGTTGTGCAGTAGGTGTTGTGCGGCCCGACTTTGGTTTGAGGCGCCCGTGTGGACTTTTTGCCTGAATTGCATGGGACCGAACGCTTTGAGCACCTGGAGTGACGTGGACCTGAGAGGTGCGTATGGGGTTAAATTTGATCTGCCTACTTGTTAAGATTCAACACAATTGCCATTCGGTCCCTGGCTGTGCCTGAGTTCACTTACATGTTTCCCCCGGTAGGGGATTAATTGAGCAACAAGTGGCGTTTCATACAGAAGTAATAAGACACGCCCTTTCTCAAGCCACACAAAGGATAGCCGCATCATAAAGACCTGCTTGACTATACACAGAAGGTAACAGCCCCTTTCAATGCACTTTTTATGGATCGTAATAACGTGCACAAGATAGCATGAAAGCCAGAACCGGCCTCCTAGTCCAACTTGAAATTCGACAGCGCATCACAAGCTTCGGGTCTTTCCTTCATCCATTACAACCGCAACATACCGCAAACACAGCCACGTAGCACTGCAGCGTGCAAGATGAAAGTCAGCATCAATTTCCAGAAGAAGTTGCACGACATACCGTACAGGCCTCACCGCAATGAATAATTGCGCCAGTCCGCGGCAGCACATAAGGTTGCTTTAAGTAGTGAAGTGTTTGAAAAGGTGATTCATTTTCAGGGTCTTTGCGTGCACGTTCTTGAGCTCATCTTCCAATCGCTTCCTGGCCAGCGCAACTTTCCTTGAAAATCATGCTTGTCGACAGCTTTGAAGTCCAGTCGCCGAATGTGGTGTACTCGGACGAGTTTATCACGAGCACGTATGATTACGCGTCGACGAAGCTGGACCGTGCGCCTGATGGAAAATGGGTCGTCAAGCCGACGAATTCCACTTATCAGTTCCGCGTCGACCGCCGCGTTCCAAAGCTTGGGTACGTGGTTGCATTATTTTCATCTATGGAATGCCTTCCACAGGCTGCTGCCAAGAGCCTGCTTTCAATTTGGTGCCGCCTTCCCGCGCAGAGTGATGCTAGTTGGCTGGGGTGGAAACAACGGCACAACCCTGACCGCTGGTATTCTTGCAAACAAGCAGTAAGCTGTGTGTAAGTAACCTGTCCCCACATCTGCCCAGTTGACGCTAATCTTATGTTTGCACGCAGTGGTATCACCTGGATGACCAAGGACGGCCTGAAGAAGCCTAACTTCTATGGCTCGCTCACTCAGGCCGCTACCGTCCGCGTTGGCAACTATGAGGGCGAGGAGGTATATGCTCCTTTCAAGGCTCTCTTACCAATGGTCGAGCCAACAGATATTGTCCTTGGTGGGTGGGACATCTCCGGCATGAATCTTGCAGAGGCGATGGAGCGCAGTAAAGTCCTGGACTGGACCCTTCAGGAACAGCTGGTGCCCTACATGCGCGACATGGTGCCCCTTCCTGGTGCGTGTTCAATGGCCAACGCGGATGGGGGAATCCAACCATATTTTAGTGTGAACCCTCAGCTTTGAAGCGGTGTGTGCCTTTTTCCTCCGTTCAAGTTGGGTATACCCGAGTTGGGCTTGAAACCGGACGGGGGAAATAGACGTCCAGTCTTGCATCAGGCGGTTTAACATAAACTCCCCGTTGTGTTTACGGTTGACCTGCAGGTATTTACGATCCAGACTTCGTTGCTGCGAACCAGGAAGAGCGCGCTGACAACCTCATTAAGGGCAGTAAACGCGAGCAGATGGAGACGGTTCGGCAGCAGATCCGGGCCTTCAAGGAGTCAAACTCACTGGACAAGGTGGTTGTCCTTTGGACGGCTAATACTGAGCGCTTTGCTCAAGTTATGGAGGGTCTGAACGACACGGCGGACAACCTGATGGCCGCCATCGACCGCAATGAGGCCGAAATCGCTCCCAGCACGCTGTACGCTGCGGCCTGCGTTCTGGAGGGCGTGCCGTTCGTAAACGGATCGCCACAGAATACCTTCGTGCCGGGCATGATTGAGCTTGCCGTCAAGCACAATGTGCTAATCGGTGGGGATGACTTCAAGTCAGGGCAAACCAAGCTTAAGTCCGTGCTGGTGGATTTCCTGGTTGGCGCTGGCATTAAGCCCACGTCCATCGTCTCGTACAACCACTTGGGCAACAATGACGGTCTGAATCTCTCTGCTCCCCAGACGTTCCGCAGCAAGGAGATCTCCAAATCAAATGTTGTTGATGACATGGTTGCTTCTAACAGCATTCTTTACGCCCCTGGAGAACATCCGGATCATGTGGTCGTCATCAAGTACGTACCGTACGTGGGCGACTCGAAGCGGGCTATGGATGAGTACACGAGCGAGATCTTTATGGGTGGCCGCAACACCCTCGTCATCCACAACACGTGCGAGGATTCGCTCCTGGCTGCACCCATCATCCTGGATTTGGTGCTGCTTGCGGAATTGATCACGCGCATTAACTTGAAGAAGGACGACGAGGATGCTTTCCGCGGGTTGCACCCCATCGCCGTCCTCCTATCTTACCTGACCAAGGCGCCGCTGGTTCCTTACGGCACGCCGGTCGTGAACGCGCTGGCTAAGCAGCGGGCTATGCTTGAAAACATCCTGCGTGCCTGTGTTGGGCTCGCGCCAGACAGCCAAATGTTGCTGGAGTTCAAGGCGTGAGAGGAACGGGAATGGGCTAGAGGGTGGCGAGAGTCTTCATAGGGCTTGCAGGGGAGGTCCAGCGGTAAACAGAGCAGTATTGAGTGCAGAGTGCAGACATGTCGTGCATTGTGTGGGATAGGCTAGGGGGGCGAGGTTGCATTCATTAGGCTCTGTCGTGGCCGGGCTCATCTACGTATGGGCTAAGTAGCACCGTTCCCCGTATTGTGACAGTTAAACTTTCGATTTGACATCGTTGCTATTTGTTTATACTTGGCTTTATACATGTGCAAGTGGAGGTGGACTTCAGCTACGCAGGTTTCTCTTGCCGACGCACAATATCCTGCGGCACTTGTGTTGTTTTTCTCGGCCTAGCCCGTTCCACATTGTGCACCTATTGACGGAGTTGGGGTATGTTGTGTATCATTAGCCCATGGCCGGGGTTAATTTTCCTGGGGGCAGCCTCTACAGAGGAGACACGAGACATTTCGTTTGTGAAAACTGGAGGAAGATATTGTTATTGGCGCACGTCGGATGTATTTTACACAGACGTTCACATCGCCGACAGTTGCGAAGAGGCACTTGGTTTGTGTGCGTGTATGTGCCTGTCTGCAAAAGCCATCGTTTAAGGCACGCCGACTCATTGAAGAACTATGTAACCCCAAAGGGTTTTGCATGATGCGCCTAGAAACTGGTCTAATGTAATCAAACTATAAATTACAACCCCAACAAGTAACCAACTGGCTTTTTCCTACGCTCCTAGATCTGCGGTTACGACTACTAAACTTGCTTCACTCTTAATGGAGTATCGGTACAGCCCATCGGACCAGTTACGCCCATGGACCACCTGTGCTAGCTAGGCTTGATGATACCCACATTGCAACAAGGTGTAACGTGACACGTAATGCATATTTCCACTGTTGCAGATAACAATGCAAAAAATGCAAGCCGATTGATTCCAGCATCGTTGGGTGCTGGTATGTAGCCATTACTGACGGCAATCCCAAAAATGAAGCAGAGTTTGTCCCAGCTCAAATCTTGACGCCCATTTCCAATGCCGCCGCCGCAAGCTTCTCTTCAGCTAAGGGCATCTTCAGGAGCTCCGTCAAAATCATGCGACTGCGCACCCCGCACATATCTGTGTCGGGTAAGCCTTTAGTTGTTACCACACGTACAAGGGGATGAAGGACGCCGGCGTCCAGCGCGCGGTTTTTCGCCTTGATATCCAGCAAGGCAAGGTTGTGCAGCGCCCCCAGGGCGTGGTCCATCACCTGTTCGTGGAGCAAGGGAAGGTTAACACGAAGTCCTGGCTGCGCAGCAGAAAGCACAGTGGAGGCGGATGCCCTCAGCAGCAACCATGCACGAGGCCTTTTGCTGGCTGACGAGTGACAATGCCGGACGTCCCCTAACGGATTTTGGGAAACGTGGGAAACGTTGCCGCTACACAGAACCAAGCCCAGGAGCGAATCACTCTCCACGACCCATACCCGCCATTTTCGTAGCTCCAACGCACCGGTTCGCTGACTGGGGCCACCCGCAGGACCTCCACAAGGGCTTCCACACCCCCCTCCTCGCGAATCATTCGCCGGTTCGTGTGATCCGCCGCCAAGTTCATGATTAATGTCACTGCTCGGTCCAGGTTGCCCCGGACAAGGTCCGCGGCCCGGATAAATCTGCAGGGAAGGCACGTAACAGCAGACAGAGATGGATCAGCCCCTGTCAGCCGCTTCGTCCCTTAGCTACAGAGATAACAAGGGTTACAATGCTACTCACCCTCGACCATGAAAGGCTCACATGTTAACTCATTACATTCTTCCGAAATCTCTCCCTCCCTACCCTACCCTACCCTACTCCACGAATTAGCAAGCTGCAACAGCGAGCCCATCCTAGCACACATTTGAACATGGCCCATTCCTCTCCCCCCGCGGCTAAGCAGCCATGGCGCCCTACCCCGCGGCAGTGCTGCACGTCCCCATCTTCCCCCCGGCGCACTTTATGAGCGGCGTCGTGGCCCCCGCCAAGCAGACCTTCTGGCGGCCCTCCGGATTGAGCGCCATAATGGACAGCGCTTGCATCACTGAGCCCGCGAGCGCCGTGTCGGGTCCATCCTTCAAGATGGCCACCAGCTCATCCATGATGGCGGAATTCGCCACCTCCACAGGGTACCCCCGGGCAATCTTCTTGACACGCTCGCATGCACCCATCGCCAGCATAGAGGTGCGCATCTGGCGCAAGTGAATACGGGAGGGGAAGCAGGCCCCACATGCTGTAAACGTGAGTGCAGGAGAGAGCGGCTCTACGGGGCCCTGGGTGCTAACGATGGTGACCCCGTTATTTGGCGGTGGGGCTGGACTGCAGGCGCGGTTCGGGCCTCAACGGAAAACGAGCATTGCAGGCCCTGGCAACAGCGACGCCTGTGCGGACGCCCTAGCCGCAGGACGCACCTTTAGGCATCCCACGATTTCGTGAACGACGCGTTCCTCTGGTTTCTCCGCTCTCAGCAGGTCTGCACTGGCCTCCGAGTGCACTACAATGCTCGTGTGCTCGTTCTCCTTTTTGCCTGGAGGGGTTGCTGCAAGCGCATTTCTGGGTTTTGAGGGTGTGCCGTATCCGCCACCGTGTCCACCATTTCTTATTCGTAGACTTCCAGTGCGCTCCAGCACGCCAACTTCCTCTTGCATGCTGATAGGAGGAGCACTGCCCGAACTGTCGACAGAACGAAGGCAAGGCGGAGACGAAACTGAGGCTCTTTGAGGACAAGCTCTCCAACTAAAATTTCACACCTTCAACGAAGTAAATACTAGTGGAGTGAAGAAGAACCTAAAACCCTTTCCGGACTCTACCCTCACCTAGCATGCGGTGGTGTGCTTTTATTAGAAGGACAAACACCTTGTCATCAAAGTTCTCAAAGGGAACAGGGTCATCATATAGGTATTTTCCCCGTAGAGTTTACTGTTCTTGCAGAGTTTCAACAAGAATAATATTCTGGCCTAAAACCAACCGCAATGCAAGCTTTGAAAACTTTAGGCAGACCTAACAGGTGTCTTACACTAGTAAGCTATAGTACGCAAAGCTGAGCTGTTTGCCACGAGGCCGTTGGACTCAGTTAAGGGGCCATGATACGGCAGCCAGCAGCCCACCATCTAATGACAGGACAGAATGCGTCTAATTTTCACTCCATGTGTCCATCAACTTCCTTACACGAGTGTAGCGTACTTTGTACACGCGCATAATATTGTTGCAGTATCGAGTTTCAGACTGTGAACATTTCTACAGCTAAAAACAATACCACACGCAGTTATGACAACTGGAGGTTTCGATTGCAGGTACACGAACAACAGATCAATATTTGACCCGTTTCTCGCGGGTACCTTGACGTTGGGGCTATTTCGCCTCCTGCAGGAGCTACGATTTAAATTCCTACGCCTCTAATATCCTAAAGAGACGCATTGAGCGTTTCAGCACTGTATACGCGTGCTGCTTCATCACAGCTGCGGAGGCGGCCCTTGCCGATGGCGTGACAGATGCACCGGCCGAGGGGGAAGCGCCCACAGACATGCTTCTGACAGCCAGCAGCACAGGCGATCTTAGGCAAGTGCTGCCTCCGACATGAGGCGTGGCGAACTAGCCTGGCATCCGACCCCGCCTCCGTTCACGTCCCCACGTCTGCAATTCCACCCCTGGGCTTTGCGCTGCTCTGCCGCTGCTGAGAGCACACATCAAACAAACACCAGCTAGCCGTCTCTCCGTCACTGCCACCCCCGCAGTCACTGCGTTCGGAACGCAGCCACCTTTTCGACCTGTAAGCACGAAAAACCAGAACTCCAGACACATCACACTTTCTAGGTTCTTCCCATGCAATGCGTCACACCACCACTTGGTGTCGCGCTCATCAAGGTGGGGCCAGGGGTAAGGGTGGGTACAGGCATGTTGTTGCGTGTACCTACCCCATGTATCTCCCTTTGCCTGGTACCGCCCGGAAAGGCAGCCCCGGCAGGGAACTGCGGAACATCCTTGCCGTACAAGGGAGTACAGGAATGATAACAACCCCTCCGTCCCGCTTCCATCTCCATGTCCTCTCTTTGGCCGCGTCGTGGGCCCCCGACGACCCTCCCTGCCCCCTCCTTTTGACCCCCTCGCGGTCGCTCTTCCCCCGGGGCTCCCCTTCCTCTCTCATTTCTGCCTGCTTTCCCCCGGCCCTCCCTCACAAATACCCTCACTCCTCCACGACACACCTGTGTCCGCTGGGGGCAACTTGCGGCACAGGCTCTACTGGCTGTCTGATCTGGTTCAAAAGTGGACGGCCACCACCGCCTCCGGAGCCTCCACCACCACGTTTCCCCTGCAGGCCCCTGAGGCCGCCAGCTGCGGCAGCTGGGCGGCCCACCAGGGACCCGTGTACTGCCTCGCTAAGGTCCACACAGGTGGGCCGAGTGAGGCGGGGAGGGAAGGAGGGGACGGGGAGGGGGGGAGGGGGCGCCACGCATACGGGGCGACTGGCCGACATGAGCTTTGGTGGGTCTTGGCGCGGCCGGTGCTGCATTGAGTCGAGTTGCCTGCGAGGAGTTCAGTCGTGGTGCGGCGCTTCTTTGGTGGGTTCAGACGCGTTGAAAGCCTCCCGTCCTGGGAGCCGGAATGGCACCACCGGCAGGACGGGGAGTTCCCGGGGGGGATATGCACAGGGCGTGGCGGGTGTAGGGTTGCAGGCGCCCACTGCCCGCCGGACAGCGATGCTCCCCGTTCCCGGCCTGTCCTGGCCTCCTGCCCGGTTTGCAACATGAGGCCCCTTTCCAACGCCGTTGGCGGCCCACCCCACGTACCCCACCTCACATCATCACCGACTCCCTCGTCCCTCCGCCTTCCAGTTCCCACCATTACATTCGCTGATTTACTTCCTCCCCACATTGCCGTCCATACCAACACCAATACCAACACCGGCATCACCACCCGCCAGGCAGCGGCTTGGTGATCCTGAGTGGCGGAGACGACGGCTACGTGCGGGGCTGGCTGATGTCGGACGTGCTGCGGCACGTACAGGCGGCCACTAGGGACCCTCAGCGGAACACGACCCACAGCAGCGCCGCAACCGCAAACGAGACGCACCAGCACCAGCAACCCGGACTCCAACACCGGCACCAGCAGGCTTCGGAGCTGGGCTCCACGGCACCTGCTGGGCCCCCAGCCCATCTGGCGGTGCGTATGCCCCGGGCGGAGAGCCCTCTGGCAGCTAGCTCCCTGCCCCCGGCAGTGCAGGCCCTGGCACCTGGCAGAGCGGGCAGCGGCGCCGTGGGGGTCTTTGTGGGTAGGTGGGGGCGGGGAGGGGAAGCTCTTGTGTGCGTGCGTGTGTGTGGGCATAGTTGCATGTTGGGCCGCTGGGTGCGGAAGGAAGCGGGTCGGGTCGGGTAGAGGGGAGGGGAAGAGGCCGTGGCTTTGCTGTGTTTGCCAGAGCCCTGCTTTACATGCTGCCAGGGCGCCTCGCCTCCCGCACGTACGGGCGCGAGAGAGTGAGAAACCCATCGGGGCTTGGGACACTGGGCCACTCATTTCGCTGTGCTAATGGGCGTCCCGTGATTCTCCGCCGTACGACAGGCTGTAGCGACGGCGGTGTGCACTGTCTGGATCTGTCGTCCGGCGGACCCGTGGGTCACTTTTCGGGGCCTGGTCACGTGGCGGCGGTGATGGCTATGGACTTGCACGAGCCCAGCAGCTGCCTGGCGACCGGCTCGGAGGTGCGTCCACTCGGTCCGGCTGCGTCGACGTGGCAGCGGTGGCATGGCGTGGTGCACACAGCTAGCTGCATGCAGACATCCCTCTGTCTGTGTGTGTGTGCATGTGTGTGTGTGTGTGTGCATGTGTGTGTGTGTGTCACCGGTGCCATTTCCTTGTCGCGGTTTCAGTTCCTCACCCCGCACAGTCACAATTGCGCACACGGGCCCAGAGGAATCCGAATGCGCAACACGGTGTGATGGTTCGGGCTTCTGGAGGTGTTTGTGGCCATGGCCTACCTGCTGGACTGCTGCTGCCTACACACGGCTTGTAGCGGGACTGCTTCCCCCTCTCTGTTGCATGCTGCTGTCTGTAGCCAGTTAACTACGGGCACATACATACATACATACATACATACATACATACATACATACATACATACATACATACATACATACATACATACATACATACATACATACATACATACGTACATACATACACAGATACGTACATTATAGCATGCATGCACGCACATGCATGCCGGCGGCTGCCGCCCGCAGGACGGAACCGTGCGGCTGTGGGACACGCGGGCGGCAGCGGCCGGGGGGGGCGGCGGTGCGGGCCGCTGTGCTCGCGTGCTGGATGGCGCTGCGGGTCGCGATGTGGCGGGCGGTGGCGGCGGCGCCGAGGTGCTGCGCTGCCTGCGCAATCCCCCGGTGACCTGCCTGCGGTTCGACACCAGCGGCAGCTGGTTGCTGTCCGGACAGGGGGGTGCCGCTGGCGGCGGGGGCGGGACGGGCGCTGGGGGCGGCAGCCTCGGCATGTGGAACCTGGGCATGGTGCAGCGAGTACGGCAGGCGCCGACGAGCTTTGTACCGCAGGTGAGGTGCGGAGCCGCGACGGAGCGCTTAGCCATCTCCGCCTCCACTGCTGCTGTCAGCTACTGCGTTCAGGTGCCGTGAGTGCAGCTCAACCCTCGACAGCACCGCGCCTAATGGTCACACACATTGCCCATCTTTTGCCGAACATGAGCCCGTCCTCGTCCCTCCCAACCCCTGCATCACCCGCTTCCCTCCCTCCTCCACTTCCTCTCTGCGCGCACGCGTGTGTGTATGTGTGCGTGTGTGCGCGCGTATGTGTGTATGTATGTATGTGTGTAAAGGCCATGGCAGTGCAGCCCGCGGAGGTCCTGGTGGTGGGCAGTGAGCAGGTCCTCAGCAGGTACAGCTGGGGCCTGGAGGGGCCCGCGCAGCAGCCCCTGACCACCCGCTCCGCGTTCGCACTGGACGTGCACCCGCTCACCGGTGCGGTGGCGGTAGGCGGAGTGGGGGCGTCCCTGGAGCTGCTGTCCAAGTACGGCAAACGAACCGGCGGCCTTGCCTTCATATCGGATGAGGACTGAGTGCGAGTGGGACGGGGGTTGATCCGGGCGTGATGTGCGGGTTGCGTGTGTGTGTTTGTGTGTGTTGGGGGGGGGGGGAAATGGGACCCGGGGGGGAAGTGGAGCTAACGGAAAGGGGGGAGCTGTGTGTGCAGGGGGCGGGGGAGCGGGGGCCACGGGGCTGTGGAGCGGGTGGGTTGTTGGCTTCTGGGGATCCCCTTGTTGTTGAACATTCGTCTGGTTGCTGCTGCGGCTTGAGACGCAATTTGCGTGGGCCATTTCCACAGCGCCGTTAAGGGACATGCATACATACATACACACGTCCACAGCGTGAGGGCTGGGGTTCCCTGGAAATGAGGTCGCTAAGTATTGGACCCCTAGCTGCGCTGCCGGCTGTAGTAGTGGCCTTTCCACTGGGACTTGGCGGCTAGGGACCCGTTTGCAATCTAGCTAGTCGGCCACTTCGCCGCGATGACTACTTCCCAAGTCACTACTGGTTGGTGACTTCTTACCATTTCCTCTGTAGTACCCGGCTATCCCTGGTATCAGCTTCACTCGTCTGTGGTTCGTCTTTCTCCCGATAGGAGGGAACGTCAGGCAGCAGCAGCAGCAGCAAGAAATTATCCCTTAAGGTACCGTACCCAAGGCCAAGAGATAACCCCAAGTAAGGCCTTTTCCAGGATTTCCAGCCACTCCGCCATGCCTGCTTCCTTTGGACGGCCTGCTTGCAGCCGTTGCATGCAGTTTCTGAAGTTACAAATGCACAGCGATTCTGCTCTGTGACGCAACCAACGGTACTGCCACACAACGTGTGTGTATGTATGTGCAACCGCGTGCCAGACCGCGAGAAACGCCCCCTCGCGTCCAACCTGCTCTCCCTAGACCCTCCCGTGACACCTGCCACACAACGTCCGGGAACGTGCTCACGCTCATCACCGCACACCTGTGTCCTTACTGCTGGTAGCAAAGGCTCAACAGAAACCCAGCACCGTACATCTGAGATGACAGCACCCCAACTCAAAGCAAGCGAAGCAAGGAAAAGCTAAGCATTGCGTATCAGAACAAGCCCCCCAAAACGGCGTTTGTACGGAACGTATTCTGGTCCGTTGCATCTGCTGTTCAGGAGAGCTCCTGCAAAACATGCCGCACACGCGGAGAGCACAAGACTACGACAAAACGGAAAGGCCAGAAGGCTTGAACCCTATTGATAACCTCCACCCAGCCCTTCATCACCACCACCACCCAGCGCATCCAGTCCACGTCAGTACTATAGGTTTTTGTCGCGACTTACTTTCGCCGCACCCCTCCGCCCTCATCCGCCCCTCACACTCTCACCCTGCACCTGCCGGGAGCGGTGCGGATACCAGGGCCAACCAACACCGCCCTGGCCATGTGGCTGCCGTGAATCTCTTACCGCCGTACTGCCCGCACGATGTACCGCTCCAGGGGGCTGCGGCGGCTGCCGGCATATGGCAGCTAGACGACAGGAGCCTACGGCAGCTGCGGATCAACATGCCTAATCAGGCTCGCAGGACAGCAACGCCATGCCATTTCTTCGTCACACACGCCACGCATGTCCCATCCAACGCAAGACCGCATCCTGGAGGCGCCAAGGCGCATCACCTGACCAAATGCATACATGACACATCCGGGTGGATGTATTGGCCGTGTTGCCGAGCCATCACCAACCCAAATGGCCGGTCATAAATAGTGGGGAGTTAGGGGGAGTTATGCACCAATGAACCTTTCAGATCCATTGCAAGCCTGTAAGCCTGTAACTAACAAAATTGATTCAGTTGGAAGTGCGCATCCTGCACCGGGCGTCCAAGGGAGCTTAACTAGGACCGGGAGCTCCCAGTTGAGTTCGACATAAAGAAGATATACTATATGAATCGTAGCCGCGACATGGGGGGTTGCACAAAAAGGAGATGATGCAGTAATAATAGCCTAGCCAGCAGTTGCGGTGCGCGGCACCAAGCCGCCAATCCAAAACACCGCTCCGCTGCAAATGTACGGAGTTTACACGACGGACCTGATGAAGTGTGATATCAAAGTTATCACAGAAGCCAGCGTGCTCTGCTGCAGGAAGTAAGAGTCCCCAAAAATATACACGTGAAGCATCCGTTCCAACGCCTGCCCATGCCCTCCGCTTCAGCCCCGCCACACCCCTGGCGCTCCTTACACGAGCCTCACTCGCACCCGCCATACTTCAGAGCACTGTGGCTTCCCCTCCCTGCCCCCACTTATTCGTGTGATCCAATCAATTACTCAATCAAGACCTACCAGAATTGCTCCGTGTCATAGAGCTATCGTGTACCGCCGGTGGCTGCGGCGCCGTGAACACCGTCGCCGCCGCCGCCATGACCGCCGCCAATGTCGCAGGCGGGGTACCAGACTGCATTGCCACCGCTGCACCGCCAGCATTACAGCCCCTATTCCCATATCTACGACTACCACCGCTACCACCACCACCACCACCTAGGTCCCCTCCATGTACGATCCACCGCCGTAAACTCCCAGAGCCGCCTTCCCACCCATCATTATCATCCCCCTCCCCCTCCCTCCCCAACCCACCTCCCGTTGCCCCAACCTAAGCAGATCCTCCCCTTCCCCCTCACCGTCCTCCCCATCACCGTCTTTGTCCCCATCACCATCACCAGCACCAGTCAGCTGCCGGGACCAGTCCTCGAGCCCGAGGAGGTTCCGTTGCTGTGAGGCCGCACCCCGGGGTTGACCTGGGCCTTCATGGCGCTGGAGCCACCCGGCGGCGGCGGCGGCGGCGGACTCGGGATACCGGGGAGCTGCTGGCAGTAGCAGCAACTGCCGCCTCTGATGCCGCTGTCGGGTCCGGCCCTGCTGCCTCCCAGCACTGCCAAGCAGCACCAGAGAGTCGCCCGCCTGCCCTTCTACTTCTTCTCCCCCCCACTCCTCCCCCTCCTCCCCCTCCTCCGCAACCCTCAGCTCCCCCAATGCAAAATCCCGCAACACGCTTCCGCCGCCATTGCCACCGCCGTCGCGGCGGTGAAGACACGCGGCCCCGCTCCCCCGGGTGAAACCCACAGGCGCCATGCTGCCGCCACTCCCCCACATCCCGACAGCCTCCGCCATACACGACCCAAGCCTAACGGGCGCCCGAGGAGGAAACCCTTCCTCCTCCTCCTCTTCCTCCTCCTCCTCGCCCTCCTCATCATCATCCAGACGGCCAACGGTACGACCTCCGCACGTCTCATGGCGCCGGAGGAGCCCCTCAGGTGCCACCTCCGCCTCCCAGTCCATCTGCTCCTCTAGGGGCCTCTGTCGGCCAGGGCCCCCCGCCGCTGTCCCGCCCCGGCCGCCCCGCCCTACCGACCCGTCCTCACCAGGCCCCCAGCCATCATGCTGGCTTCCCAGTCCGCAGTGCAGCTTCCCAGCAGCAAAGTCCTGCCCCTGCAAGAGCAAGAAGTGCTCGCCCTCCCCGTCCCACCTGCAGGGGGCACTTATCCCGGGTCTTCCATGTAGTCCCGCTGAGCCGTCGTCGCCGTACTTGTCGTACTCGTCGTCGCCCCAAGTGACCCCGGGGTCACCTTGTCGCCACTCGGAGCTGCCCGGGTAGGACAAGTCGCCGCTGTTGTAAACCTGCCCTGACGCTGCTGGTGCTGCTGCTAAGGATGAACGGTCATGCCGACGGCGCTTGCCGTACAGCTGACCGTTGGGTCTTGCATCGGCACCGCCGCCGCCGCCTATGGTACTAAGTGACAGGAGACAAGCTGACGGTTCCCGCATATTGTGCTGGCGCTTGAGCTGGCGCGGGCAACGACCCGAAGACTGAGGAGATAAGGGGCAAAGGCCGCCCAAGCGGCTCGGTTTACGGCCCCCATCCACACAATCTAGCGACTCACTGCCGCCGCCGCTAACGCAGCCGCCGGCAGTAGCACCACCACGGCCACATCTCCCGCCGCCGTCACCCAGGTACTCAAGCGGCAGCATCGGCGCAGGGCCCGCGTCAGATCCCGAGCTGGCTTCGGAGCCGGAACCGGGCGAGTTGGCCCCCTGCAACTGCCAGTCGGACCGTCCCACGGGTCGCAGTCGCTGGCCATGTCGCCGCCGCCGCCACAGATCATCCCCGCTATCCTCGCCGGGCGATGCACCGCGACGTTCATCGGTAGAGGCAGACGTGCTGTGAAGTGTAGATGCCGGGCTGACCGAGTTGGCTAGAGGGTTCGTAGCGGCCCCCCGGCCCTGCCCCCAACGGCGCTTGATGCTGCCACCACCCCGGAGAGCGGTCCCCAGGTTCCCGTCACCATGCGCCTCTCCTTCTCCGCCGTCGCCCCCCTTCCCTTCTCCTCCTTCTTCTGTTGCCGTCACTGCACACCGAAGTTGTGATGGCCAGCGGGCCCCAGCAGCAACTGTCGCCTCACCACGGCCGAATCTGCCTCTACCACCACTGTCACCACCGCCGTTACCATCAGCTCGCGGTCCTGATCCTCCTCCGTCGGACAGCCGCTCTCTTCGACCTTGGCCACCTTGCTGCGCCGCAGCGGGGCGCTCTGTACGACCCGGAATGCGGCGCGGACCACCGGGCGCGGTAAGGCCGCCGGCACCGTTATCGCCGCCTCTGTCTCTCCTACCGACACCTACGTCCCCCACGTCCGGCCAAGGTGGTGCCCCCTCCCGTTCGCTCTGCCGCGGGCCGCCGCCGCTGGCCTCCGAACCCACACGTCTCAACCCGCCCCAATGCCCATTAGCGCTGGTTACCGCCCTGGCCCCTTGCTGTTGTTTTTGCTTTTGTTTTTGTTGCTGCTGCTGCTGCTGCTGCTGCTGCTGCTGGCGTTCTTGTCCTGCAGCAGCTCCCGCCTTCACCGGTATCGCAGCTGCAGCCCTGTCAGCCGGGGTGGCCGTCAAGGGCTCCCCCTCCTCCGGCGGCCTCAGTCGCACCCCTAGGTCCGCTTCCACCATGGAAGCCACCCGGTTTCGGATCAGGCGCATGCAGTCCCGGGGGTTCATACCCGCGCCGAAACCTAGGACTGGAGACGGCGGCGCGGTGGCAGCGGCTGGCGGTGCTGCTGGTCTCGGGAGCAGCGGCCCGCAGCCATCACCAGCGCCGCGGCCTGTACTGCCGTTGCCAGCGTGGGAGTTTCCATCTGGGTTTGGAGCCAATGGCTGGGCATGGAGGCTGGCAGCAACGGCAGTATCAGGGTGTACGACAGCCCTGGCGGATGGCGGCGCCCCTGCCGCCGCCGCTGCCGCCGTTGCCGACACTGCACCTGCCGTGGCTACTGTCGGCGGGGGCTGTGGACCTGGACCAAATGCCGCTGGCTGATGGCCAGGGCCCCGCGTTTCAGGCAGAATGCCGTACGTGCCGTACCGACTGCTCTGAACGGGCGCAGGGGCGACTGGGTTGACCTGGCCTTCACGCTCAGTGCGGCGGTGGCCTGCGGTCGGCTGTGCTGGCTGGTCTGCGGGGCCTGGCATCTCGACCAAGTCTGAAAGGTGAAATTTCCTGGAAGATTTACCCTTTTTGAATATGTTTAGTGCCGCCGCCATGGTGCGATTTCGAATACTGGCGGCCAGGGGATCCGCAATTGTCAGAGGGGCCTGCATAGGCCCCGCCGGATAGTTGGTCTTCAGCTTTGGGGCCGCCGCGACAGGACGAGTTAGCACAGCAGCTTGTCGGTACATCTGTTGGTTACCGGCTGTTGCGCCTTGACCTGCAAGCGGCGCCTCGTCTCCTTAAGTTGGCCCGTGGTTCAATTTGGGCGTTGAGGCATGAAAACAGAGCCTACCGATTTGGGTCCGCAAAGGCTTCGCCTGGTGGTCCTTAACATCGTTTACTGCATCTCGGCGATCCGCCTGATTATCGTGGTGTGCGGATGGAACTGCAGGTTCCGCTGCATTTGGCTGGGAATGCTGAGCTTGTCGAAGGGCTGCCGCCCTGGCCCTCTGAAAATCAAAGTGATGCAAAGCAGCAGACAAAGGATCTTAATTTGGTTTATGGATAGAACAGCGGCCCGGCGCGAGCGGAGCTCCGCAACTACCGTTACTAAGCTCCCAGGACGGTTGCCCGCAAACACACCTGCTTGAATGTAGCTAACTGGTTGAATCCATGCATTTTACTATATGTTACGATGCCATGGACACCTCCGTCAATCAGACGCTCACGCGGAAGCACTCCTAGGAGCTCCAGAACCAGAAGGCGGGAAGGCGAAAATGTTCACCAAAATTGTTTGCGTGATCTACCATCGATACGGTGACAAAGTGAGGACCACTCTAACAGCTATGATGGTGTTCAACATCACGTTATGTTTTTAGAGCTAACTTTAAGCCACTCAAAACGAAAAACTCATCGGTTTACTCGTTGTATTGTACATGAATTTAGTACAAACAAATCTGCTCCGTGAAGTGGCAGCGGAGGTGAAGGCTCATGGAGGCCTCCTGCAATTCAAGTCCCATGCGCTGAAAAACCTCGAGCTACGCACGGTACTAAAGGCAAGGAAGCTGCGGCCAGTTGAGGAACCTGGTGCTCTACTCCATGGCCTTAGACAGTTTTGTTTAGTTACGGGCGCCGTATGGACCATGCAGGAAAGCCATGGCTCGCCCGTCGTCGACCTAGTATTCAATGGGCTTGACCCCGAGCACCGGAACCTTTTCGCCTCCATTGGCAAAGACCAAGTGGGTAGCTATCTCTATGCTATTGCGTTCCCTTCCGAAACCCAAAGTTCTCTGACAACTATGGCCACGCCTGCTGGCCCACGCCGAGGACAACCTCACCGCACGACCACTCTCCCAGAGCCCTCCAAAACCAGCATCGCTCCGGTTTGCAGGTTACCATCTATGACGACGAACACATGGGCGATTTTCTGGGTGTTGTCGTACAGTACGTCAACAGCCCTAGCACGCATCACCGTGGAGGGGTAGGTGGCTGGCTGCGTGAGTGCCTTCCCGCGAACTTCTTTGCTTTGCAAGTTCGCAACATCACACCAAAACAGCTTTACTCAAATACCAATTTCCTCCCGCCTTTCCCGACGCCTTTGCAAGCCACAAGATATCCCGAACAGTCTTGGGCCTCAACCCGAGGCAGTTCCTCCCTGTCACCACTTCCGACAGCTGCCCCCTCCTCCGTCGTCGTAACACACACGCGCATACACACACACACACACATACATGCAGGCTCACAAACGTGTAGAGCCCCATTTTCCCTTTGCCACCCATTAACCTACCACAGCACGTTTACCGTACATTTGCACCTTCAGCTCCCGTTTACCACCCAAGCCTCCCCTGAAGCATCCTTTCTCCCCCCTCCGAGGCCACCCCCTCCTGAAAACACGCTGAATGACACGCTCTCGCCTCTCCCCCACCCGCATTCCCCCAGGACGTGACCTGTTGCGCCTGGGTTCAGATGTCTGGACTTACGGGGCACGAGCTGGGAGATGCATGTCTGGTGGGTGAGCTCCAGGGGTGGAGGGATGTGACCCCATCCAGGGATGCGGGCGGGAAAGGGTAGCTACAGGGGGAGGCGGGGTCAGGGCACGAAGCAGGGTGTCGGGGGGCCGGGCGAGAACCTTCCTTGCCGCCAAGGCGGTTCTCCAGATAGGAAGGGACCCGTTCCTGTTTGTATGTATGTATGTATGCGTGTGTGCATCTACCCGTCGGTCTGTCCGTCTCTCCCTTACTCGTCCGCCTGTGTACCTGTCTATCCGTCTATCTGTCTGTCTATCTGCATGTCTGTCAGGCGGTGTCGGGTCCTGAAGGTGTCATTCAGGTGATCAGTGTGGTGGAGGGCCGGGTGATCTCCCTGCTGAAAGGTGGGTCGGGGGGGAATTGGGTGTGTGTGGGGGGGGGAGGAATCATGCATGTAAGACTCAGAGGGTCAACTGCCGATGTGTCCATAGCACCCACGGGGTGGGGGGAGGTGCTGGGGTCAAATACACACACACCTGGGGGAGGACACGGCTGCGAGGCTGCTCTTGCCGGTGATATGTTCATCTGCACACCTGCTTGTGTACATGTCCAGAAGGAACGCCTTTTTGTGCGCGAGCACCTGTGTATGTATGTATCTATGTATGTATGTGTATCCTTAGGTCACCGCGGGGAGGTGGTGGAGCTCCGCGGCTGTGCCGGGGTGCCTGGGCTGCTGGTGTCGCTGGGTTTGGACGGCGGTCTGCGGCTCTGGGATGTGGCGGAGGGCACCTGCCTTGCGGAGATGGCCTCCGACGCCGCCTGCCTGGTAAGACCGGGGAGCTGGGGGTAACTCCCCGGTAGGGGGTGGCTGCAGATAAACAAAGTTGAACGGTGCCTCCTGTAGCGAGGAGCGTGCAGAACTGTAGGTGTGCCTGCATGTACGTATATATGTATGTATGTGAGTGCTGGGGGTTGAGAAAAAAAGGGGATAGAGGGGGAGTCTTAGGGGGTCGCCAAGCGGAACTTGCGGTTGTGAGGTTGGGTGGGTTCAGGTGGGTGGATGGATGCTGATTGAGGCATGTAGGAGCTGCTGCTACGGGGCACCCCCTCCGGCGCGTCTCCATTCCGCACCCTTCCCTGCCTCGCAAGTTCTCCCACTCTGCCGCTTACCTGCCCTCTCCCCTCCCCTCCTTTGGTCGAGTTGGCGGCCGTGGTTGCCCTTTGTTTCTTGTGTAGTTATCAACCTTGCCATCATATTATACCACCCTTCACCCCCCTCCAGCTGATTCGTTATAACTTGCATGTGAACACCTCCTTCCTCCCCCTCCGCCTCCCCCTCCCCGGGGGGTCAGGAGGTGCATGCGGAGGGCAGCTGCTTCTTCACCGGGCACAGAGGCGGCCGCATCTGCCGCTGGGATCTAAATCTACATGCAGATCAGAACCGGAATCTGGATCCGGATCCACCAACACACGCCGATCGTGACGACCCAAATGGACCGTCGCCAGCCGCCGCATATCGGGATGCGGCAACAGGCGGTGATGCTGCTGCTGCTGCCGACGGCGGTGGCGCGGCGGCGCCATCAGGGGTCGCTGTCGTACCATGCGGCGGCGCTCCAGGGGCTCACGTCCGCCGGCCCCTAGCACTCCGTGGTCATCCGCCAGCCCCCCAGCAGCTGGCTCTACCCGGCAATCCCCTGGGGGAGCTTGTGGAGTGTTTGCGGTGCATGCCGGGGGGCCGGCTAGCGGCTAAGTCGTCGGACGGGCGACTGGCGGTGTGGGACTTGGGTCGCGGAGTCCAGTTGCTGTCTCTGCGGGTGCCGGGGACGCACTCGGCGGCGGTGGCGGGAGGAGGCGGAGGTGCGGGGCTGGGCGCGGCGGCGGCGCTGCGGAGCGGTCGCTGCCGGTTCAGCGTGACTCGCGATGGGGATTTCATATGCGTTGGTGAGCTTGGGGGGTGTTTGGAAGGTCCTTGGAGGGAGGTGGGGAGGTGGGGTGGATTGTCATGGTCTGTGTGATCCCCCCCCCTTCCGGAGCACAGCGCCTACGGGTCTAACACGTGAAAACCCTGAACAGTCACTGTCATGGCTCCAGTAACACTGCAAACGATGTGCCGAGCACTGCGCCAATCACCATGCCGACCGTGGCACAACCCGCAGCACTTGCCACTGCGGGGGGAACCGACACAACACAGCCCGGGGGGCCCCCGTAATGGCAGGTGCTACCAGAGGTGAAAACCCAGAGGTTGACACGGTGACCCATGCTTTAATTTGAAGTGCCATGTTAAAACACGCTTAGCTAGGCATCTGTGCGAAGGTAGGCGTTAATAAGCGGGCCGATGAGGTGAGCTGAGCCAGCGGAACCTAATGAATGATTAGGGAGCCCGCCGGGGGCTCTTTACTGCCGACCACATGCAACGAACTCCCCCTTCCCCCCGACAAAACGCATACACTCTCGCACATGCTCGCACACAATCGCATTCAGACCTCTTTTTTTGCCCCACCCGTAACCGCTCGGCCCGTCAGGCAATCCCGCGGGTGACGTGTACGTGTACGACACCGCCTCGGGCACACGTGCCGCCCATTACTCGGCACAGAAGGCGCGGGGCCCCGCCCGGGCCGCTGCTCTGTCGGAGGATGGGCGACACCTGCTCACCGTCCACGGCAATGGCTACATCCTACGGTAAATATGGTTGCCCGTCAAGGTTGTTGTGTGAGGGCATTGTGTGTGGGTGAAGATATTTCCTTGGTCGTGAAGGGGGTTGGCTGTTTTGGAGGCAGCAAATAGGCCTGGCCAGCCGCCCTAGGTGCTCCACCCGTCTGCTGTTGTGCTATCCAGTTTTGAGTTCAGTTCAGTTGAGTTCGTATCTCGGAGTCCTGAGTCCATTAAAAAGTCATGCTCCCAGCCTCTCCGCTTATTATCATGCAAATTGACTTTAGTAAGGCGTTCGACTCCGTTGACCATGAGACACTTTGGGATTTCCTAATGTCGTATGGGCTACACGGGCGCATCCTCGATTCTTTAAAGGCTAGCTATGCTGACGTGAAGTTTCGGGTCAAGTTAGGAAATAAGTTGGGACCTGAATTCAAGGTGGGGCGTGGTGTTAAGCAAGGGTGTCCCCTTAGCGTAACCCTTTTTGGACTCTTCATAGAAGTATTCGCTCATTATATTGATGCCCATGATGCTAAATGCCGTGTATGCCTCCCCAGCCGATGGAGCACCCTTCGTGAGCAGAGTGTTAGCCTGGCGGGCGGTGATCTCACTAACCTACTTTTCGTTGACGATGTGTCACTGGTAGCGACAGGGCACGATAGAGCTGAATGCCTTCTGGGGCTACTCGAAGCCTACTGCAATGCGACGGGTATGGCCGCGAATGCCGCCAAGTGCGAGGTCCTCATTTTTGGGGGTGCTACGCGTGAGCGGAAGCGGCTTGTTGAAGCTGAGTACCGGTTAGGTGGGGCGGGGTTGCGGGTGCTGACCGGCAACGAGACGGCACGGTATCTCGGGTTGCACTATGGCCCAGGAGTGCAGTTCTCAGCATGTACCAAGCAACTACTCACAGCAGGGAGGCGGGCCACATTTGGGCTCAGCACCCTGTGTCGTGATAAGAAAATTACCACCCCCAAGCTATGTATGTCTCTCTACAATACACTAGTTGTACCGGTGTTTTCTTATGGAGCGCAAGTTTGGGGACCTGACTTCATTAATGTGAATTTTGAAGGTGCTATGGCTAATCCCATGGTCCAGGAACAACGTGCTTATATGCGAACCGTAGTTGGGGCGAGGAGCCCGACTATGGTTTCCCTATATCGCGAGCTGTCACAGAGGCCACTCCAGTTCCATTGGACCAATCTTGTACTTAGGTTTTGGAACTCTGTGGTTAAGAGGCCGGGAACGCTGTGTCACCGGGCATTTGTCGCTGACCTGGAGTTGGCACTTGGGGGCGCCACTGAGTGTTGGGCAAGCAAGGTACTAGCCTTTCTTACTAGCTTAGGAGTGGAACCCCCCACTAATACGCGCGGTAATGATCTTATATCGTACTACACCACCCTTAATTTGCCAGTCGAGAGCATTCTTAAGGTTTTTGCCAAGCGGCTTGATGCTCGGTGGGAGTGCCCGAATACCTTGGGTGACCCCCGCGTCTTCCCCATAGGAATTACCGGAGCCAAGGCGTGTCGCTATATGAACTGGATGGGAGCTGCCCCGTCAAGGGGTGCGCGTCTTGATTGGTTGGAGCACACTAAAGGGACCATGCCCCAGCGACTTCATCATGTGCTCATGCGTTTTCGGTTAGGCTGTTGGGAGTTAGAGGTTAATAGGCCTAATGGGCGTGAGCGCACCGCGCGTACCTGCAGGCTTTGTGACTGTGGAGCGGTTGAAGATGAGTTGCATGTTTTCGAAGAATGTCCCGCTTACAAGAGCATACGGGCTAAGTATGATGGTGACCTAGTCCTTACGGGGCGCAGCATGCGCACCACTATGACTGAGGCGCCACCCCTGGCATTGGCCAGGTACCTCTCGGAAATCTGGGAGGCCAGGCACGTCGCGCTGAGGCGCTTCGCCCTGAAGCGGACGAGGGAGAATGAAGATGACCTCCCGCGTACCCGCATCAATACCAATACAACGTCCATGGCCCCCCCGGCTTTTACGGACACACCCGCACTTGTGTACGGAACTTGTAACTTGTAACGTAGAATTGATGCTGCGAGGCAACCCCTGTTTCGCATTCTTGCGAAATATAAGTGTGAATTATCTCCTCCGCCACCAATACAGGTACGAATACATCCGTAAGCTGCAAGAGCAGAAGAAGCTGCGCGACAGGACCGCTGCTGCAGCTGCTACAGCCTCCGCGACGCCGGAGCCGGAGGATGTGGTGCAGACAGGAGGTGAAGCCGGGGAGGACGGGGGGGCTGACGGCGGCGCTGCGGACAGCTCCAGGGAAGTTAGTCCGGACACCTTCACGGAGGATGATACGGGAGCTGCGGCCGCGGCGGCGGCGGCGCTGGTAGGTCCAGGGATGGGCACCTGCACAGGGGGCCCGGGGGGGGCGGGGAGAGCCCTGGCGGCGGCGAAACGGCCGAGGTCGACGGAGGGGGATGCGATGGGAACCGGCGGCAGCGGCAGCGGCGGTGGAACGGGTAGCGGCAGCGGCGACGATGGCAGTACGGCTGATGGGTCGAGCGGCGGCGGCGGGGTCGGGCGGCGGTTGAAATTACGTGTGCGGCTGGGGCCGAGGGTTGGTAACAACGGGGCCGTGGCGGAGAGCGGCACAGAAGCTGCTACTGCTGCTGCTGCGGCGGCGGCTGTAGCTGCGTCCCTTCGGTCTTCCTTTGCGGAGCGCGAGACGAGTCCGGATGCAGAGTGTTCTCCCGGAGTCTTGGTGTGAACTGTGATAGGATGTGTGTGTCTGTCATTTGACTTGACATGCATTAGTCAAAGAGGAGAAAATGAAAAGTGAGAGCAATTCGAAGTGACGCTGTCGGGGAGAGCTGTCTCCGGCGAGTGCGTAGACCGGTGTTGGGTGTAGCTTTGGGGGCCTTGCATGACGTGGCAGTGGTTCTGAGAGTGGTAGTAGTGGGTTTTTAGAGAACGTGCCTATGTGCGGCGGGGGGTAGTGAGGACTGGATTACGGACTATCCCAATTATGGGTTAGGGAGCCTTGCGTGGTGGTGGGGTTGTCCCCTGCGTTGCGTCATCGAGGTGGAGGGAAAAACCTGGACCACGGCGCTGCCACGAGCGCCGTGGGGGCGGTGAGAGGTGGAGTCATGTTGCGGGGGGCCCGGGGGCCTGCTCTCAAGGAGCTATTTCTGATCTCGTTTCCCTTTGTGCATTTTGGACCGGGATGAGTCCACTGGTGGGCGCCAAAGCTTCAAACATATCATGAAGCGAATCAGGAACTGGCTGTTGCAGCATTCGCTTCCGCCGGTTCAGAGTCGCGGGCCGACGACCCGATGTGTGGATCTCCCTTCAACCGTTTTCTTTACATACTCGACGTGATCAAATTAACAACAACGTGTGTCGCATGCCAAAAAAAGTGGAGGCAGTGAATATGTGAGAACGTCTGTAATCATTAGCAAATCGCAGCAAAAAAAGCGCCAACTCGCCCAGCATTAGATCGCAACGTTTCGGCTCATCCGTGAATGACCACCATGGAACAACACTTGCCGTACGGCACTTGATAGATTTGCCCTACGCCATATTCTTGAGGGTATGATGGAAAGAATACAAACGGCTGTTACGGCTGAGGCCTTTGCTCTCTTACCCTCATTAGGCCTCAACGCATGCAACTGCGAGTGCAAGCCTCCCAGTTTTAACACACAACTCATTGAGGGTGGGTGTTTAAAGAACACACAGCCACAACACCAACCCCTTTCTTGTTGTCAAATAGCTGCCATTCCTTCTTATCCGTCATCCACGGTGAGCAATCTGCATAGAAACAGGAAACTCTCGCACCGAGGCGCTACTGTCCCATGCCGCCACAAGCACTGCCAATCCCAAGTCTTGACTGCGGAATCCTCCCTCTCTGGGGGGCCCAGCCGCTGTCACCCCCGTCCTCCGCCGTCGCCACCAACGGGTACACGGCGCTACTTTGGAATCGGAGAATCGTCACAACCCTGAGTCTTTCGCAGATCGGTCTTCCACGACATCCTGAGCAGCCTTCCGGCGACAGACCTCTGTCACATAACAAACACAGCGCTTGCCATACATACTCTCGCAAAGTGAGGTATGGCATATGCTTCCAGTGCTTGCCTTGTTGTCAACGACAAAGTGCAAACGCCTGTAGACTAGGACGATGTAACAAATGCAATAATCTGCTAGTCTCACATTATTTTGCTAGTCTCACATTATTTCGTTAGGAGTACTAAAAGCTGTCGACGGGACGCTTAGGCTTGGAAAAGCTCAAAGCCCAATGAATGCCCTCCGCCTTTTCCTGGGAGCTGGGGAGCGATCGAATACGGTGCCAGCACCCCTCCCCTTCGCCCTTCTATCCTGGTTTCAAGCTTTGCACTCGCGGACTGCTCCCGAGAGCAAGGCAGCGCCCCGCCTGGCTTTGCCGGTGGGTACCTGCTACGTCCGCTGCCATCAAGTGCCAAACGCAAGTCAGGATGTTGAGGTGACGACGACATATAACAATGACGAATCCACCGGTTAGTATCTCCTGGTAAGATAACAACGCCTGGAGGCAAGCCATTTCCGTTGTGTGTACAACAAAGCGCATCACATCTCCAGGAAACACGGGAAAACATGGAATGGAGAATGAATCTTACTGATGCCCCTTACCGATGCAATGGAAGGTTGCATCTATTAGACAGGTTATCTTACCAAGCAAGGTAAACCTGCCCAAAACAAAAACATTTATGCCAACAACAACAGCACGAGAACGAGAACCAACCTTTTGCGGAATAAACCTACCCTATCGAAACCTAGATTTGAAACCCGCAAAATATACTGTCGTACAGTGACAGCTGCCAGCGCACCCCATCCCAGCTCAACTCTATTACAGGTTACACGTCCTATAGCGGCATGTTGTCGTGCAGCGCCCACACTGCCAACCGTCATCGCCAGGCCCCGCCGCGCCCCGCCCCACCGTATGCATCGACAAGGGCACACACGTGCGTTCCCTCAATGGGCGTGGGAGTGCGGGTGGTGGTCAGCGCCGTCGCTGCCGGGCCTTTTGGGATGCAACGTCCCCTTAGCCGCCATCTTAACAAAATCCGCCACTTGGTCCGCGGCCACCTTTTCCGCCACCTCCTCCAGAAGCCGGGTCTCCAGAGCAGCCAGCTCCCGAGGTCCTAACACGTATTCGGGACCCTGTGGTAGCAGCCAAATCGACCCATGGGTCAGTCATGAGGCGGCGAGTTGGCGACGGAAGACAGCGCCCATGTACCCTCCGTGTATATAGAAACAACATCGACGAACATCGGAAAGTAATGACCCACGGGTCAATTACGAAAAAGAATTGGCACAGAGGAAGGTGCACGTGACGAACTAGATCAGTGTAATTGATTCAGCGCGGATCAGGACACATCTGGGGTTTGACAGCAAGTCCGGGTCGCAATCTCAACTCGCCTACCGCTTACAGAAACAAAAAAAGTTTTCCCCTGCGACTACCTACCTAGCTTTGCTCCCTTTCCCACTCGTGTGTTATGCAGTGTCTCTTGCCTCCTTCCCCACACACTTCCCTTTTCCAAACTTGAACTCCCCCCCACCTCAGCTTTACCCCAAGGCCGTCCACCCACATTCTCACTCTTACCTTGTTTGAGCGCTCCTGCACCACCCTGCTGTACACCAGAGCCGCCACGAAGTCCACTTCGGCGTTGCGAGGTGGCCTTAGCGGCCACTGGGTCTGTTGGGCCGTCAGCTCCTCCACCAGCGCGTGAATCCGGGGCTGGCTCTCCCTGCGAAGGAGCGCACAAGGGGCCCCGCAAGAGTTAACTGGCCACCGCCGGTCGGTGACCACCAGTGACCGCATCGGAAGCATCAGACGGCCTGACCAGTGAATCCATCAACAGCATCAGCCGCGTGCAGCAGATGCGGCGGCGCAATTATGCAGGTGTGGATGCCCTGGAGGTGCCTCGCATACTTCAGGTGTAAGTTTCAGCATCATTGTGACCCCTCATGCAATACCCTAGGTAGCAGCAGCAATCTGTCTCCGGACATCGGCGGACGTTGCCAACCGAGTGGCGCTCTCGTCTTAGCTTCCCACGAGCCAAGTCTGTCGTGAAGCCCTGACCCAAAAGAATTGCACAAGCGCTTGACTGAGTGCGCAGCTTTGACCGTAATTCGCCTTGACCATGTTCCACCTGAATCCGGGCCTACACCTCCATCCCGCTGTGTTACAACTCGTTATTCGACCCGAACAAACATGGCCCACATCCATCAGTATAACGTTCCCCAACCACAGACCGGTCCCGCAACCTCCCAGCCTTCCCTTGCACACGGCCCCACCCTCTCACCCTCCCGCACTATCATCGCCCACATCACCGTCATCCTGACCCACTTCAGCGTCGCTGTCACTCGGTACGCAGCGCTGCGTGCCAGACTGGCATTCCGCAGCTCCTTCGCCCCCGACTCGCCCCCGCGACCCGGTTGAGAGGGGTCCACGTAGGAGCGAATGTGGGCGTGTCCGATATCCGTTAACGAGTCGTTGGCGCCGCCCCCACTGCCGGGGCGCTGCTCGTGCTTGTCGTCCTGAGAGCCATCCGAGCCATCAGGCTGCGCCACGGCAGGACAGGATAGGACAGGGACGCCGGAGAAGAGCAGGAGGTGTGACGGGGCGAAATATGTCGGACAACGACGACGAGGGGGAGAACGGTCCAGGTTCGTTAATTCATCCATTCATTCGCTCATGTAGGGAAGGGACATCAGGGAGGGCATTAGGCAAGTAAATCCACTCTTGAAGCTGTCGGATGAACACCCGCTGGGGCGCAGAGTATGTAGGGCCCCGTGCATCGCGCAGCTCACCGTGTTTTGGCCAAGGTAAGTCAAAGCCTTTACGAGCCAGTAGCCTAGGAGCGTAAATATCAACAGTGTTGTGAAGGAAAAGTCAGGCCCAGCACCAAGCAGGGTGTCGGCGCTTGGGCCAATGATAGTCGTGTCAGGAGCATCTACGCCAGCCAAAGCTGGCAATGTAATCGACCAGGCGAAAATTCCGGCTGCGGCAACTCCCAGCACGCGCTGCCATGAAGGCGCTGTAGAAGATAGAGCAACGTCGAAATCCCTGCAGCCAAGCGGACGTATTCGATACACGTGGCACGACGCAACCGCAGCTCCCATCGACGCAAAGCAGCAGCTCACCGCTGGCTATCGATCCTCTTATGATCGTCCGAAAGTTGGAATGCTCGCACAACAGGATAAAACTTCCTTCCAACACCGCAAACGGTTAATAACCGGGTTCTGCTGCTCGCCTGCCTTGTTGGAACACTACACAACGAACCATAAAGGGTACCAGGCAATTTTATCGTTAGCTACGGGCCTTCAGGCTTTGAGGCCGTCCGAAAGCAGGCGCCGGAACTCTCTATCTCTTACCGAAGCCGATGACCAAACAGCATCGCCATAGGTTAGCAAAGAAGGCAATTATGAAGGCCCTTTCTGGCAATTAATTATATAGACGGGCTAACGAACTCGGGCTCCGGACAAGAAAAGCTTAATACCGGTATCAGTCTCGATCAGTGTGTTCCAGAAGTTAGACGTTGCGTCTGAAAGGAAACGTAGCAGGATATGCGTTTTCAAGACATCTATGTGAGATATTATGTGTGTCCACGTGGGGCTTGGACCTCGGATTCCGTTAAGCGCTCCAGAACCAGAGCGGGAAGCGGGTTCTGCCTCCTTATGGATCCTAAGTAGAAAACCAGCCACTCCAAAACCGCATAGTTTTCTTGGAAATCTGTAACGTTTGCATGTAAGTCTTACTGTACTGTTCCGCACACTGAATTCAAGTCACAAGGGCTTCAATTGCGACGAGACGACAGCTCATATACCACTTGGCAACGCACAAGTTGCCAAACTAGGCCTCTATCCAATCCTAACGACAGATCGGCTCTTCATGCATCCTCTTAGCTGTCGGCTGTAAACCGTCAGCGATGAGCGGATACGGGCGCGGCAGGGGCCGCATCAGTTCGCTTCAGGCGTTCGATGCCAACGAACCATCTGGAGGTGGTTCTTATGGTGGTCGAGGACGCGGTCGCGGCGGGGCCCGAGGCCGGCGCCCGCTCAATGCAAACCTCAATTACATGCCGCGCGAGGGTGGGGCTGGAGAGGATAACAGCCACAAGGTAGTGCGGGACAATTATTATAACCCACCGTCTGTCCACCCTATCTGGCCCCTCGCTTTTTGAACCCCTTGTGACCGGCCCCGTCCCGCAGCTGGCACAAGTGCGTGCCGAGGACGTACTGGACGAGCAGCTGGGCTTCCCTCTCTTCACCACCGGCGATGACCGACTGGGATGGCTCATGAATATCCAGTCGGTGAGCTATATAGCTACGTGTCTACAGATATCCTCCTTATTCATGATCCGTTATGGGAGCTCCGCACTTTTTCCCTTCCTAGTTGCCTTCTCTGCCCTGTGCGCCCTTCCTTCGCTGACCTCTTTTGCGCTCGGCCCCCGCACTTTAACGGAGAAAAAAGACGTGCACTCATACCCCGCCCTCCCTACTTCCTTTCATCCCTCCTGAACTTCGGCAGCTGATAACTCGAACGCTGGCTGCTCATTTTTTGTTTTATTTTTTTGCAATTATAACTCCCAACCTCTTTCTCTGTATGTCTCCACGTCCCGGTGGTGGTGTGATGCGATGCAGTCCCACATGTCCGATAAGGACTCCGGGCGTGTGGTGGCGTCCGTGGACTGCTATTTCATGTGCCAGGTACAAGCAAGGCGGCGGTACCTGCCGGCCGGGGGGGATAAAGAAGGGGGTTGTCGACGTAGAGCCGGGTATGAGGGGTAATGAGGTATATGAGGGGGTGATTATTGGTAGTCGTGAAGAAGCTCCTATTGCTGCCCGACCATCACAATCCGGGTCACAATCCGGTTACCGACATTATGGCTTCCCCAATTGCCCTCGGTCCTCACTGAAACGTGTACGATTTTCGCACGTAGTTCTCCCCTCTCCCCACTCCTCCTCCCCCCCCACTCTCTCCTGTCGCCGCCGCCTCCCCTTCCCCCTCAGGACGGTGCCATGTTCAAGGCACGACTGGCCTTCCCACCATACTTTTACATCGGGGTGCAGGTGAGGATCTTACACCAGTGCCAGTACTACAGGGAGGGGGAAAGCTGAAGGGACGGGGAATCGAGGGGAGGGGAGGGGGAAGGGGCCGCGTCTCGTACGTGTTTCCGACGGTTCAGGCCCCGCACCCCTCCCAGTGGAGCCTTTCCCCAGCCCTCACGCACCCCGCTCGTTTTTTGACCCGCTGCAGGATGGTCGTGAGATGGAGGCTGAGAACTACCTCCGTCGCAAGTGCGAGGGGGCAGTTCGGAGTGTGGACGTGGTGGAGAAGGAGGACCTGGACCTGGTGGGGTTATGAAGCTGGGGGGGGGGCCCGTGGGTTTTGGGTTTCGGTGCCCTCGTCCTCCTTTCCGTCCTGCGTTCCTGAACCCCTGCTGGAACACCCCTGCTGGCCTCGTTAGACAGCGCCTATTAAGACACGCTGCCGTCCACAGGAGTGTCCTCCGCCCCACCTAGAGGGTTGCTGATGTTGGTAGTGGTGGTGGGCGGCGATGGTTCAGGAAGGATTGTCGATGATCGTCCTAGAAAGCCATGACGAGGACGAGGACGGCGACGAGTTCTTGAAGCCTTAGCAAACCTTTTTATTTAGACCCTCATACCGCAGAAATGCAATGCATGGCGAGATGATTTCTGTTCTTTCTGTTCATTTACACCAGCAATGAACCGCAACACGCAGAAAAACCACCTTTCCGGCTTGAAACGGCGGTTGCTGCGCGTGAGCACTTTTACGGTTCAGCAGCTGGTGGAGGTTCGGAAGGAGGTGGCGCCGCTGGTGGCTGCGAATGCCCAGAAGGCGGCCACCACCAGCGCCTACAGCGTGGAGGGGCTGCAGGGCCAGCAGGGCCTCGGAGGGCTGGGGCTGGGAGGAGGTGGGATGGGGGAGCAGGACGGCGGGGCAGCAGCGGCGGCGGGTGGGGGCCCCGCGGCCGGCAAGATGAAGGTGAGATACGTGGAGTGGGACAGGGGGATTGATTTGAGAGGAAGACAAACGCGGCTGTGCAGGGAGTTGGGGAGGCATTATGTGCTAACCCTGCCAGGCTGGGAGCAAGGGGTTAGGGGAGGGGTTGGGGAAATAAGACCGGTAGAATGGCGCGGAGATTACCCGAATGAGGATGGTGGGGTGTGGTCTGGTAGGCAGGTTGGAAGGCGCGCGGCCCTGGGGTTGTCTTGTGAGCCGGCGAGCCGGAGGAATGGCCCGGGGGGGAGCTGCTCTCCCGCCAAGGTCATATTATTGCAAACTTGCTATATCATCATGACATGAAAGAGACCAAACAAACCTTACTCAGGCAAACCTTACGTCGACGTGTACATACATTTGGGTCTGCCGGGTAGCGGCCGCAGGTTGAAGATATGACCCCCCTGTCCCATACATCATACACTTGTTCACATACGCGCGCCTTCCCATCAGGACATTCGGGAGGCCTTTTTGGAGCTCCGCGAGTACGACGTACCGTACCACGTGCGCTTCGCCATTGACACGGACGTGCGTGTGGGTCACTGGTACACGGTGCGGTGCCGGGAGGGGGTGACCTCCCTGGAGCGACGGGCCGATCTGCTGCAGCGCGCCGAGCCGCGGATTTGCGCCTTTGACATTGAGACCACCAAATTGCCATTGCAATTCCCCAATGCGGAGTACGACCAGGTGGGCTTGTACGACAAGTTGCCGTACGAAAGGGGGGTTTATGAGAGGGCGTTGGGAGCCGCCCCTGTGCGCCCACAACCTCCGGTCAATTGACAGTTAACCTCGGCAGCTGACCCTTTGTTGTTTTTATTATTATTTATTATCATAATAATAATAATATTATTTTTTTTTCTTAATTTCAGTGGTTTTTTGTGCTAGTTTTCTGGCCGATAAATATAAATAAAAAACAGTTTGAAATGAGTTAAAATTTCAAAAACCTCACGTTATTCTCTAGGTAGGAGAACTGCTGCGCTTAGTAGTAATAATAATAATTACTATTATTATTGTTATTGTTATTATCTTATCAACGTGACTTGACATGCCGCCCTCCCCTCCCTCCTGTGCAGGTGTTCATGATATCCTACATGCTGGACCGTCAGGGCTACCTGATTGTGAACCGTGAGGTGGTGGGCGCGGACATCTCGGACTTTGAGTACACCCCCAAACCGGAGTTTGAGGGGCCCTTCAAGGTGCGGTCTACTGCTACAGCTAGTGCTGCGGCCCTTGGTGTGTTGGCAGCCGCGGTGGCTGCTGCTGCCGCTGCTGCCACCGCCCCTCCTCCACGCATCTGCATGCACACCTGCATCCTTACAAACCATCCTCCCTCTTCCCATTTGCCGAAAACGAGTTGTTTCTGGAGTTTTATCCGTTGTCAGCGTTGTCTTGTTTCCTTCCTCCTTCCTTTCCTTTCCTTTCCTTTGGCACTCCTTCCTTACTTCCCCCCCACCGGGGTGTTCCATTGTTCCAGGTGACCAACGCGCCCGACGAGCGCGCACTGCTGGTCCACTTTTTCGAGCACATGCGCTCCGTAAAGCCCGCCATCTACGTCACCTACAACGGCGATTTCTTCGACTTTCCCTTCATCGAGGCGCGGTGCGATCGACTGGGGCTCGACATGCAGTCCATGATTGGCTTCCGCTGCCGCGGCGGCGCCCAGGGTGGCGGCGGCGGTGGTGGTCCTGGCGCCAGCAAGGAGTGTCTCTCCCGCCACGCGGTTCACATGGACTGCATGCACTGGGTGGATCGAGACTCGTACCTGCCTCAGGGCAGTAGGGGCCTCAAGGTGAGGGGCGGGGGCGAGGGGGTAACGTGGCGGACTGTGGCGGGTTTTTGTTAGCGGTTGGAAGGGGGAAGGAGGGAGGAGGTGGTGTGCTTGGGGAGGGCAGACGTGTCGCATTGCTCGATCCCTGAAGTCCACTACAGCCCATGGCTCCGCGTATGTATGTATGTGTGTCTGTGTATGTGTACCTCACACACACAGAGATACACAGACACATACACACGAGAACGTGAGGCGTGGGGGCGTCCTGCTTCTACCAGGCCGGCCCTCTTCCACCGCTCTCTTCTTCGGCAGTCCACATCCCAAAAAAGCCACCTCCCAATCAAATCACCTCCCAACCAAACCACCTCCCAATCAAACCACCTCCCACCCCCACAGGCGGTCACTAAGGCCAAGTTGGGCTACGACCCCGTGGAGGTTGCCCCCGAGGACATGGTACGACTAGCCAGGGAGACACCGCAGGTGGGTCTGGGGGGTCTTGGGGGGCGGGCTTGCTGGGGTAGATGATGGCTCAGGGGCATTAGGGTGGGGGTGGGGGGGTGCGGTAGAGCGGACGGATGGGCTGCGGGCGGGGGTTCACCCTGGTGAAGTGAGGGGGACTGTTTGGGGAGGGACTATTAGACGAGGTTGACGACGGGGCGCGGGAAATGCATGGCCGGGGGGGATTGGCGGGATTTTTAAAAGTGGGTGAGCACTGCCACCTCTTCACTGCCTACCCACCCACCCCCCAACCTCCTCACCACTTCCCCAACCCGCTTCCTCTACTTTGCTCCTCAACCTCCGGAACCTTTCCCCTCACTTCCCCATGCACACATCTTCAAAGCACACACCTCCCTCCACCTCCCTCCCCCCTCCCTTCCTGACCCCCTTCCCTCCTGACCCCCTTCCCTCCCAACCCTAGGCCATGGCCAGCTACTCCGTATCCGACGCCGTGTCCACCTACTATCTATACATGACGTACGTGCACCCCTTCATCTTCTCCCTGGCCACCATCATCCCGCTGCCCCCCGATGAGGTGCTGAGGAAGGGCAGTGGCACCTTGTGCGAGCAGCTGCTGATGGTGGAGGTGAGTCGGGGGCTGGGGAGAGTTGAGGGGGTTTAAGGTGGGTAGCCATGGGGTTTGCGGGGTGGAGGTGAGAGGGTTGAGGGGATCTAGAAGAGGCGGATTTCGGGGTGTGGGTGAGGGTGGGTGGGGCGGGGTGGAAGCTGTGGATGCGAGGGAGAGAGCTTTTCGCACCTGAAAAAGAGGTTTCTTTTAGGACCTGGTCTCTAGGCGTGTTGAGGGGTGGGTGGGTGGGGCCAGAGGTCGGGTTGTGTTTCGGGACGCTCTTCTTGGCTTCTGGGTTCCTGCCGCCAGTGACCAACCGTGGCCAGTGAGTGGCTGGGCCTTACCCCATCGATCCCTCCTCTCCTGGCCCCTTCACACGCCCTTCTCCCTTGCCTCCCTCCCTCAGGCTTACCGAGCCAACATCGCCTGCCCTAACAAGCACGTGGGTGACAAGGAGGCCTTATACCGGGGCCATCTGCTGGAGAGTGAGACATACATCGGGGGCAAGGTGGAGGCGCTGGAGAGCGGAGTGTTCAGGTCGGACCTGCCACTCAAGTTTAAGTGCAGCGCGGCGGCGTACCAGGTGTGCACTTGTTACATATCCATCCGGGCCTGGTACTGGCCAGGGTCACCTGACCGGTGTGTGTGTGTGTGTTTTGGAGGGGTTGTGGGGAGCTGGGGAGGGATGAAGGTTCGGTGGGTGGGTGAGAATGTGCCTGAGAGTTTTGTTGTTGAGGAGGAAAGCAGCAGACGACCGTTTGCTTATTGCATCGTGTTTTTCCCGGCCCGGCTCAACCCCCCACCACACACACAGCGGTGTGCCCGGCGGCTAGCGGGCCCCGGTTCGCCTGACACGTACCTGCCGTACCTCTTTCTCCTTTTCCACCCTCAGATGCTCCTGGACCAGCTGGATAAGGACCTGTCGTACGCTCTGTGCCACGAGGCGAAATGGAAGGGTGGCTCCGACGACTGCATCAATTACGAAAAAATACGGGCTGACATTGCTGCCAAGCTGGAGGCGCTGAGAGACGAACCCAACCGGTGCGTGTATGTATGCATGTGTGTATGTATGTATGTATGTATGTATGTATGTATGTATGTATGTATGTATGTATGTATGCACGTATGTATGTGTGTGTGCACAAAGGTGGAGCTGGGTGAGTATACAGGTCCGATAACTCTATGTCCCATGGGTCGGTCGGTGGACCCATGCCCACATCCTCCACATGCCCTACCCAAACCCCTTCCTCCCAGCAACCACCCGCTCACCTCCCCCTCCTCAACCTCCCCCCCCCCGCCAGTGTCGAGAACCCCCTCATCTACCACCTGGACGTGGCGGCTATGTACCCAAACATCATCCTCACCAACCGCCTGCAGCCGTCGGCTATCGTGACGGAGGAGGACTGCGCCGCGTGCGACTTCAACGCGCCCAACAAGACGTGTCTTCGGCAAATGGAGTGGGAGTGGCGAGGGGAGCACTACGCCGCCAGCCGCTCGGAGTACCTGCAAATCAAGGCCCAGCTGGCGGCGGAGACCTTCCCACCCGCCGCGGGAGCGGCCATTGCTGCCGCCGCCGCCAACGGTGGTGGCGGCGGCGGTGGTCCCCCTCAGAGTCGTACGTGGGGGGAGCTGTCGCTCGAGGAGCAGCGCAAGATGCTGCAGGACCGGCTGAAGAAGTACTGCCAGAAGGTAGGGTGGGGTTGTGGGCGGGGGTAGGAGGATGGTGTTGTGAACTGAGCCGGGAGCAGGAGGTGTGTATTGCTGGGAGGTGTGTATGGGGAGGGGATGGGGGAGGAAGAGGGTATGCTAGCATGGCGATGCGTCATCCCAACTACCTTTCGGACACCTTCGCACTGCTGCGCTACCAATTGTATTACTACCACCTGTTCCTGCGGCATCAGCAGTTGATATCATCCTATGAGTGGGCTATCCTGCCCACTCCCCCACTCCCCCACCCACCTGCCCACTCCCCCACTCCCCCACCCACTCCCCCACCCACTCAGGTGTATAAGCGAGTTCTCGACAAGCCGATCACGGAGAAGCGTGTGGCGGGGATATGCCAGCGGGAGAACTCGTTCTACATTGACACGGTGCGCGCCTTCAGGGACCGCCGCTACGAGTACAAGGGGCTGGGCAAGGTGAGGAGGAAGAGGGGAGGGGGCCGAGGGGGGAGCCCGTGTGTGTATGTCTGTGTCTGTATGTCTTTGTGTGTATCTGTTGCATATCGATCGAGGCTGACGCTGGCCAGGGGCACTGTGTATGTCTGTATGTCTTTGTGTGTATCTGTTACATACCGGTCCGGGCCTGACGCTGGCCAGGGGCACCTAACCGCATACCCCAACGGGAACGACCGCCGAAGCATGCCATCATTGGAGGGGCGTTATATCGGTCAGACTCCTAACCGTTCTCCCAAGGCGCCGTCACCTGTTCGAACCCTCTAGCCAGCTACATACACACCAGCTCAGATGCCAAGCAACGTCCGTTCCTCTGAGCGCATGCACTACAGCTGCGCGACCTACCAATGCACTCACACCGGTGTCAATCGCCACCCTATCCTTGCCGCCACCTGCTTCGTTCATCTGGTGTACAGCTTGATTCAGGCCCTATGCAGAACTATACCTCCGCCACTGCTCTGCGGCAGTGTATAGATCTTCATGGTGAGCTCCTCCCAATCCAGCCGCTCAGCGCACTGGAGGAACTCCGTGTATCCAGTATCCAATACCCCGTTCCTGATTCACCCAAGAGATCTGGGGTGGGATCCGAACCCACATTTTCCGCCTAAGCAAGATTCCGTTTCTTGGATTTGAACTCCAGACTTGCCGATTACCTAGCCCGGTGCTCTTCCAACTTGAGCTACACCGGTGTCTATGTCTATGTGTGTGTATGTCTTTTTGACTGACACAGGGAGAGGGGAGGTGCGTGATGTGGCGAGTCCTGGAGATCTGGGGGACACTACGCCCTCTCCTCAACATTCATTCTTCTCCCCATCAAGCGCTCTCTTCCCCTGCTCCGGTCGACAATGACACGACACCCGCCTCCGCCTTTACTGCCTCCCCTCATACGGGCGCGCGCGTGTGCTGGCACGGACGTGCGCCGCACCGCGGTGTTGCCTGTTTTGGCTCGCTCACCTAATGCGCAATACAGGTTTGGAAGGGCAAATTGGAGGAGGCCAAGGCGGGCGGTAACCCCATCCGCATCCAGGAGGCTGCCGACATGTGCGTCCTGTATGAGAGTTTGCAGCTCGCGCACAAGTGCATCCTCAACTCCTTTTACGGTTACGTGATGCGCAAAGGGGCCCGATGGTACAGCATGGAAATGGCGGGTGTGGTGACGTACACCGGCGCGCGCATCATTGAGGTAATACGAAGACAATTGGGGGGGAACTTTGGTTAACAGGAACAGCAGGGGGGCGGATAGGGGAGATGTGGTGGTTGGTGCAGGGGGACTTGGGGCCATGGAAATGATGTGTACAGGGCGGCTTACGTGGGGGATATGGTCGGGCTGGATTGAGTTGGGTGGGGTGAGAGATATGCGCCGGTTTAAATTCATATGGTGCCTTCTCCCGGGTCGGGTTCTCCACCTTCCGTAATAACCTCCTCCGCGATCATCGCCAACACCAACACCATCTTCTTCCCCCATTTGTGTGTCCGGTTGTTGGCCAACTTCCCACACACCTCCGTTGCCGTACCTGTAATTGAATCATCATTTCCCCCCGGGACAGTAGCACTTCAATTTCCCCAAAACGCGCGCGCACACGGCCTTTCCCCCTTCCTGCGTCACACTTAAAGACTTTTGCGTCTATCTTCACATGCACACCGACTCACACCCCGACCCCGACCCCAACCCACACTCATACGCCCTCAGCGCGCTAATAAGCTGGTATTGCAGCTGGGTCGTACATTGGAGCTGGACACGGACGGCATCTGGTGCGCACTGCCGGGGAGCTTCCCGGAGAATTTCAAATTCAAAAACAAGGTGGGGTCGACGTGGAGTGGGTTGGGGAGGGTTGGGCAGGAAACTGCGAGGGTGGGAGAATGAGTTCGGCTGGGAGAATGAGGTTCGCGATCGCAATCGCGGTCAACGAGAACGAGAAGGCGGCGATTGTGAAAGGCAGGGAGGGGAAGATGAACGGGGGGTTCAACGAATGGGAAAGGGCTTGGGTTTTTCCTTCCTATGTCAACGGTGGTTCACGCGGTCGTCCAGTGCTGCGTCTTTGTCGCCCTCACCCTCCACTTTACTCTGCCAACCCACGTGTCGTATACCGTCTTGCCATATGCCGTACACAGAACGGCAAGGAATTCAAGTTGTCATACCCGTGCTGCGTCCTGAACGCCATGGTGGCCCAGCACAACACCAACGACCAGTACCAGACACTTGTACGACCTGCTCCAGGGGAGCCTCCCCGGGCCGGGCCCCCCCGCTACGTCACCAGCAACGAAATGAGCATCGAGTTCGAGGTGGACGGACCTTACAGGGTGAGTAGATCATATCTGTCTGTCTGTCTGTCTTCCTAAGCTTGACCGTCAATATCCGTACCTGGTGGGCAAGCCGGCTGGCTGAGCGCATGGATGTGAGGGTCACGTGTGTCCCCCTCTTGGTCAACATCGGCTTCCTGGTCAACAGCTGGGCCGGCGATATGGTTCCTAATGAGCTCCCTCCCGCCTGGAGTTAAACAGGTTTTTCCCTCAAACAGGTCTTCTGGACGTTTCCCGCCACATATCCTCTCCTCCTTGCCTTTCTCCCCTTCCTCTTCCCCCCCCTCACCCCCGCGGCCCCCGGGAATCCGGCTGTTCCAGGCCATGATCCTGCCTGCCAGCAAGGAGGAGGGTAAGTCCATCAAGAAGCGGTACGCCGTGTTCAACCATGACGGCACGCTGGCGGAGCTGAAGGGGTTCGAGGTGAAGCGGAGGGGGGAGCTGAAGCTGATCAAGGTGTTCCAGGCAGAGGTGGGTATGTACGACGGGGCTGTCAAGGCTTCGGGGGGCCCTGACGGCCGAGGGGAAAAGGGCGGGAAGGAAGGCCGTGGGTTTCAATGCCACTAAAAAGGAGTCGAGGGGGCGTTGCAAGGCGGGCACCCAGTTAGGGGATATTACCACAACCTTAATTTTCTCTCCCCAGCCCCGACCTCCGCAAAACTACCCAGAAGCCACTTCGTATTCCCGCTCCGTCCCTGGACCTCTCCAAATACACACATGCAATCACCTATTCCCGCCCCTCTCGCCCTCAAAGGTGTTTGAGCAGTTCCTGTCCGGGGGCACTCTGGAGGAGTGCTATTCGGCGGTGGCCGCAGTGGCCAACAGGTGGCTGGATCTATTAGACACGCGGGGCGCGGACCTCAATGACGATGAGCTGCTGGACCATATCAGTGAGGCCACCACCATGACGAAGGCGCTGGCGGAGTATGAGGGTGGGTGGCTGGTGGAGGAGTTGAGGGGTGGGGGAGGGGTTGGGCGCGGCTGAGACGGGGGGGTTAGGGAGGCTTACGCCCCGTACCCTTACCCGTGTCTAACCTCCATTACCTTATCCTCCTCCTCCTCCTCCTCAGGCCGCAAGTCCTGCGCCATCAGCACCGCCAACCGCCTGGCCGCCTTCCTGGGCGACGAGCGCATCAAGGACAAGGGCCTCAACTGTACCTACGTCATCGCCAAGCACCCAGCCAGCCAGCCCACCAGCGAGAGGGCCATTCCGGTGTCCATATTCTCCGCGGAGCCGGCGGTGGCGAGGGCTTGGCTGCGGAGATGGTGTGGCGGGGACGTAGGTACGTTGCCTGGAGGCTGTGCGTGTGTGTGTGGGGGGGGGGGGAAATGGGCTCAGCACCTAGGGGGGTTATTCCGACGCTGACACGTACCAGGATGACGCGGCGCCATTTTACCTCATCGCACCTGGTCCGCGCGGTGCTCCAACGCAGCCGCCTGTCCAACAAGCCTCATCGCGCAGCATGGTGCGGACTGTGGACTTTGGACTTTCGTCGGCAGTGCGTTGACAATGCTTACGCATGCTTCGTCATGCCGTACATTAGTTGCGATCTCACCCTGATCCGCAATCCCCCGTCCTAATCCGCACTCACCGCCTTTCCTTCCCTTCCGGAGGCGCCGGTGCGCATAGCGTCATCCCCGACGTGCGCGACATCGTGGACTGGGACTACTACCGGGAGCGGCTGGGCAGTGCCATTCAGAAGATCATCACCATCCCGGCAGCGCTCCAGGGGCTGCCCAATCCGGTACCGCGAGTCAAGCACCCGGACTGGCTGCACAAGAAGGTGCGTCAGGACGATTGGGACGGGATGGGCTGGACGGGGGGCGTGGTGCTGGCCTGGCTAGGGTTGGGTTGTGGTCGACTGCAGGGATGTGTCTCGACCTGTGTGTGTGGGTGGGGAGGGTGTACTTTGGGGTGACTGTTGGGCTGTTGGGTCTGTCGGGCGGATGGGGATGGAAGACGGTGATCAAACCTGCGGATCTCTCTTTTCTCTCTCTCCCTCTCTCTCTCTTTCCCGCCCTCTCCCTCCCTGTGCCCCCTTCCATTCATTCCGTTCCTCTCCCCGTCTTCTTCATTACTCCGGCCCCCCTGCCCGCGTCCTCTGTCTCCCCAGATTCGCGAGCGCACCGACAAGTGCCAGCAGCTGCGGCTGGACGACCTGCTCACCCGCATGCGCAAAAATAACAACAACACAAGTAAGGACAGTAATAAGGCCCAACACCACCAGCTCCAGGAACCGGGGGTTGGAGGCGAGCAGGAGGAGGAGGACGAGGACATGGCTGATGGCGCGGCTTTGGATGATTTCGGGGACCTAGAGGATATGGTTGTTGGAGGTCCCGGGCTCGCCGCCGCCGCCGCCGCCAGAAAGGTCCTCACAGGCGCTGCTGCCGCTGCCACTGGCGGAGGCGGAGGTGGCACAGGCGGAGGCGGCAGCGATGTCCCGCGGGAGGTGGTGGCTCGGGCGCGTGTGGCTGTGGGCAGTGGTCGCCGGCGGCGGCAGCAGCAGCAGCAGCAGCATGAGGATGGGGAGGGCGACGGAGGAGGAGGCGGAGTAGGGGGAGCGGTTGCGGGTCTGCAGGCGGCGGCGATAGAGTCCGAGGCCGGGGAGGGGTCGGGGAAGGAGAACTCACCGGGCGCGGCGAACCGTGTGAGTAACCGTGTGAGTAACCGTGTGAGTAACCGTGGCGTGGCGGCTGCGGCTGCGGAAGAGCGGCCCGGGTGGGTTCCGCTAATGCTTCTGTTCATCATCATCATGATGTCTACTCTTTGAGGATTATTCCTGTGCCCCCGCTTCCTAATCCGGTCTACAAAACAGGCAGCGGCAGCAGCAGCAGCCGACGGCGGCCCAGGAGCTACTGCTGCTGGTGGGGGTGGGGTTGCTCCCGTTGTGTCCATTTCGAAGGACTACGCCGGCTGGGTGGCCGCTCAGAAGCCGCGATGGAGGGCCGTACGGCTGGAGAACAAGCGGAGGAAGGCGGAGGCAGTGAAGGCGGCGGAGGCGGCAAGGCGGGTGGGAGCCGCCGCTGCTGCCGCCGCCGCCGCCGCCGCCGCCGGCGGTGTCGGTAATAATGCGTTGAGTATGCGGTCGCTGCTGGCGAACCAGGCGGCGGCGGTGACGGCGGTGCCTTGGCAGGTGTTGCATTTGGCGGAGACCTCGACGCCGGGACAGCTCAAAGTCTGGTTCCTGGCTGGCGGCAAGATGCACTGGGTGTCGCTGCAGGTTCCTCGCAGCTTCCTGGTGGACTCCCTGTTGGGGGAGCCCCTGGAGCTGGCTGGCAGCCTGACGGCGGCGGCGGCGGGACCAGCAGCGGCCCCCGGAGGTGGTGGCGGTGGTGGTTCACTGCAGCAATTGCAGTTGGAGGTGACGAGGGCGAACTCGGTGACGTTGCCCGGGGGCCGGAGACCCGCGTACCTGTACAGGGTGAGTGGGGCGGTGATGATGATGATGGTGGTGGTGCTGGTGGTGGTGGTGGTGGTGCTGCTGCTGCTGCTGCTGCTGATAATGATAATGATAATGATGATGATGATGATGATGGTGATGATGATGATGGCGGTGGTGTTTTTAGTGGTAGTGGCGGTGATGATAAAGTGATGTTATGGGGTTTGGGGAGGTTTGGGGGCCTTGGCGTGGCCCGGGACATAATCCCCCCTCCCCTCCAACTCCTTGCTTGACTTTCCCTCTTGCCCCCCCACCCCTCACTCCCTAACCCCACCTGCTCCACCCCACCCACTCCCCGCAGGTGACGCTCCCCGAGCACCAGTACCGCTCCTCTGCCACCCGCCTGGCCGCCGCCCTGTCTGCCAGCCACGTCCGGGGTGTGTACGAGGACCGGCTCCCGGTGACCCTTCCCGCCGTACTGGCGCTGGGCTGTGTGGTCAGTGTGGTGCCTGAGGCCCGGAACAGACCCATTGGGGGGTTGTGGAGGCTGCAGGATCTCAAGGTGCGGGGTCAGGGGCCCGGGGGGGGGGGGCGGGGCGGGGCGGTGCCCTAGGTGAGTGGTAACTGAGCTTTCTCACGCGTAGTTATCCTGTTCCTGCTGTTGTTGTTGTTACTGCTGTTGTTGCCTCCTGTGGTTCCTCTTTTCAGATGCGCACTAGCGGGGAGGTCGGCTACCTGGACAGAGACTACTCCGAGGCGGGACACCAAGGACACCAGGGCGGTACGCTGGCGCTGCCGCTGTGTGGCATTCGCCATGTCATATTGTACTGCAGTATGGACACGTCGAGTCGTGGTGTGTTTGCAATGACTCTCCCCGCTCAGGAGAAGGGGGTGGTGGTGGTGATGCAGCCCTCGACAGCCGCCGCGAAGGAGGTGTCGGGGGTGCTGCTGGAGAGGCTGTGGCGGGAGGCACGGACGCAGGCTGCGCAGGTAAGGCGCGGGGCTGGGTTGTGGGGGGTTGTGGGGGCGGGGAGGGCAGGTGCGGTCGCGAGGCTGGCTGTGGGGGTGCGGGGAGGTGCTGGGTTCGGGATGTGAGTGGGGTATATCGGGAAATGTATATGTATTTAGGCGCCACGGCAGTGCAAAAACACCTAAGGACGGCTTTGCGTAATGGAAGGTTATATAAAAATATAAATTGAAGATGGGAGATATCTAAGTTTGCGTGCTTAGCTTGCGCGTCGCAGTTGTTTTTCCTTCCCATTTTCTCGTGCTTGAAATTCGTTTTGCGCTCCTGGTCCGGTTAACGCCCTGGCGGTCGTTGCGGGGATGTTTCCAGGAGGGCGGCCCGCAGGAGCCGGAGCGGCTGACGTGGGAGGTGTCGTACGAGCGGGATGCACTGGACGCCAGCCGCGCGCTGCAGCGGGCCTTGCTGGCGTACAGGTACGGCAGCAGCAAAAGCAGCAAAGATGTACTACATATCTCGTTTCGACAGCCCGCGTGAGGATGGGAAAAGAGGCGATGTGAAGGGGACTTTTGAGGACTCAATGTCTGTCTGTCTGCCTGCCTGTCTGTCTGTCTGTCTGTCTGTCTGCCTGCCTGTCTGTCTGTCTGCCTGCCTGTCTGCCTGTCTGCCTGTCTGTCTGTCTGTCTGTGTGCGAATGTGACTGAGAGGGGGCGCATCCATAAACCTGACAGCGTTTCCAGCCGTACGCTACATATGTGTGCGCATGGCATTGTTCTTTTTGCGGCATCATCATACATACATACACAGTGAACACTCACCACCATCCCGCACGACTACCTCCCTCCCCGCCAATCTTTGCATGGAGGAGGTTGTCCCGCGGCGAGCTGCTGCGGGTGAGTATCCGCGCTCAAATCACATTTCGTTTCTTTTCTTAGCCCATTCCATTTTTTCAGGGCTTTTTCCCCCTCTTCCCTTTCCGCCCTCTTCCTCCTCCTCCTCCCCCCCCTCTCCCCCGCGCCACCCAGGTCGGCAGTTCGGCTGCCCACCGTGGTGGTGGTGCAGGGACCTCTCCCTGCAGCTCGGCTGCAACGGGACATGACAGTGCTGCACGACTTCCCCTGCCTGGACATGCCCTGCCACGCGGATGACAGCAGGTACGGCAATAAGCAAATCCCAACGACCACCACAACCACCGCAACGACCACGCCGCTGTTGTGTTTCTTCTTCTTCTTCTTCTTCTTCTTCTTTTTGGACGCTGTCCTAGGGACCAGTAGAGTGTACTACCGTACAGTACGGTACTGTACGGAACATTGTGCAGTACAGTATGACAGGGCATCAGAAGTTCAAACTCGTTTTACATTCCTTTCAATCCGACTGCGCTGTTAGGTCCATTAAAACCCTCACTTTTCCACCTCCTCCCCACTAAACAGCCGCCTCCACCTCCTCCCCACTACACAATAATCTAAATCCGGTACACCACCCCACACACACAGGTACCCCCCATTGCAATGGCAGCAGCGGGCGGTTCGCCGCGCTCTGTACCGGTGCGCGGGTGCGGGGCTATGGCTGGCGGAGCGAGCTGCGCTGTGCAGGTACGCACACGCACCCCTGGCGAATTTGGATCCCGCGGGGGGGGCCGCGGCGGCAGCCGCTGGCACCGCCGGCGGGGGCGGCGGCGGCAGTGCGGCAGCCGGCGGCGGCGGCGGCGGCGGCGAGGCAGCCGGTGGTGGCATTGGCTCAGTGGCCGACTTGCTGATGGCGAGGCGGTTGTGGGAGGCGGGTCTGACTTTGCCCGTGGTGGACCCCGCACTACCGGATTTGGGAGGTGTGTGGAAGCGGGAGGTGTGTGCGGGCCGAGGG